CGTTTCTAAAATTTATTACAATAATGCGGATAATTGAGAACATTATTTTCGACATTTCGCGTCTTTTTAAAATATGTGCTCGGTATAGATAAGTTTCTTCGTGCCATCAGAAAAGAATGTTTTATCTACAAAATGAGGTACTGACACACATTTTTCAGAAACTAAACTTTGAAGTACCAGAACACATTTTTCGTATAATCGTAACTTTGTTCCTTCGTATCAGTTGTTTATATAGTTTAGCATAGCATCTTAAAAAGCCATCGATTTATAATTCTCGCCTTTTAATCGAAAACATTCTTTTCAAATATACTATATATAAAGAAGTTCATGTATCCATAAATCGAAGCTGTTGAATGTATTGAAGAATGAGATGATATTTTTGTGTAAAAGTTCTAATGAATTTTAGAACACCTAATATATGCTATAATAAAACTTTAGCAATACATTTTGCGAATAATTACTAATTCATCCTTTTGTATATGACAGATAAATAGCACGTGCCTATAGCATCTAATAATGTCAATAATTTGTTCATAAAAATGTATAACGTAAGAGAAGAATGTTGAATGTATTAGCGATCAATTATCAATTAAACACAGATAGCGCTTTTGAAATATTTGAAGGTTAGCGGATGCCTCTCTGACTTATTGAAATATACATGTATTATTAGTCGAGATTTATAAATGAACATTCTAAAAATTATGATGGCTATTAATTCTGCATTCAATCCATGTTAAAAAGTTAATATTTTACCTTTTGAAAGAAGAATTTTCTTGAAAATATTTGAAGAGAAAGAATCCGCGCCGCGAAACACTGTGAAACTCTAATGGCGAAGAGGTCACCACTTGACAGAGTATATTTGGCGGGAAATTCAGTCGATAATATTGTATCCTCTGATGGCAATTTGGAAACATATATTAAGTAAAGTCGTATATTTTATTGCCTGAACATAATTTTTTATTATAATTCTATAGCTTATATATTCGTATTTTATTTAGAAATTGTTATTTAAAAAAATATAATATGTATTAATGTATGAGGAATAATTAAAATTGTGAAACTAAAAACAATTTCTGAAATTATTACATTATTATTTTTACATAGCATTTTATCAAAGAATGTTTTATCTAATAAATGAGGAACTGATACACATTTTTCAGAAACTAAACTTTGAAGTATCAGAATACATTCTTCGTATAATTGTAACTTTGTTCCTTCGTATCAGTTGTATATATAGTTTAACATTTTATCAATCTTCAGTATAATCACATTTTACAGTTTTATACAAAAATTTTTGAATAAAAAAGAATAAAACTCTTCTCTTATGCAGATGACATCAAAAATATTATAAGGCTATTATTATAATATAATCTAAAAATGTAAAAATATAAAAATATAAATTTTTGGACGTGTATAAGTGTATTTTATAGAAATTTTTAAGATAAAATAGAAAAATAAAATTAAACAAATAAGATATATAGATAAGTACAATCGGATCATTATATAATTCCTAAATTTATATTAGACAAGAACTCAAAATATATTATAATTAGATATAGTAAGAAAAATAAAAGAGCAATGTTTATGACATTTAAAATCTTTATGACATTAAATACTTCTCACTTTTATATTGTCTTTATTTATCCGCTAATCAAAGTGCCAGATAATTTTTTTTCTTAATATGTTTAGGAATAAAAGTTAAATATAGAATATATGTAATAAAAAAGTGCAACTAAACAAAGCACGATTTAGCACGAAACACAGTGTATCCCGCGCATGATAACACGCTCGAATAATAAGGATAGCGCCGGAGAGGATGCAGGGTTGGATACGCACGCCTGAGTCCGCGTTTGGGGTCCGTTTTCCGCTTCCAGTCCGGTCACTATGACGCGCGATGTGAAACCGAGCTGGGGTCTCTTCTATGTAGAATGCAGAGAATCTATTTAAAAATTATTCCCACTGCACACAATAAAGCGCATAAATATCTCACAATTACTAAACAATCGTTGTATTTACGATGCCCAAGGTTTTATAATCCTTGAATATTATACTTCTTATGCGCGATGACGTCAGTGTCAAGTAGTCAAGAAAATGTTGAATTCATTTTTTTTCTCAAAAATATATAATTTAGAACATCATATGTTTATTAAACAAAAATGACAAAATTAAAAAGAATGTACATAACTATATTGTAATAGCGAACATTAATATATAACAATCATGATTTTTATTCTTGTAATCTTAGGTTGCACAAAATAAACAATTAAAGTGACATAAATTAAGCAATGCTATATGCATAATTGATAAAATTTCTTAATTGAATAATTTCGCTTTTACAACTTTGTCATTTTTGCTAAACAAATATACAAGATTGTAAATTATAGTTCTGAAAGAATGTAATCCTTACAATTCCAACTCGTAACGGGTTTTGCGTTGCAAATAACTGTTGTATTTTTAACTTAAATTTAAAGATCGCCTAACGAATAATATACGTATTATTTACCTGTGCTACATTACTTCTGAGAGAAAGAATAATTCAATCTTTAACGGGTTAATTCGCGACTCGTGGCGTTCCACGTCATGCTGCTGGAAACACGCGTCCTGGACAATCACTCTATTTATCGCGCACTTTCTTTCCGCGCCAAGTACTCCGTCGCACTATATTTTAGTTCTTTCGAATTGGTTTCTTTTTTATGAAAAAAAAAATGAATGAATGGATTTGTTTTTCAATTCCTGCGAATTTGCATTATTGTCGACAACTGTGAAAGTTTCATGAAATTTATGAATTTTTAATACAGTTTCATTAGTCACTTTCTCCTGTTGCGTATAAATTTGCACCGCCATTTATTACATGATATACATAATAGTACAATTCGCGGTTATATTTTACGAATTTTTATATCAGTAAGAGAACTGCCTGTCTGCGGTTTAAAATTGTCCAGGATCATTATATATCAAGAAATAATATCGAAATAATATTGTATATAGGATGTGTCCGCGTGAAATCGTAAAATCTAATCGGGAAGTGATTTTTTGTGTGCACTAAAAAGACAATTTATTGAATTCGAATAAATAATTATTTCAATACTGCCTAATAAATCATTTATTTGAAACTAATAATAATTAGTATCGTATATCAAAATATAAATGTCTAAGTATCGCGTTTGAACCTTAATCGTTGACGGAAAATATCAATATCGTTCGCTCGAATTTTAAATTACGAACTCGTAGGAAATAGTGGAGCGTCTCGTTTTTTCGATAGTTTATATATTTCGCAAAAATCTCAAAATTCTCGGAAGTTTGATCCTGAAAGAGGATCCTGAATTTGTGCGATACCGGATTTACCGAAATTCGATTAGAAGACCGTTTCGAGACAATAACAATAATGACAAAAATATATACACAAAAACAGAGTAATTTATGACACTAATTTTACCGATTGCTCGATCGAAGGACATTAGATTCCGTGCAAATATTTTGATGAACATGATTTTATTTTATTTAAGACATATAAAAAGTTTCACAAACATAAGAAAGTAACGAAAACATATAACGATATTTACTTATAATACTTCAGTGGGCTTTGACGGATATAAGAAAATCCTTTTCAAAACAGATAAATACTTGTTTCAAATAAATAATTTATTAGGCAATATTGAAATAATTATTTATTAATTTAATAATTTTTTCAGTGTACAAGTAAGAAAATTTTTTACAGAAGTTTGTTTTCCAAAAATTGACTTTGAAAATTAAACAAAATGAATAATCTTCTTATACTTTTAATTCGTTTCAACAACGGCTATTAAATTATTTGTATATAAAATATAAAAGAGTACAAAACTTTATTTAGTAAAACAATCTAAAATAATAAGTGATATTATTTAAATGACATGCGCTGAAGAAATGTACCGAGATCATTTAATTTTTCAATGAATTGCTAATTTCTATAGCTTGTTATACAGCCGCTGTTGAAATTTTTATTTTATAAATATTTTTTGGTGAACTTTACCCGACAGATGGCATATATTCGTCTTTTTTTGAAATTTATCTAAAAAAGACATAGATATTTTATCTATCGGATAAAATTTTTCAATTAAAAATCAGTGCCGACTTCTTGATAAATTTTATTTGATAAATAAAATATCTATGTCTTTTTCAGATAAGTTTCAAAAAAAAGACGAATATATGCTATCTGTCGAGTAAAGTTCATCAAAAAATTGGAACAACCAGCCTTTAAATGCTTTCTTTTAAATCTAAAATATTTCGTCAGACAATTATCCGATAGTTTAGCGTAAAGATTTAAATTGTTCTCCATATCTTGTTGATCTATATCTTGTTATACAGCCGCTGTTGAAATTTTTATAAAATAAAAATTTTTATAAAATAAAAATTTCAACAGCGGCTGTATAACAAGATATAGATCAACAAGATATGGAGAACAATTTAAATCTTTACGCTAAACTATCGGATAATTGTCTGACGAAATATTTTAGATTTAAAAGAAAGCATTTAAGGGCTGGTTGTTCCAATTTTTTGGTGAACTTTACCCGACAGATAACATATATTCGTCTTTTTTGAAACTTATCTGAAAAAGACATAGATATTTCATCTATCAGATGAAATTTATCAAGAAGTCGGCACTGATCCTTAATTGAAAATTTTTATCCGATAGATAAAATATCTATGTCTTTTTCAGATAAGTTTCAAAAAAAGACGAATATATGCTATCTGTCGGGTAAAATTCACCAAAAAATTGAAACAACCAGCCCTTAAATACTTTCTTTTAAATCTAAAATATTTCGTCAGACAATTATCCGATAGTTTAGCGTAAAGATTTAAATTGTTCTCCAAGGACAGAAATATTTTTTGTCAGAAATACACAAACATAAATATTGTTACATAATGAATATTATAATAAAAAACATACGAAAAATATTAATCCAACAAAAGAAAACCCTCCCATCGAAAGAAAACCAGATCCAAGTGGGTGCATTAGTTTTCGCCGATCCGTCAGGAGGCGCTACTTCGATTGCGTGGAGATACACGACCCTTCAAACGTGAAGGCGGCTCATTCCGTCGGTGTTTACCGAATAGATCGTACGCGCTTCTGCGCTGCTATGAATCGCGATCGGTTCTGTTAGTGAAACTCGTGGATTACTGAAACAAAGATCGCTTACAAATAAATATATTGCGCGATAACACATTCATCCGGCTACTAAGAATCTTTATTTTGTTCCGCGCGCTTCACTTTATTCGGAATTTATAAATTGTTTGATTGAAAAAAAAATCGCAACATTTTTACCGCGCCAAGACAAGTGAATAATCCTGGTGAAAGCATTCGGGACCATTTCGATCGCTCGCGAACTTTCGCGCTATTAGGAGCGGCAATAAAATGCAAGGTCTGAGCGTGTTCGCGCTGCTTCAATGAATTTTCGAGCGAGAGACTCGCGAGTGAATGTTCCGCGATTACGAACCATTTACTCCATCGATCGTTGATGGCGAAATGTAAGGCGGAGTATGCCCTGTGTTTATCTGTGAGTGGATCTCTGGGAACGTAATGTGAATCATATTCACACCTTCGAACTCTACGAGATCGAGAAAAATATACCTTCGATTGTATGCGATATCTCGATTGTTCTCGTATACATTTATTTCCATCGAAGAATATTTCAAGAATTTTTCATATATTACGAACTTTTGTTCCCACAGACTTTTTGTGAAGTAAACAACGTCTTGTATATCTATACGTTTTTCTATATTTTTTTCCACTTCATAAATTCCTGTGCGGTTTTTCTTAAATCGAAAATCCCCAAAAATCCACGACTTTTTGTATTTATACAGCTATATTTACAAACCCTCATCTATCATTATCGTATCCGATCATAAAAATTTTCGAAGTATAATCCTTAAATTTTGCAACGCTCTATGACATCAAATTCTCAATTTCTTCGCCCCGTTAATCTTCAAATCAAACATTTTCCGATAATTTTCGTCGAAGAAGAAATCATTTCCAAAGTCCTTCTTCCAGTATTTGAAAATGTCTTGATGAAATCGGTCGCGCGAAAATCCTGAGCAAAAATGATGACGTTCGATCGGTCGATGGCCCACTTATCGATACTACTTTTCACCGCGTGTACCTGGTGCACCGCAGTCTTCGGCGAGCAGCAATTCATCGAGAAGCCGCCCCAATATCAGGAAGTGTCATCCGGTGACGATGTGCAGCTGCGTTGCACGGTGCAAGACAAGAGGGGTCAGTGCGTCTGGCAGAAGGATCGGAGACCTGTGGGAATGCATCCGGAGAAATATGAATGGGCGAGCACTCGCGGCAACGACTGCACCCTGCTGATCAGACATGCCTCCCTGCACTACGACGACGGTTTCTGGGAGTGCCAAGTGACGTCCAGCGACTTTTCCCGCCAGGACGCACTCTCGTCCGAGCAATCCAGGCTGACCGTAAAGGGTGAGACCTTGCTTTGATCTACGCGAAACGTCACTTTAGAGATCGATCCAAATAAAAGAGTAAGATATCTCTCCCTCCGCGATAAACAAATTGCCCCTTGTAATTTAAATATCCTTATCAATGATTGAATTAAAAAGACATAGCTATAGTTCGCCAATCTTGGAAAAATTATATATGCGCGTGATATATTTTTATATTTATTATCTAAATAATAAAAATTAGTTATAGAATTGTTAACTTGGTTAAACCTTTCAAGTAAATTTACTATTTTGTTCATTGAACGTATATTAGTATTTAAGTGAAATATACGTTTTATTAGATTTAATATATGTTATATTTAATTTAAATATTTCTACATGTTCAATTAATAAAATAATATTTAGTTGAACGATTTAGTCAAATTAATAAATTTTGTTTTAATGTATGAACATATACAGTAATGTTACATATCATAATTATTATGGTTCTATATTCGTGTATTTAAAACTGCTATAATTGGCAAAATAATGTAATGTAAAATAAATATAAAAATATATTTCGTGTATTCATGCGTTGTAAGAATTTATTTTATAAATTATTTACGCACAAATATAATTTACCATTGAAAAAATAATTTCTATTTTATTATTTTCATATAATTTATGCAATATATTAGCATATATTTAATCTCGAATATTGCATTAAAACGCATCGAATCGTTTTTCGGGAGGAAAGATGGTTAATATTTCGCGAACATTGACCTCGAGTGATGCAAGAAAACGTACAAAACGGTCGTTATGCTCTACTTTTCCGCAATTTTGCAATATCCGTGTTAATGTAAATTGAGTCGGGAGCTCTCAACTCTGGCTCAATCGGCTCCTGTGGACGATTATTTATTCGTAACGATAATATCGCGGTCGTGTATAAGCATTCGTTTGAAAAGGGAAACAAAGGAGCGAGGGTGACCCGAATACGGCAATATTTCTATCTCGTATTGTCTTATCGAAATGCGCACCCCTAATGGGCGTGTTCCAGTGAAACCCAGGAAACCACAGTTGGAATATGGAGGGTTCTTTTTGGGCGCCAACCTTACGCTGGAGGAAGGACAAGAAGCCGTGATCTCGTGTGTTTCGAGATACGGAAACCCTCCTGCGTTCATCAAATGGTAAGTCGACACTTTTGCTCCTCTTAAAACACTATAATAATATTATCACAGTAAGATTATGTAAGAGAAAACGTTATGCGAAAAGAAAGAGAGATGAATTAAATATTTTGGAAAAAGATACAAAATTTTAATATTTATTATTCACCGAGAACTGAAAAAAATAAATTATGCATATGTACAGGGGATTTTATCTGAAATTTTAACGAATTAATACATTGGATCATAATTTGAAAAAATATATAAAAAATTAGTATTCCGCTTTATTTTGCTTTGCCTCTTTTTCTCTCTTTCTTGTATCTTCTTTATTTGTGCATTTGCATTAAAAAATTGTAAAAAAACTATACGTTATTTCCTTCCACGAAAAGTATTTTGATATAGCGGAGATGGGAAAAAATTATGAGGAAAAAAGTTAAAAGATTTAAACCTTATACTAGATAATTACGAATGGATCCATTTGTCTCCAGCGATCTTTTACCTGAGACAAGACGATTAGGAGTAAAACATTTCTACTTTTAGACAGTTGGAATGCTGACCATATACACACACACACCGATCTTGATAGAAAGTATATAAGTGGTAATAATCGGTTGAAGAGATACTAAATATTTATGTTCTTCATTCGTAAATTTTGGTAAAAATTTAAGCACAAGAAAGAGAGAAAGAGAAAATATTTATCATTAAAATAAATAAATTTTTTTCTTATACATGATAAGCTTCGCCCTACAAATATCTTACAAAATATATTTTAAATTTTATTAAAAAATATAAAAATCAATTTTTTTTAAATTTTTTAAAAATTTAAAATAAATATTTATCTTTATATTATTTATGTATTACTCTGTGTACTAATCTATTGGATACTTTTATAAAAAAAAGTATTATTTATGTATATTTATCTTTACTTATCTTTTTCAATAAGTAATAATGAACTCCAAAAAAAAAGTTTTCTTCATAAAAATCTGTTGGCAGGATATTATCGATATTTCTTGCGACACCCCATTATATACAAAATACAAAAATCGAAACAATTCCGTTGCGGTTCGCTAGAAAGTCCACGCCAACACTTTGCGCAACAAATGACAATTGTGAAGCTAAGTAGCGCGTTTTACATTCCCGCACTTGTATTTATTTCGCAGAAAAAAAAATATAATCATTTTCAAACATAAACATCGACAGCTCGCCGAGAGCAGAGCTGCAAGAATCCGTGACGTTAGGTATGTTTATGGAAGGGAAGGGTCACGGAGGGATCGTCATTTTGGTTTACGGTCTGATGAATTTAGCCGCACCTTATCTATGTTCTTACGATGTAAAACATCTGTTCTACGGATGGCACGCGCTTCTTTTGAAAATGCACGCTTCACTTATTCCCAGAAGCGAACCTGGGGATATGTAATTTAAGACCTGAATAGTAGCATATGTATTCCTTCACGAGGGTCTCTCATTAATGAATGGGCCCTTTGAAGGAAAACCGAGTTTCTTTCCGGCACGGAGACGTTATACATATACTGTCTTGCCAAATGTGTAACATCTCAGGCAACACATATGATCTCCGTTCTAATCTCTTTCAGGCACTCTTCTTTCAAAGTGAAACTTTTACGCGTCCGTGGAATTTTTGTTGTAATCCTTTGTAGCGTTTCGTAGAAGATATATATATGGTATAGTGACTCGTTCGCGCGCGAATCAATTTCAGGAGAAACGTCTGTTGCATTCGCGTTCCCACGCATTTTTATTTTGGTTCACGGTCCTAATGAAGAATTTCGTCCGATGGGACTTGTCTGAAACAATATCGACCGCGCATTCTTTTACGACCAATAATAGCTACACGGTTTAATGATCTCTGCCCGGTGTTTTCTTTTTCTTCGCGTTGCGGACACGGCTACGCCGAGTATAATTATGTATATTATAGCCATAGAAACGGAGAAACTGGCCGCGAGCGTAATCCCGCCGCTGCGCCTGTGAATCACGTTAGAAAAGGGTTACGGACCTTCTTTCTTTTTTTTTCTCTTTTTCACTGGGAAGAAGGCCAGTTCGCGGTCAGCGGAAACTGATGGGTTATGTGAATCACTCGCGGAAACGGAACTATAACTACGAGCGTCGAACTTTTGCATATGCATCCGCGGTATCGAACTCGATAGGATTCGATAAACCGAAACAAATTTTCGAATTTATATAGTATAAAAAAAAAAGAGTTTCCACAGAGTTTCTCTCTAAATATGTAACAAATTATCTTCACCCTTTATTTCTTAAGGGGTTATACATGTGAAATCGAATAAAACATGTATTTTTAGAACTTTTTGAAAACTGAAGGATTTTTTAAAATAAATGTTTAAACATTCAATTGTATACATTTTGAGGATTCTATAGTATTTTTTTCATTACAAAGTATAAATAAAGAAGGTATTAGCGATCTCCTCAAGAGCATTTTTTTAAGTTTCTGGGCCACTATAGTTTTGAGTTTGTTCATCTGAAATGAAAAACTCGAACAAATTTAGTTAATATTATGTATTAGTTTATCTAGTGTCCGATCGTTCATTATCGAAAAATTAATTTAGGACAAAATGACGGTTGTTCAAAGAAATGATTTTTTACCATAAAAATCGTCCAATTTTATCTGTAAAAAAACTACGTAACGAAAAAAAGCTACGATCGGGCAGTAGATAAACTAATATACTAACTAAATTTGCTCAAATTTTTCATTTCAGATAAACTCAAAGCTATAGTAGGTAAAAGAAACTTAAAAATGCTCTTAAGAAGATCGCTGATATATCTTCCTCTTCTTTGTTTATTTATATTTTGTAATAAAAAAAATACTGTAGAATCCTCAAAATGTATACATTTGAATATGTAAACATTTATTTTAAAAAGTCTCAGTTTTTTCAAAACCAAAATCCTAAAAATACATGTTTTTTCTCGTGGATAGGTATAACCCCTTAAATAATTTGAATCGGTTTTTTTTTTCAACAAAAGGGGTTCATTATTTTTGTCGCGCGAACCCTTAATTTTCAACCGTCCATAACTAATTCGTGGATTATAAATCCGTTCATCGAGCCTGTTTAAAAATTAAATGAGGTGTTAAGGTTTCTCTTACATACTTGTAACGTCGGCAAATTTGTCGGGCAGGTTCATAGGGAACAAGGAGGTGGAACCTTTGGGGGAGCAGAACAACGCAACGGAGGTGGATAATCGGAAGACCTGGGCTGCTCATAGTCGTCTACGGGTGCGTGGTCAGAGGGAGAATCACGGTCTGCCGATCCGATGTGTGACCGTGCATCCGGCGAGTTTAACCCCGGCCACTGTGGAGTCGCGACTGGACATTCGCTGTACGTAAACAATCGGTCTTTCTCTAGAACAATGAACAAAAGTATCTCATAAGTTCAAATTTCACCGCCTTCAAATAATCACTCGTCAAAAATATATTTCTCAAGCAGAAAAATGTGTCAAAATAGGTATCAAAACTAAAGAACAGTCCATTTTTTTAAATATATTTTTTCGTGCTTTTATTTCTCCTCTTATTCATTTAATTTATTTGTAATTATTACTTTGATTTCATCATTTAAAAAATATATTAGGAAAAAGTACCCATATAAGACACCTTTGCAATAATTGTATTAAGATGATCATTCTCAATTTTATACAATAAATAATAAATATATAAATATATATGAAGATGGTCCAAAAACCGACCGAAACATTATAAATAATTATAATTAATTTAATAAACTTGTGAGTTCCATTAATCGCGCTGGCTTTCATTGCCTTTATTTTTTATACTTTTATTATTGATACAAAATCTTCAACCATTATTCAATTTTATAAAGATTGTGCTACATAATGTTATTATAATAACTAAACTTTAAATCAATAATCAAAATTTAAAATTGCAACACAATATATTTAGACATTATATTTAAACATTAAAAATAAAGCTAAAATTTTTCCACACGTTTTCCCATCTGGGTAATAAAAATAAAAATGACAAACTGACGAATAAATATACATTTCTCACTTTTCCCATGTGGAAAATTTAAGACGCGAGACTCGGTTCTTCTTTCTTTGCTTCTCTACCGATTAGAGTGTAAAATCCCTATACATGTGTAACAGATACATTTTAATAAATAATCAAAGTTTAAATTTAAAATTACAACACAATATATTAGACATTACATTTTAAAATTAAAAATAAAGCTAAAAATTTTCCCATCTGGGTAATAAAACTGAGCTGATGAATATACAATTTTCACTTTTCCCGTATGTGAAAAACTTAAGATGTGAGGCTCGGCTCTTTTTTCTTTGCGCCCCTATACCGATATTAGGGTAAAATTCCTACATGTGTGTAACAGAAATACTTTTCAGATACGCCGGAAGTGCGACTCGAGACGAGTCCGCAGCAGCGCACGGCTCTGGAAGATTCGGCGAGCGTCTTGAGCCTCAAGTGCCTGGCGAATGCTAATCCAATAGCGAGCGTCAAGTGGTTCAAAGACTCGATACCGCTTGGCACGTTGCTGTTCGATACCTCATCGGCATCGCCGTCTTCGATACAAAGCATAGGCTCGCAGCTGAACGACAGCGTGTTGGTAGCCGAGCTGCGATTCCAGCCGGTCAAGAGCCACGATGCTGGCCTGTACTCGTGCAAGGCGGTCAACAGCATCGGTGAAAGCGCTCCCGCAAGTTACAGACTCGATGTGCAACGTTCGTGCAATTACAATACTTTGCTTCCGACTCGTACACCCTACTTCCTATCCCACTATTGCCTTCCTCCTTTCAAGATCCGCGTATCGCTTTCCTCGTAGAATCATACATAGGCGCGTTATGACAATCCTCGCGTACATAAACATCCTTATTATGCGCAATATTACATTATATATTGCTGTGAAAGTTGTAGTCTTTTTTCTCTCTTTTTTTCACGGAAAAATAAAAGTTAGATTCCAAGTATCTTGCAAAATCTTCACAATAATGCAATCTATCTTCCTGTAGCACTCCTTCTTCTCATATAGTTTATACCTCATATAGTTAGCATAAAAATACAGATGTGTGCGTCTTCCTCTGTAGATAAACCAAAGTTGAAGAAGACAGAAAATAACACTTCCATGGACGTGGAGGAGACGGCTCTGCTGAGTTCCGCAGTGGAGCTCTTCGAGTGTCCAGAGTTCGAAGCCAATCCACCAGCTCAGTACAGATGGGTGCATCTTCGTGGTGGCGCCACGGAAACCTTCGCGGAACACCGCGTACCAAACAAGGGTGGTGGCCGACGTCTGCGTCTGGAGAACATCATGTGGTCCGACGAAGGAGAGTACCGTTGCATCGCCTTCAACACGATCAACGGGGTCAAACAGGAGACCGCCAGCGATGTCCATTACGTGCTACATGTGACCGGACCACCGGAGATACAGGCCAGGCCGTTACCAGGCGACCGGGATTTCTACGAGTCCATCGGATGGAGCGGCGAGCCCGTCCACAGGCTCAAATCCCGATTCTGTTCGCGACCACCCCCGAAACTGGTCGCTTGGCAGTGGGGTAGTTCTCATATTCGAGCTGGTACGCAACCTAATTTCATCTAATAACTTCCTTTCTCAAAGAGATTAATTATTTAAATCAAGTTGAATCCATGTCTATATACAAGGTGTCCGACATAAGGTGTCACACCGAAAATATATACAAGTGGATCTTGTTATTTGGAGACAATTTTTCTTCAGCAAAAATATTGAGGCATCAATCATTTTCGAGTTATAAGCGATTGAAAATAAAGGGATTTTCGCAAAGTAAGCCTTGTGGAAATAAAATATTAACAAAATCAAATTCGCCAATTAATTTCAAGTAGAAATTACTTGAATAAAATTTTAATTTAAGGTTTAATTATGAAGATACATGATGGCAAAAATTGAGAACATGCAAAAAATGATGGCTTTTCTCGACATTTTTGCTGAGGAAAAATCGTCACCAAATAACGAGATCTACTTTATGTCAGTGTTTATTTCGGCTTTTACTAATTCTTTTGATCGTTTAACAGGAGAAAATATTCATCCAAAGTATGACGCTCTACCGTTGGAGCCTATCTTTGAGAACAAAATGGTCACAAACTGTTACTGGGCTAAACTGGAAATTAAGGATCTGCAAAAGGAGGACGCCCGAATATATACCTTGTTAGTAGAGAGCGAGAAGGGTCGGGACTCGACGAATATCAAATTGATAGTGAGAGATCCTACGGAGATGCGGATGATAGCCGCCGCTGTTGCAGTCGGTCTCCTGTTCCTATTGCTGCTAATCTCCATCGGCGTGTACTCGATCCTGAGAATACGACGTGGACGGTATCGACAGGAGATGATGGAAGAGGGCAGTATCGCGGCCGACGCGCTTTACAACGGCACGTCGATAAATCAACAAAAAAATTCTGTCAACTCGTCTCACGCAAAGACCTTTGCCAGAAAGTCCAGCCTGGACAATGGCCAGAACGCGTACGATTACAGTCACATCGCGAAACAGACGCGTGCCATGAGTCCGGAAGCGTTAAAAGTTAGAAGAGCACCGGCCGTTCTGCAACCGCCTACCATCGTGTAAAAAGATATAAACCTTTCGTCAAATCTCTTTCTTTTTAATCATCAGATTTTATTTCCCACAGCAACGGATTTTTGTATAAGTTTCCTCCCCATCAGTCTAACGCCATTTTTAACAAGGATATCTTTTTATACAGATTATATAAAAAATCAGAGATATATGTGTATACAAAATGCATGTTGATATCGAATATTGTATGTTGCAATATTTATATCGTAGACGCCTGATATATAGCATATCCGAGAGACTGTCTATTGTTGTTATGTATCTCTTATGTCGTTATTAGTTTTTTTTTTTTTAGTTTGTTATTTATTATCGCAATGTTCGTCTGTATTTTAATCCCCCCCTCCGATAAGTAAGATTACAATAGTATTTGTCTATATCCGAAATAAAGATACATCGCGATAATATTGTATAAAGAACTCGTGTACCGGTGCAAAGTATAGTCCGCGTCGTCGAAGCGGAACGAAGCGTAACTTTAATAGCGGTCGCATCTCAGTGATTTTAATGGCGGTTGCGCGACGAGGCGGGATCGGTGCAAAACTGGACCTCAGAAACTGTTATATATAGTTTCGTATTTCTATACATATTTCTAAATCAAAGAACACACATATATATATATATATATATATATATATATATATATATATAAAATATTTTAAGTTTTTTTTTAACCAGCGACTGTCCTCGTTCCCAAAGTTATGTAAGATTAATTATTCCAACTTTATATATGTTCATAATATAATAAATTGATTTTACCGGAAATCAATCATTTTTTGCAATAATTATTTATTAAAAATATATAAGCAAAAAATACATCAAACAATGTATATTGATATATGGACATGTAAAAAATAGCATAAATTATAAAATAATAAATAAAAAAGAAACCTTTCTATATTTATGGCTGCAATTCGTTTTCCTGTTGAACTTTCAAAATAGCCGAGTACATGGCCTTCAGAAATTTGGACAGTGTAGTTTTGTCTGCGCATAAATGAAGAGCATGCGTCAAAAATGGTATCTTCCTTAAAGTGCGACCGGTCAATCCTTCGCTACCACGACTAAGTTCCAACAATTTCAAACTGTTTTTGGTATTTGAATCCTCCGTGTATCCGAATAGCTTTAACTGCGAAATATCGCATATCTCTTCAGACTCTAAAATTCCAGTCTGAAACATACAAAAATAATATACAATAATGTTAAATTAAAGAATATACTTTATTAATATTTGGTTAAAACTTATTAAGATTATCTAATATAAAAGAACTCTTTCTCACAGATAGAGTGTAAAGAGACATTTGATTAATGTGTGTAATTAATCAATTTCCTATATTTTCTACATTAAGCAATTCATTATCGTGCAGAACTAAAACTTACGTACTCTCATTAATTCCTTCAGGCATGAATGATAAATATTATATATAGCTACTTCGGATGGATATCCAAGATGTTGCTTGATGTCAGCTCGATCGACAAACGCAATATCTATGGCTTCCGTCATGTTGCTCGTCGTTAAGATTAAAACATTCGAATACTGCTTGATTTGATCCAATTGCGTGAGCAGCGCGTTTACAACACGTATAGAATCAGATGGTTCAGTTCCGTTGCTGCACGATTTACGTGCGTGCGCTAATGATTCTACCTCATCAATTAAAATGCATATCAGTGATTTCTCGTCTTGCACCAAATTTTTTATTTCATCAAAGAGCTTCATAACAAGTTTCCCACTCTATAGCAAAATACAGAATAACCGTTTTACCTGATATTAAATTGTATACAATAATATTTAAATTTTATTAGCTAATTGTGTGAATATTGTTAGCTAATACATATAAATTTAACATTTTTAATTCTACATTGCACCGCTATTCTATGAAACACAAGCTAGAAATAATAACTAAATACTTACTTCGGAAAACCATTTTGAAAATAGGCTGTGACTATTAATCTCTATTAATTCTCCATGAGTGAAGCGATCTGCCATACGAATTACAGCTTTTTGAGCTAGAGCTTTGCACATACTGGTTTTGCCTGTACCTGGAGGACCGTGCAACAATACCACTTTATTCCAACTTATAATGTTAGAATTAACTGCAAGATCGGAAAACAACATTGTTGTCTCCACAAAACGCAATAACTAAACAAAAGAAATAAAGAAACTTAATAACCTTACACATTTTCAATAAACTATACCTCAATAATAGATGACTTTAAAAGTATACACAAAAGAATTATTTCTTTATGTAAAATTTATCTATTAAGTTTACTAACATTATTCTTTATATCACAATCATAATACAGATTCTCCCACATATAGTGAAATTCCTGAGCAGGTAACACCCAATGAGATGCAACTGACAATTCATCAGAGTCATATTTAATTGTTTCTGTCGCAGCACCCTCCTGTGTCAGTCTATAGATATAATATTTAATAACGACACCTTGAATTTTTATTTTCCCTTTCTGCAATACAATAATATAATATAATAATGTACATACATAAATAAATATATATATATATATATGTATAGAATATATCTTTCTGTACTAAATTAATATCAAAAAATAATAATACCTCTACATAATTTGATGAACATATTATAGATTCAATATGATTCTGTATAATTATATTCACAAAATCTTTACCACGTAGAATAATATCGAGAGAAATCTCATTCATCGACATAAGTTCTGCATTTACTGCCTTTTTAATTACTTCTCCCGATAAAGTGCTAAAACAATAAATACAATCAAATCATTTAGTTTCTTTGAATTACAATGTAAATGAATTACAACATAAAATATAAATCTGAAAACTTTAAATTCTAGTTGCAGATTAGAGTAAAACTTGAAATGATATATAAAGGTTTTTTGAACTAATAAAATCTTTAACTATGAATGTCAAGTTTACATTACATTTAATTGCATCAATAGTTTAAATTAGGATATGCATTAATAAAAAAGAAAATATATTCTCCTTCTTATGGAATTTATTAAATAGTCAAAAGAATAAATATAGTCAAATAACTTTTTTTCTAAATTCTTTTCTTATGCCACAATATTGTTTGACATTTATTTGTATCAAATTACAATGAAATAATGTGCAATAATATAATGTAAAACAATTAATGCGTTTCTTCAGCTGCTTTTTAGGTTAACATAAACAATAATGATGCACATCGATTCTTCAAAAATCAAAGATCAAAATAATTAAAATAATAAACTCATATTATAGCTTTATACACAATAATGCATTTGAAAGAATGAGACTTGAATGAAATACTTAATACCTGGTGGCATTTTGACATATCTCTATGTGTAACACGTTTCCCTCATTCATTTTGACGTATGTGTCTATTTATGAATGTTCTTATGATTTAACAGAGTGAAATAATTTACGAGATAATTCTAATATCACATAATAAATAAAACGTAAATAAAATTAGAATATCTTTTTCTGTTAAGATACTTTACTTCGTTCTTTGTGTGGATGTATATAGAATTCAAAATTAGAAGTCGTTTGAAATCACGAAGTATAAAGAAAATTAAAGATTGAGGATTGACGAAAAGACCAAGAACTAAAATATGCGAAATACATATTATCTTATAAAGATAAAATTTAAAGATTGTCTAATTTACTTTATTATCAACATAGCACGTTTTCTCAATTACTTACGGTCGGTAAAAATTATAACTTCATTGTAAATAAAATAAAATAAAAATGATAAAAAAAATTAAAAAACAAATATAATTGATAAAAATTATAGTAATAAAAATACATAAATGTCAAAATATAAAATTAAATAAATAAATATATATAGAAAAAAATATAAATATAAAAATAAATATAATAAAAACGAAAAACTCTGATATATACAAAACAAATACGGATATAAAGGTCTCTTAAAATTAAAGAGTATAAGCAGATATAATTTATATATTCGTATTACAAAGTCTTTTCGACTTTTTAAAATAATTTCTTTTTCTAATATTTTAATATTTATTCTCCTAACATTTTCTCTATTATATACGCAGGTCTTTAATATCCAATATAAAATTTTATTATTTTATTTCACAGAATACATGTATATAAGTTTAAGCGCTGTACTATATCATGAAATATTTCTGCATAATATACAACACATAAACAATCGCTCGACATTTTGTTTCTTGAAATTATATGTTTATTAAACATAAATATCAATTTTATTGATATATATGTATATATATGTTTCTCTGTACGTTTGCCAAGATTGGATAAATTATAATTATTTTTTTAAACTAAAGTTAGGTTAAAGTTAGTTGCTTATAAAATAAATTTAAGTTAAGTTAAAAGTTGCGTAACCAAAAAATTAACTCAGTTAAAGTTAAGTTATAAGATTAATGAATTCAACTGAAGTTAAATCGAAAGTTAATTTTAAAACATATTAATATTTATATTAAACTAAAATTTTGTTTGTTAATTCTTTCAAAATTTATAATAACAAATAACAAAATTATTTTTATATAGAAAGATATTTTTTTGTAATTACAACTGATGACAAATAAACATAAAAAATATATCTTATTTAAAAAATAAAACGTACGTTTACATTAACTTATAAGAAAACAATAATAATATTCCAGAAATAAAAAAATTTAACTAAAGAAAAAGTTAATAAGTTTAAGGTGAAAAATAACTAGCTGAAATTAAAAATATTAATATCCCTTTTAATCATACATATTATTATTATTGTTAATATATTTTAAATTAACTATCGAACTCAAATCAGTTTCACGTCTTCTATGTTGTCTCTCAATGTTATGATATTTTCGAGACAATGTATGAAATTTGGCCTATTGTTTGCCGCAGTCCAACAATGCAGCATCAACTGGAACAACATTGGTGGACAGTTGAGAGGTTTCGACAGCTTACCGCCCGCAGACACATACTGCACTACTTCTAAATTATTTTTGGTAAAATAAGGCTGTTCACCCAATGACATAATTTCCCACATCAGTACTCCAAATGCCCAAACATCGCTTTGTGAAGTAAATATTCCGTCCATCAAAGATTCCGGGGCCATCCAGCGAACAGGGAGAAGGCCTTCCCCTTTCTAGAACAGTTATGCAATTCATTTTTTTACGAAATCGTTTAATTTTGAAGCAAGTGTTGTACGCAAATAAAATTAAGTCATCTATTTTTTTTCTATTTATACAGTTAAAAAAATTTTTTTACATTCTAAGCGGCTTATATAAATAATTATAACTATGCAAAAATAAAAATGATAACGTTATCTTTTTCAAATTAGAACACTTACCTTGCGGTAATAATCTTCCTTGTAAAGATTTCTAGCTAATCCGAAATCGCCGATTTTTACAATACGGTTTTCACGATTTCTTGCCGATATTAAGCAATTTCGACACGCGAGATCTCTATGCACAAAATGCAGTTCTTCTAAGTAGCGACAACCCCGTGCAACATCTTCGCACATAGCGAACAAGTCTTGCAGACGCAAAGCGTGCGGATCTGACGATTGCAATGTTCGACTCTCTCTTAAATATTTCAGTAAGTCACCAGCCTCCATTAATTCCAATATAATCATTGGTGAATCCGCGTCCACGCAGATGCCTAATAATCTCAGTACATGTTTGTGACGAAAATAGTTCATAAATTTGGCCTCTCGTAAGAATTCCTTTTTCTCTTTCGAGGAACCATTTTCTTTTAACATTTTTATGGCGACAGGTGTTGTGTCTGATCTTTCAAAATTCTTGAGAGTTCCTCGAAATACCTGTAAAATATTTCATAATCAACGCAAATTGATAAAATGCGTGCTAAAATGTTTAGATTGTTTTACTTCTTATAAAGTTTTGATTTTTGCAAATATTTGCAAATATTTGTATTAAAAAATGTTTAACTTAAATATCATATAAAGATTTTGACTTATTAAAAAATTAAGAAAGAGTTTTCGAGAATATATGTAAATAGATATAAAAATTAATTTTTACCTGTCCAAATGCACCGCTACCTAAGAAGATTTCCTAGAATAATTTGCTGTTCTTCAATTATAGTCATGGCCAACTCGCCTAGATTGTATTGCAATTTTGAAGCATATAGCGCGTTAAACTGGAAGTTGTTGATGGAAGGATTGTCGTTTAAAACTGCTAATTCGAGAGCTGTCATTATTGCAGGCACAATTATTTTGTTCTCTTTGCGTTGTTGATATGCTGTTAAATAAAAAGAAACACTATATTACATTTATCTATTGCATTGCAAAATTTATACATATCTTAATAAAATAACTATATATATATATATATATATATATATATATATATATATATATAACTTCCCAGAAACTATATAATATACACACATATCAAATCTAAAATAATATATAATAAAAATCTGAAATTTATATTAAATATACTTACAACAGTAAAAATAGTAAATACAACAGATTACAAACGTAAAGACCAGGCTTAATATTAATGGTACGTAAGTGTATAGATATGATAGGTATTGCGCAGTTGATATTTCGATAGATTTTATTAAATTTGAATCAATGACCACACTTGATTTACTCCATTCTCCAAAGCCATAAGCGTTTTTAGCCTGCACGCGAAATCGATATTTCTGATTTATGTCTTTTGTAATTATCCAGTAATTATTTGTTCCATTATAATATAAATTCCAATATTCATTTTTGTCGGTCTGATTATCTTTGACGATTAAACCCTCTAGCCGATATAAAATCACTGGCGCATCATGAGCTTGCGCAGGATCCCAGTTTAATTGATACTTGAAATTTGAAAGTATCATTATCGTAGGTATCCCAGGAGCGCTCGGAACATTACCTTTGTTATACAAAAATACACTTTAAATTTCTTTTTATTCTAATATGTTTACTTAAAACTTTATTATATAATTTTTAATTTATAAAAATATTTTAAATAAATATTTTTAAATAATATCTTCTTTAAATAAATATGATATAATATTTTTATTCGCTTACCAAGCGTTTCAAAAGTAAATTCTTTTCCATCAGTTGGCCATATAAAGTTTTCCATATAATCAGGGTATTTCAGGATTAAACGAAATTTGTATAAAGTTCGCGATAATAAATTATCTATATAATACATGACTTTACCATTATTCATCTCAGTGTTATTCGCAATTTGCCACTTATGCGTCGCATTATTTTTATATTCCAGCGTGTAACGACTCGTCAGGTCGACAGTAGGAATCCACGAGATAGTCATTGCATTCGTACTAATCCTGATCAAATTTAAATTATTCGGTTCTGAGTACATGTAAATAGTTTTGTTCACACTGTCAGTGAATAAGTTGCTGAAGTTGATCGGATACACACGCACGTTTATCAAATATTTTTGTCCTGGCAACAGCGACTGTATTATCGTGGAAAACTTGCCACCTTTTGTACGTTTGGGCTCGACAAGTTGTTTGTCGTGCTGATAAATTATTTTTCGCGTGCTATTTTGAAGATGTACTGATATCCAATGCACCTCGTAATTCACTGCCACACAATTTAATGTTCTTGGTGGCATCCAATAGACTACTATCAAAGTAGGCGTTAGAACATGTACTGTCACATCTGCCGGCGCGTCGAGCTTTCTGATAGTTGTCAGTTTCACATTGGAGCCAAAGTGTAAATCCATCGATAATTTGTCAACATAAAAATTGCTCAGTGCCAGTTTCAACGTGTACTCTGTGAACGACATTAAATTTGGTATTTCGTATTGTCGTAGGGTCGTGCGCAGCTGGAATTCCTCGAATTTGTTAAAATTATTGTCCAAACATGACAAATAGTTCACAGAGATTGTATATATAGTGGTAGCTAAGTTGTACTTTTTGCATTCGTCATTGAGAATCGCCTCCGGAAGGTTCACGGTGATACTGTTCACTGTTATCGTCTCTTTTTCAACACGATAATCTGCTTTTAAGTTAGGTGTCAGACATCTCGTTGAGGGATATTGTTGTAAAGATTTATCAAGAGCTTTGAATTGATACCAATTCATCACTGTGACTAGTTTTGAGTAAATAGATGGAGGAGGATATACTTTTTGAACATATTTATATGCGTTTTCTTTGCTTTCGAAAAAAGCATATTTCTTATTTAAAATATAGATTAGATTCTCGTATGCGTTGTACAAGTAAATATTTGTCTTGTCAACCGTTAAGTATTGGAAAAGTGTTTGATTGTTTCCAGTGCTTAAAATCAGGTTGCATCTACAACCATGAATGTCAGCTGCTATTAAGCGATCTTTCGATGTCCAGTACATTACCGGGTTGTCAACATTTGTGTTGTCAATCTGTATACAAGAATCTACTTCTATTAATTTATATGGGCAGAAGCATATATTGTCTTCATTTTTCAAAAAAGGAGTTATGTTTTTTCCATCGAAATCCGATTTCATTATTATAAATTGGTAATCTTGCGGCGTATCCGAGTTTAATTCCGTCCAATAAATATATCTGCAAAATATGGGTATTATTCTACTTATAAAACATTATTGTAACTATATATCAGAAACGAATATGTAATTGTTTAAATTTTTTACAACTTTGTGTCTGTTTATGATTCCATAATTAAGCTTTAATGAAATATAAATATTAAATTATTGTAAAATTATAAATTAATACGTTTTAATCGAAAGAGATAAAATTAATATTTCTTTTAAATGTACTAAGTTATATGTACCCTGTAGATGGCAGTACGTTTAAAAATGTGATACGCTCATATCTTTTTAAAATAGTATCTAATTTGAATATGCCCATTTGCAATAATGTCAAGTCTAACTTCATAATGCTGTAGTAGGTGGTATAGGTGGTATACTTAATGCTCTCAGAAAGAACAGTATTCTTGGAAAACTGCAAATATGCCTTAATTCAAGTATATTTTATCCTTATAATAGCGCCAAATATAAATAATTTCGGATAAAGGATAATTTATCCTTAAAACAAAGTGCAAAATATTCTTGGTTGAAACTGAAATTTACTTATAAATATTGCAAGGACAAGTGACAAGTAAGCATCGGATATAAGCGGTACTTTCAAATATATATAATAATTCTAATAGTTCAAATGTGACTAAGTTTGTTTTTACCATATGCAATTTTTAAAACAAGAATATATCTTAAGGATAAAATATACTTCACACAAACTTATTTATTATTAAGGCAAATGAAAATTTGTGATTACAAAGAGCATTCTATGCTTAAATCAATCAAATAGCGTTCAAGAATAAAAATATACTTGAATCAAGACTTCCTGTTTTGTGATCCAATAAAGATTTCTTGCTACCCAATCAATGCAAAGATTATCCGCAATATTGTCAATAGTATAATTTATTTTTGTGCAGCTTGAAAGCAGTTTTTCCATTTCATTTTCATTAAAATCGCATGATACCAGCTTCCGTCCACCAGTATATCCAGAAGTAACTGTAATAGTACATCCATAAATGATATAAAAAACTCTGAAGTCACAGATGATAATTAAAAAATAGTAGTAATTTAATCAACCAACTCTGGCAAATTAAGTGATCTTTATTTAATATTCACGACGTTTCGGCCATGGGTTTCGGCCCTTATCAAGTGCTACAATATATAATAATGACAATTATTAGAAAATTAAAAAATTAAAAAATTAAAAAATAACAAAGTAACTGTAATAAAACAATAAATATTTCCACACATTAATATGTAAACCTACCTAAAACATAACTTTTTTTATATAAAAAACTTAATTTTTGATCTTAGAATGTGACAAGATATAATGTGAAACAATTAACTATATCATTGTGTCGGTATCAAGCTCTTTATATACTCATTACTTTGATCAAACTAATACCATTTTTAGTCTGGTCGATCATGCGATTTTATTATCGGACAACAGTTTTCATCAAGTAGACATCGCTAAAGTAATATCGATACTGATGAACAATGGTTTTCCGTCGAATGTGGTTAATAAGTTTGTAAAAAATAGGCTAAAATTACTTGAGACACGAAATAACGACGATCGCAATGTTGACAACGATAATTTAGTTAGTGAAAAAATTGACCGCATCATAAACCTACCGTACGTCAAAGAACTAAGTGAAGACATTTCGAGATTATTACAATCTATGGGCATGCAAAGCGTTTATTGTATACCGAAAAAATTGAATACACTAATTAAACGTGTCAAAGATCCTCTACCTTTAAAAGAAAAACAGGAGTAGTATACAAAATTAACTGCGCAAATTGTTCCTCATCATACATCGGTCAGACTAAACGACAATTAGGCACACGCATAAAAGAACATTTTAATAACATTAAGGTACACAATAGTAATTATTCAGTCATTAGTAATCATAAATTGGATAATGGTCATGATTTTGATTGGTCCGCTCTTGAAATTTTATATCATGAGAAATATGTACGAAAACGAGAAATCGCGGAGATGTTTTTTTATCAAAAATTTGACAACACAATCAATTTACAAAAAGACACGGATAATCTAAATATTGTTTACGAAAAACTAATAAAGGTCGTTTAGTTTGATTAAAGTAATGAGTATATAAAGAGCTTGAAACCGACACAATGATATAGTTAATTGTTTCATATTATATCTTGTCACATTCTAAGATCAAAAATTAAGTTTTTTATATAAAAAAAATTATGTTTTAGGTAAGTTTACATATTAATGTGTGGAAATATTTATTGTTTTATTACAGTTACTTTGTTACTTTTTAATTTTTAATTTTTTAATTTTCTAATAATTGTCATTATTATATATTGTAGCACTTGATAAGGGCCGAAACCCATGGCCGAAACGTCGTGAATATTAAATAAAGATCACTTAATTTGCCAGAGTTAGTTGATTAAATTACTAACATCCATAACTCTTATGTTCCAATACTGAGTATACAATTTCTCGTTGCTCAGAGGATGAATAAATATATTTTTCAATTCCGATCTGTAAATCAATATCCAATATCTGCATTTTATTTATCATGCTGACGAGTACTAGAGGTATCGGATTCTCATGCGTGGTCGACACGTTGATGAATTTCGTGTAAGGGCCAGCATTAAATTTATTATGCGCTCGTACTTTGAAATAGTACATTGTATTAGGTTTTAAATTGTACGCTTTATGTTGCAATATTTTATTGTTAGCTGGAATATCTACACTGGTTTGGATTCTCTTCATGTTCTCGATAAACCAATACTGAACTCTGTATTTTTGTATCACTCCATTCGTAAATTCAGGTTTGTTCCATCTGTAAAGAAAAAATAAGATATATTAACCTTTTTATTTTCGCAAATTTCTGGTAGGATTTTAAAGCTTATCTATACATATATATATATATATATATATATATATATATATATATGTATGTATATATGTATGTATGTATGTATGTATCGTTACAGATACATATATGTATTTAATTCAAAAGGCTAAAAGCACACTATATAGCTAAATAATTATTATATTTACCTGAATGTTACAAAACTGTCATTTCTGTTTAGTATATCGTTAAATTCTACGAATGCCCTGGGAAATGTTGGCTCGCTTGGATTATTTTCTAGAGATAGTGTAGTTTCTTCCTGGACTACTTTAAAAATTATAAATAATTATATACAAAGATGATGTAAAGATTTTTAAAAAATGTCCAAATCGTACAAATTGACATATAAAATTATATCTACGAATTCTGATTTCAGTAATTGAAGGAAGAAAAACTAATTGTAAGACGTAAATTATTGATAAGAAAAATAATGTATCATAAGTAAGTTTAAATAACAAACATTTCTAAATAAAAAAAAAACGTAAAACATAAATAAATTAAAATACAAAGTATAAACAACAAAAGTATTTTTAGAGTAATCAAATGATGTAAAATAATTTCTGTAATTTAAAAATATAATTATTATTAATAAGGACAAGTAAATATTTTGTAACAAAATTTTCAGAGATTTTAAACAAAAACAAATGTTTTATAATGAACATGAATTTTTACACATTTGCAAAGCGTTTATATTATTACTCCTCTGCTAAAAATTTTCCATTATTAATTAAGAATTTTAAAATATAACATTTGCGATTGTTTAGCTAGCAAATTAATATAATAGATTTTCTCTCAAATTGTTTCGTTGTGATTTACCCCTTTCTCTTTTATTCTCTCTCTCTCTCTCTCTCTCTCTCTCTCTCTCTCTCTCTCTCTCTCTCTCTCTCTCTGACAATAGAATTTATAATAATGTATTTTTCTTGTTGTTGAGAGATAATTATTCTAATTTTCATTTTCTCGAACTTAAAAAATTAAATTATTCTTGTAATTTTCTGTGCATGTAATTTAATTTAATTTTGATAACGTTTTATATACATAATTTCTTGCAACTTATTAAGGATTCTAGACATATCTCTGCAAGTGCACTCTTACCCATTTCATCTCTCATGGATACATTTTCAAAATGATACTGAACAGATTCGTCGTTTGATGACAAGTAGTCATGAATAAGGATAATCTTGAAGGATGGAATATCCTGTTAATAAATATACATTGTATAACTTGTAAGAGTCTATTATTCCACTTAATTGGTTGATAAACATTACGTACGTGTACGATTAAATTAAAACATATTTTACAGATGAGCGATAATAAATATAAATCTTTGAAGTAATAAAAGCAGAGTTCGAAATAGCAGAATTGATAAATATGCGCGATAGATATATATCCTAACGTTCGAATCAATGTTCAACTTTATTAGAAATGAATTATGTTAAAATTGTAAATAACTCAGCTAAAATCACAAATTGTTTTGCTTCATTTACACCAAGTCATCTATTATTGGCATTCGCGTTACTGTGCATGTATTCAACATATATTTAATAAGTTACCTCAAAATATTTAAAATAAATATTATATGTAATGTTTTTGTATCATTTTTAATAGTAAAATAAGAAATTAATTGAATATCAATAACTTGCTTACAATAGATTACAGTGTGTTTCTACGATTAATTTTATTATTATTAATATATGCAACAAGAAAGACAAATAATTATAAAATTTTATAAATTCTTGTATTTAAGAATCTTATTTAAATTATTTAATTGTAGTATTGTTATATTTTTTAATGCAAACGAATTTTGGAGATCATAATGCCATTTCGATTTATATATCTCATAATTAATGAAAATACATATATATATATATATATATATATATATATATATCACATTGAGTGAGAGATAAATAATTGACACAATTTTCACAATAAATGATAACTGTTATTGCGTATTAATTGATCTTGAGACTAATTGATTGAGGACAATTTAATATACCGAAATTCACATTATATAAAAAATAGATCTTTTTAGTAAAAATTAGTTGCATACGTAACAAAATGACTAAATATCGAAGTAGAAAGTCAATATAATGTGAATTTCGGTATATTAAATTGTCCTCAATCAATTAGTCTCAAAGTCAATTAGTATGAAATGTCAAGGTCAATTATTATAAAAAATAGATCTTTTTAGTAAAAATAAGTTGCATACGTAACAAAAAGATTAAATATCGAAGTAGAAAGTCAATACAATGTGAATGTCGGTATAATAAATTGCTCTCAATCAGTTAGTCTCAAGGTCAATAATAAATCAGACAATTTTCTGTTCTGTTCTATTTTGTGCTACGTTTATGTTTTAATATATCATCACATTTTAGTTTAATTTTGTACTATATAATTACAATTTTTAAATGTATAACGTAAAATTCAAAAATTTTATATTTATATATAAAAATTCTATACTTACGTAATTATAAAGTTTTAATTAAAATAAGTAAATCTATTATTTGTTATATATAACATATATAAAATTTTTTTTGTGAAATAAATCTCTACGTAAAATTTAAAAAGTTGCTTGAGATTTAGATTAAGACGCATAAAAATATTTTTTCTGGAGACTGACCTGAGCTATAGGAGCCTCCTGATCCTCCGAAGAGGAAGTGATGGCTGTTCTTGTTAGTATTAACACTTTTAATAAAATACATAATATTTTTAACGCTCTTAACATAGTAACTTGCTTTCCTCTTGTAGATGTTTGCACTCGATTGGCTTTTACCCGATTCTCGACTGACAACCAGCAGCTATAAACTAATGTTTCGAACACTTCTCAATGATTACATTAATCGATTCAATGTTTCTTGATTGATTTTTCTTAGAACACTTTGACTTCGTGTGTGTGCATGTGTATAAATTACAAATTTTTTATCTTTAAATAATACTTTTTAAACTTTTTCTCATGATCGATATATATATATATAGTTATAATAATTTTTATGATTAAATTATAAAATTTTAGGTCAACGATTATTATATATATTTTCTATGAAACTTAACCATTTTTTTCGTAGTTTTACGAAATGTTCAAATGGAAAAACGTTCAAATAATAAAAAACAAGTGATGTGTGTATTATTTATAATTATAAAAATTACAATTATAAAGTATCAAATTTTATTTACCTTTAACTGTTAGATTTATCATCGATAATTTAGATAATACACATTTTATGTTTTGAAAATAGTAAACTTATTTATCTTCTGACGATACATTCGCAGAATCGGTAAATCTACATATATTCCTCAATATGTTTCTATCATAAGAGATAAAAATTATATGGGAATGAAAATGATCATAAATTTGATGTACAATATTATCATTTCTTAAGATTGATTGTGTCAATCTTATTCAAACTGGTCGCCAACTTGTATTCACGTTATATATATAAATATATAGTTCTGTCTATAGAGTATATTACACTCCCTTGCATCTATAACAAAAAATATACTTACAAATTTTATACAGAAAAAATAAAAGAAATAAAGGAATATTTAGAAGATATATTTAAAATTACAGCTTCCTATCATAGACAATTTTTTAAAAAGAGACAAATAATTAATTAACTTTTTGCACGTACAATTCCAAATTGACAAATGTTTAAACTAAAAGATGCGACAAATACTCGATATATTTAATGCGTTAAATAACTTATTGTTAAGTTAAATTTATTTGTAAGTATTCAATCAATCTCTAATCAAACAACGCGGAGTTGCCAAGTACTTAAAAATACTTATACTTGCTTGTTAACAATTTTACCCAATTACAAGAACCACGGCACTATCAAATTCTATAAATAAATATTTCGATTAAGATACATATTTCAGTAACTAAAGCCGTATTAAAAAATCTGACACGACTCACTTTTATATTGAAATTTAAAAGGAAAGTTTAATTGACGAAGATTATATAGTTCCAAGTGGTGTAAAATATATATTACATATATTAGAATTCTTTTATATATGTAAAATTGAAATATTTTGTAAATGTATGAGTCGAACATTTCCATTATATCATCTAGAGTATATATAAATAATAATTGCTAGATTTTTTTGGCACTCCCGACATTTTTCTCGAAAATGTTGACACACTTTATTTAACACGTTTTCGCACTATTGATCTGATATACCGTATCTATATACTATATATAATATATAATATTACGGTCAGTTATTTTTTTCGACATTTCTGATATTTAATTTACACGCTCACTCGCTCATTTATTCTCGATTAATTAATTAATAATTATTTTCATTAATTTAAAATCGTAACTTAAATATAATAAAAGAAAATAATTCTTGATAGCAAAATATTGTCATATATCGTAATTTAATAGTAATAGCAATCAGAGCGTATTCAATGTCATTTCGTCTTTTTTCGAAATTCACGATATTCTATATTCAAAAAAATGCAGTATTATAATATCTATATTACATCGTATTATTAATTTAAAATAAATTATATATTCAAAATTCTCAACATCTCGGAATCTCGAAATCAAAACGCCTTAATGGAATTGAACCACAAATAATATTTATGCCTAATAAATATTTATAATTAATTTTTACCGAATTTATTACCGAGAAATTAAATATTTAAAGTATTTATTTTTTTTGTGCTATATCTAAATTAGAGTCGTATATATGTATTATATATATATATATATATATATATATATATAGATATATAGAGAAAAGAAAGAGAATTAATGGAATGAGATATGCATTTTTATTATTATAACATTTTTTAAGAAGTATATGTGTGCCTGTATATGTGTATTATATATGTATATATGTGTTATGTATAATATAATGTGCGTATAAGTATATATATGTATATCGCAATTCTAGGCGCTTACTTAAGACATCACAAATTTAAATAATTCACAAATTGCATTATTACAAAAATTTATCATAATGCACATTTCAGATTTAATAATTAAAACAACATATTATACATATTTTCATCTATATAAAATAAACTATTATAATTTTTAAAAGATATGATATTTAAATTTTTTTAAAGAAAGAATAAATATGTATGATTATATTAATTTCGTTGATAAGAATAATTAAATTCAACAGTAATTTATAACCGATAATAAATAATTTATAACCGATAAAACACAATGATTTTTTATATATATAAAGTAAATATTAAAAATACTAATAAAATATTAATAAGAAGTTACTAAAATATATTTTGTGGTAACATTAAACTGTTTCGTATATAAAATGTTAAAAACAGACGTGGACCTTGATTAAAAGTTCACACAGTATAAGGATTGAAAACATTGATATATTCATCATGCCAACAATCATCAACGAAAACACAAATGCGCCATGATAAAAAGAAACTGCAGATTTTATCAAAGAAGATTGAACATTTTTGAAAGATAAGGAAGAATTTATAGAGCCAAAGAGCAAGCTTTGATGATTGCTATGTTTTGAATTTTCCATGCTTTTCGTTCTTTTTTTCTGGAAAAATAAACCAATTATATTTTATAATGTAAGATTTGCGGAAGTCGTTTTTTTTTGGTAGTTATGTATAGTTTTTATTAAGAACGGATATAGTCACGTAAACATGTGTATTGTTCAAAAACAATTTAAGAAAGCTTTCAGTTAAATAAGCTCTAACGATATAATTGAAGCACTTCTTACTTTCAATCAATTTTAATATAGCAGTATAAGTTTTGATTCTAGTGTTTAGTTATTAAGCATACAATTAATTGTAATTATTAATAATAAGTATTTGTATGATGAGAAAGCAAATGTATTTAAAGAGACATTATTAACACGTAATTTAAGAAACGTAACGTTCTTATTAAGAAACGTAAATTGTATACAATCCAGAGTTCAAAACTTCGAAGTCCGAAATAATTGCACATTGCATCGTTACATATTAAAACGTAATACTATCTCAGATTTATAAAATTTTATAATGTTATATTTACATCATTTGGTTATAATTAAATGTATTTTGTATACTTATTATATACTTAAGAAATTGCATGCTTAATATCAATTGTTAATTGACAAACAACGACTTGAACAGCTGCTTCACGTCATTTCTATTGTTAAACAGCTGATATGTTTTAATAGCACTGTAAATTTTTTTAAATCTCTACTTGCTGCATTTATTGCAAAAAGATTCACACAACTGTGAATATTTCTTGATATATACTTGGCTATGTATTATATGTTTTTTCTTTTTTTTTTTTTTAGTATAAATTATAATACTGCAAGTTATAATTATTTTATATTATTATGTAACTTATATATTTCTTGATATATACTTGGCTATGTATGTTTTTCTTTTCTTTTAATATAAATTATAATACTGCAATATTTTATATTATTATGTAACTTATTTATCCTATAAATTATCAATTATACACTATTCTAAAAATACTATAATTTATACATTTGTTTGTTTTCATATTGATAACAGAGATGATTATTAAAAAGAACTAGAAAATATCTAGATAAGATAAATTACGACAACATGACAGGCATGTATGCGCGTTGAATATAATAGCCGTGACCATCTGGTGGAAGGGGAAGCAGCCTGTTTGAAATTACAGATCCTTCAGTTCGAATCAAGCTGTCGTTGAAACCTGACAAATTTATCGGTAAGCCGTTTTTTACTAAAAGTTCCTAACTGGATATATTTCATTGATTTATAATTAAGTAGATAATACATTACACAACTATGATGACAATTGTGATAATAAAATTAGATTTGTTATTTATTTGCAAATTTTTAAATATGTATTAGAATAATCGAGTTTCCCAGTGAGAAATTATTGATCGAATAGTCATCAATTCGACATCGATTCGACGAATTTGACATCGATTTGACAACGAATCGACGTCAATTCGACCATTATTTCTTACTGAGTTATAATCGAATCTGATCACGCAGTTACATTTTTCAAAAAAGCAAATATATATAGTTATTTATCTCTTTTGTTATTTAATATATCTATCATTAAAAAAATTCTTTTTTTATTTACATTGCGTGATATTCAACTAGATTCACACAAAATTTATTCATAAGACGTAATACAGCTTCAAAAATGTTACAAGAACTAAACATAAATATCTTACTTAAGTAAGAGAACGAAAAAAATTATTTATTCAATGTCAAAGTTTAAATAATAAACAGTTTAAAAAAAAAAAAAGATATTTTATGCAAGATAGTTAAAAAAGATGAAAGAACAGAAAGAGAGAAAGAAATATCAAGAGAAGTGTTTTTAAATTATAAATAACGAAATTATATATAAATCTTATAAAACAAAATAATAAAACATATTTATTTTGTTTATATTAAAAAGTGTATTTCTGGAGATATCGTTCTATATAGTGATAAAAACTTGTTATCTAAAATGAATAATAAATTTTTTTACCATAAATAAGTTGGGTTAAAGTACAATTTTCAAGGTCCGAATTTTTATCACGTGAATTATACATTTGTAGCACATAAAGTTTTTGCATTAATAAACAGCAAAGTATATTTACTTAAAGTAACACATTATGTTAATTTAAAGTCACATATAAATTTAAATCTTTTTACAAATTAAAAAATTTTCAATTTTATTGATTTAAATTAAAAATACATGTATATACATGTATATATATAAATTTATGCATTGCTTTAAAATATATTGCGATTAGAGTCTAAAAAAGTAGATGTCCTATCTATACGAATAATAAAATTCAATAGAGGTTTGCAAATTAAGTAATAAGTAAAACATCATATGATGGAATAATATATTACATATAATATAAAAATGTACTAGAGCTGTATTGCATACTAACAATATGAATAAATATCTAGTAATTCATAGCTTTAAATACTTTAAATATGTCACGCATATATTTAGAAGAGTAACGTATAACGATCAATCGCTTCAAATATCGTACGTATCAAAAATAAAATTTTATTAAATTCGAATAAATATTTATTTCAATTCTGCCAAAGTAAGCTTTTATTTAAAACTAATAATATTGATTTGATATGAAAAATATTTATTTGAAATAACAAAATTTTTTCAAAACAAATAAATATTTATTTATTTCAAATAAATATTTCATTTGGCAGTATTCAAATAAATATTTATTAATTTTGTCATTTTCTTCAGTATACACATCGCAAAAATGATCAATAATAAATAGTACTTATTTTTTACCATTTTTAATACTTATTTAATTATAAAATAACTATTATTTTCGATGAATATGACAACAATTTCTAAATAGAAAAGTAATCATTAAGCAATCGAATACACGTTAAATCGAGTAAAAACTTGAAAGAGAAGCAATCATAAAATGGAATAATATTTAAAAAAATATCATATATATATTATGTGCGCGTATCTAAGTGTTGTTTTTTATTCTCTTTTTTTTAAATAATTTATCCTCATATTTAAAATATTCCACAGCTATTTTACATAATATAACTCTTGGTGTGATTTTGATTTATATACATATGTATAAATGCATAAGCTATTTCGCTAGGCAACAGAGAAAAACAGAATATGGTTTTAAAATAACACTACGATAAAATGTGTGTGACTGTATATAGACTAATATACATACATGTATTACACATCATGTTTCCATCGTTGAGATGAAAAAACTGGATTTCCATGAACTATTTAGGTATAGAAAAGGTTATCGTCCTTCTATATAGCCCCACTATATGTATATCTATGCTTTTACTATTCTTTATCTTTCTTTCTATGTAGCCGTTTTCAAATGGAAATTTCAAGACGCGTAAACAGAATTTTGAAAAACCATGAATTTAGAATTTTTTTAAACAAAAAGAAAGGTAGAGTCTTAAATATTATATGTTTAAAAATAAAAGATTCTCTCGTTAGCTTAATAATCAATTTAGAATGTTCTGCATTAATAAATATAGTTAACAAATTAAAGTAAGTAATTATAAGAATCAATGTTTCGAAATTTTATTTTGGTTCGAACATTAGATACATTTTTTATCACTATACAAGATGTCAAATCAATCAGTATAAATAACAAGGAGACAATTTCTTTTGCACAGACGAAGAATTTATTAATTTATTAAACTTGTATAGTTTACGAAAAAAAAATGATAATGCGAAAATAATATTCAATTAATTTATAATTATATAAGAAACAATTATATATCATTGTTTACAATCTCGTAAGATTAGTACACGATAAGTTGAATATCTCTATATTTATAAATTGAATAACATATCTCTTAAAAAAATATTTTAGATATAAAAACATATTAATTAGAAAAATAATATATAAGGGTTAAATATATAAGTAATTAAATTAAAAGCTATACTTTAAACATAATTATTTTGAAAATAATTCTTTGAACTGTTAATAACTCAAAACCAGTCAATTTTAAGATATTATTTTAATTCAATCTTAATTTTCCGTTTTAATCATTTTTTACTCGGATGTATAAAATTAAGAAGTTTGTCATTATTCATTTTAATGGATACATGCTTGGATAATTTTAACTTTGATTTTAACATGATTTCAACGAAAATCATTGATTTATTGTTAGACTTTAAGCAACAGTCTTTGAGAAACTATAACGTCATATAAATGATACATATTAAATATATCAAATAATGCTTAATTATTGCTTATTCTTATCATTTACTGAAAATAATTTATTATTGTTAAAAAGTATTTTAAGAATATATACTGTAAAAAAATAGTTTTTTCTACAATAAAAGATTATTAAATCACATAACTTGCTGAATGATGAAATAAAGAAGAAAGGTGAAAAAACATCGTTATTTGTTGTTAAATCAATAACATCACATCAATAACATGAGATGACATTGATAAGATAATTTTATCATAATCACATATGATATTACGTAAAACATTTAAAGATTATATATGTTCAGTATTTAAGAATAAACTCGTATACATGACTATAATTACAAAATTAAATAGACTTTTGTGTATACGAAATGATACTCGAAATAATATTTCCAAAAAATTATATTAATAAATGCTAATAAATTGTGACGAGTAAGATTCTAAGAACTTTGGAATCATAATATAGAAAATATATAGGAAAAAAAATATATAGGAGAAAACAGATCCTGTATTTTTTGTTCTGGGAATTTTTTATCTAAAAATTAAAAAATATATAAAACTTTTTCAAATAGTTTCTCATTCATGTTTAATTTATACGTACATTCTTCTGCATTGTATGCACACTTTTTTGTGGCATTCTAGTGATAAATTATTAAACAATTTTTTCTTCGACAGAGACCAATTGTTTCGAGTTGCTGAAATCATGGATGCGAGCTTGGCTGCTAATTGTGCAGCTGCAAACAGTGGTGCTCCCGCTCATATCTTCGCATATCTGATACAAACACTTCTAGCTGCGCAATGTGGCCTGGCTCAAGACATTTATCCCCCAGATCGCTCAGAAGAGATTGCAAATTCCAATATAGAATTTGATTTTATAATTGTGGGCAGTGGAAGCGCCGGCTCTGTGGTAGCCAATCGTTTGACCGAAGTAGGGGATTGGAAAGTACTGTTGATAGAAGCTGGCGACAATCCTTCGATACTTAACGAACCTCCCGCAACTTTTTTAATGCAAATAGACTCACCGGTGGATTATTCGTATGATGTCGAACCCGAAAAATTGGCTTGCCAGGGTAGCAAAGACAAAAGGTGCAAATGGGCAAGAGGTAAGGCTCTCGGTGGCAGTTCTACTCTAAATGCTATGCTTTACATTATGGGCAACGATGAGGACTACAACGAGTGGTCTCGATTGGGGAACGAAGGTTGGAGTTTTGATGAAGTTCTGCCATACTTCAAGAAATCGCAATCTTGTGGTCATGGACATAATGACGAATGGAGAAGCAAATTTTGTGGTCACGGCGGACCGTTAAATATTAGATACTTCAATTACAGCAGTTCGGATTTGTTTGAATTGGTTCTAAACGCCGCTCGCGAGTTGGACATGCCTATTTTGGAGAATATTAATAACGGCGACAAGTTTATCGGATACGGTGTAGCTATGGGCACTGTCGATAATGGTCGCAGAATAAGTACCGCGAAAGCTTTCCTGTCGCCGATAAAAGATAGGAGCAATCTCTATGTAATGAAGTCTACTCGAGCCGATGCTGTTCTCCTCGATGGTAATCGAGCTGTCGGGGTACGAGTGACTTTGAAGGACGGTAGGACGATAGACGTGAAAGCCTCGAAGGAAGTGATCCTGTCGGCCGGCAGCCTCGACAGTCCCCATCTCCTTATGCTTTCCGGCATAGGACCCAAGGAGCATTTAAGCGAAATGGGAATACCTACTGTAGCTGATTTGCCTGTCGGCAAGAATCTTCAGGATCACCTTAGATGGACCTTATTCACATCTTTCAAAAATCACAGCGCGACACCCACATCGCCCCAGTATATATTCGACGAAGCTTACGAATACTTAATGCACAATCGAGGTCCCTTCGCAACTAGCGCAGCCCACGACCTTCAAGGGTTCATCAACGTACATGACCCGAACTCCAAATACCCAGACATTCAGTTTCATCATATTCATTTCCCGCAATGGCAGGTGGAAAAAGCATTCATGTCACTAATACAGCTATATGTAAACGAACAAATCAGTCAAGAAGTAACGAAAATTGTGACACAGGAGACGGTAATGAGTATTATACCTACTTTGCTAAAGCCAAAAAGCACAGGCGAATTGCGACTACGTAGCACAGATCCAGCAGATCCAATCAGAATCTTCGCCAATTATTATTCCGAAGAGGAGGACATTGAGACGATGTTAAAGTCTTTGGACTTCGTGAAGAAGATGATGGAAACCGAGGCGTTTAAACGGCAAGGAGTAAAATTACATAATATAGATATTGAGGATTGTCGTCACACTGAACCTGGTTCCGAGGAATATTGGAGGTGTAATCTGCGACATTTGTCATTTACGCTTTATCATCCCGTTGGAACAACCAAGATGGGTCCTCGAGATGATCCCACAGCCGTCGTGAGCCCACGATTAAAGGTCCACGGCGTACAGGGATTGAGGGTGATTGATGCATCCATCATGCCACGAATTACCAGCGGAAATACAAATGCACCTACAATAATGATAGCCGAAAAAGGCGCGGATCTCATCAAAGAAGATTGGTCGGCAGTTATAACTAACAAGGATGAGTTGTAAAGATTAAATTTTAAAAAAGCTACTTATGAGTTTTTATTTTTACTCTCTCTTATCTTTTCACTTTTTTCTTTTTTGATATCTGATAATTGTAAAAATTAAATCGAACATGTTAAAGCTTTAAAATCTAAAAGAGAAATAAATATTATTTTACTAGTAAGTGTTTAGTGGATTGTATGTACATATATACGTTTATAGATTTTTTCTACAAAAAGAATCTTTAATTTAATTACTGTAATAATTAAATTATAAAATTCTGTCAATCGGTTCTTGCATCAACTTAAATTTTAATTTTAACATTTAATTTTAAGTTAAATTTTCAAGTGATATGAAGATGGATAACTATAACAATAAAAATATTTTATAAATATATTATTATAATTAAAAATTAATAACATGTAATCACAAAATTTTGTAAATAAGTAAATAAATAATTAGAAAAATAGGTATCTCTAATTGTGTATTTTCTTATCACATGATAATATAATTTTATAAAATATAATTAAGTTTCAAAATAATATGCTTATACTGTTAAAGAATATTTCAAATTATAATCTTTTATTTATCCAGTAGCTGTTATAATTAATTATTGTTAATATTATACATCTAATAATAATACGAGATGGACAAAGAATTTTATCAAAAGTACAAAGGAAAGAATTACAAAATTGACTAAAAGATACCAGATGGACCTGCAACCGTGACACAAAATTTTTCTTATTAATTTATTATTTTATTATTTTATATAACTTTATCTTTATTTAATGTAATATAAATTTTAATACACTTATACGCACGTGTATGCGTTATGTATATGTAAGATAAATATACATAGACAAAAAACGTTATAAATGTAGCTATTTATAAATAGGTATACTTCTTCTATAATTCTAAACGTTTGCGGATGTACGTTCTAATAAGATAACACTGCACCTTACATAAATATCATATAGTAGTCTTAAATTAAAAAAATGCAAGCTATCATTAACACTACACTTCTACAAAATAGGTAATTACTTTATGTTTCACTTATGATTCACTATATTATATAACAACACACAAATACAGATGCATACATAACATACGCGCAAACACACACACACAATATGTATTCTTAGATGTCATCATACTTTTAATATATGAATGAATACGATTATACATTACAGAATAACATTTTGTCGTCATATCGTGTCGTGTGATATAAATATATACTTTTGAAAACGATAGAGCAGTGTAAAATAAAAACTAAACAAATTATTTATTCTTATATAAAATTGTAATATTTTCTCTAATTATGACTACATATTTCATTAAAGTTGATGGTGATACTTTAGGCGCTGTATTTACATCGTCAATTGAATTCGAAAAAGTATCGCGATGCAAATATATTAACTATTAATGATATACTATTCATCATTGTATATGTATAATTAACTATATACATATAATTATAGCAAATTATAATATAAATACAATTAAATAAATAATTAAATTATTTGAATTTTATAATTAAAAATTAAAAATAATGATATGTTATATTAATCACAAGTAAAATTAATAATTAAAATGATAAAGTATGTATTAATAATAATAATGATAATACACATAAATCACCTGAATCGTTAAAAAAAGAATAAAAAAATAAATATTTGAAAATACTGCAAAAGTCCAGTGAGCAAAAATATTATAGTCTTTCAAGTTTTCAGAAATTTATTAGAATTGTGCTGCATTATGTATAATATACTATATACAATGCTCTTGCCATGCACTTAACTACATGTTTGCGTAAACGTAAACAGAATCATTACATTGCACACAAAAAAAAATAGAGTTATTGCATGTTTCTTGAAAAAGCAATAACGTGATATAACATCGTATAATTGGTAACATCAATCGATTTTTACATTGATTTGCTTTTGATATTCATTCGTTTAATAATTTCTAGCAAACTGTTGAATATAATTTAAAAATAAAAGATCTATCCACCATAGGATTAAATAATATATGTATATTGATAAAAATAAAATTTTACGATATGTATATTGATAAAATAAAAGATTATGTAATATATGTATTATTTGTAATATGTAATGTATATATGTTGCTCGATATTAAATAAGTAATAATGGAGTGCATGATTATAATGTACATATGATAAAAGAATTTTGTATTATAATTGTACTTTATAATTTTTAATTTAAAAATATTTAAAAATATTGTACTTTATAATTTTTCAACTTTTTTTGTAGCCTTTTGTGTGTTTAGAGAGAGAGAGAGAATCAAATTTTTATGTTAAATTAATATTAATAGATTCAATAACAGCTCTTTTTCACTGTTAATTAATTTTAATGTGCTTATTTCGTACAAAATTAATTTTTCCCAAATGTATAATTTATTTTCATTCTAATATATTTAACGTCAAATAAGCATATATGAATGATCAAAAAATTTGTATCGCAACTTTCATCATGACTTTTAAATCGAAATATAAAAAAAACAAGTTTCATCCTGACCAGTCTAGTGCTATAAAAATAAAAATCGCGAAAACGTCTATATATGTTTCATCGTTTTCAATTAAATTTAATAATACGTATGCAGATATTAGGAACCGGCAACGAAAAGAATGAATGCGAACAGAATCCGGCATCGAGCAGGAATGTAACCGTGTATATATGTAATCTGGAAAGTACAAGCTCGTTCTCGAACATCTGCTCTCGAACATTCTCGAGTTCGCTCGGCGCGTCAACGACGCATCGTTTCTGTTGATGTACACGTCATATACATACTCGACCCGGCTCGCTATAAATACGCGGCGCGCGCCGGCTCCGGCAACAGTTGACATTAGGCGATCAATCGTTCAGTGCGAGTCGTGCGAGAGACAGAAAAGGAAGCTTCTTGAAGGTGTTCATCTGCCAAATTCGCTCGGCAGATTTGTCATTTCGATCGAGAGGAAAAGCAAAAGGCTTCAGCATGTCCCTGGTACCGCTGCTGTTCTCTGACTGGTGGGAGGATCTGGAATATCCCCATCGGATCTTCGATCAAAACTTCGGTCTGAGTCTCCACCCGGATCAGCTGATGAACTCAAACATTCTGGAACGTTTCGCGCAGCAACGTGACAGGCGTCTCAGATCGTCACCGGTTTACTACCGACCCTGGGGCGAGATGCTACGCACCTCCAACGAAGCCGGCACGTCCACCGTGAGAGCGGACAAGGACAAGTTCCAGGTTATTCTAGACGTGCAACAGTTCAAGCCGGATGAGATCAATGTCAAGGTCGTGGATAAGTGCGTCGTAGTCGAAGCCAAGCACGAGGAGAAGCAGGACGAGCATGGCTGGATCTCGCGGCAGTTTGTGCGCAAGTACTTGATACCTGAACAATGTGATATCGATCAGGTGTCATCGAGCCTATCCTCGGACGGGATCCTGACCATCCTCGTCGCCAGGAAGGACAAGCCGGAGACAAAGAACGAGCGCTCGATCAAGATCGAGCATACCGGCAAGCCGGCGATTCAGGAGAAGGCGGCGGAGAAGAAGAAGGTGGAGAAAAAGAATTGAATAAAATAGATTGACTTTTCACGAAAATATATATTATTCCTAATGTGTTGTGTATTCATGAAAAGGCGTTCTTATACGTACGCTTTATGTTTGTGTGATTTACATTTTTTTTCTTTTTTTTTGTTTGCTCAAAGCATTCGTGTTTACTTTTCTTTTCATTTTTATTTTTGTAAGATAACAAATTGATCGAATAAAAATGTTCAATTGGACTTAATCGAGTGAGTTTCTAATGTTCTACCCGTGCTATTTTCCTGTCCTACTTTTCTTAGATAATATTTCACGGCGAAATTATATAGTGTGATATTAAATCAAGGTTAGAGATTAAATTAGATAGCGTATAAGTAGAAAATGAGAGAAAGAAATATATATAAAGAGAAAAATATATTTTTCAGTCATACAAATGTTTCATACAGATGCTTAAGATAAGCTTAACTTTTTGAAAACCAACATAATTTAATATTTCTGTATATATTAAAGTGTTTTATATTCTTAAATTTAAATTCCAAAAAATATGCTGTCCCAATAAATATAAAAGTTTACACGAATAATCATTTAAAGGTTAAATTTTAAATATTTAAATTATTTTCTTTATAATATATACGATTGAGTTTATATATATAATATAAAAAACTTATGATTCGCCAGACAGCTAAATAAATGAAATCCAATGAACGACCAACTCCGGCTAGAATTTAAAAAAATTTTTATATATAATATTACAAGTTTTTTCATGTACGTTATTACAAATTTATCGTACACGTAATTTACATAATTTCAGAAAATAATATGCGTCAACACACGTAATTTACATAATTTCAGAAAATAATATGCGTCACTGAATCTTCTTCAATTTTATTCGTTTTCAGTATTATTACTTTTTTGTACTTAAATAATTTATATTTACAACCTTTATACAGAAAAAGTACGTATATTCACAAAATTATATGCATAATCTCACATATAAAGAATTCTTTAGACAGACAATAATTTATTATACAATTTTTTAGGCAACTGTATATATAATTTGTCGAATGTTTAAATTAAAGGCTGCTACATATATTATCAATGCAATAAGTAACTTGATAAGTTGAATTTGCTTGTAGATATTTGATCAACATTTGATAATTTCAATCTCTAGATAGATGAAACAAAATAAATTTATCGATTACTGTAAACTTATCATAAAAAGATAAATGAGTTTACTACACTAAAAAGATAAATAATCTATATTATTGATGATAAATCTAGCAATTCTTATTACGCAACGAAAAATAAAATTTATCTCGGAAATACATTTTAACTTATATTATTTATAATTATAAATAAAATATCCCTCTCGTTTTTTTTATTATTCCATGATTTTTTTTAGTTAAACAGTTTAAAAGCTACAAAATCAAATTACATGTATATCACTGTTTTAGTTGATACAATTGAATTTACTATACGCATTATTTTGCATTGGATTTAATTTTAAAAATACGTTAATTATACTGATACTCTATCAATTTTATAATTTAATCAAAAATTATTATAATGTGAAAAAGTAGGTATTAAAAAGTGTATTATATAATTCAAAGAAAACTCTTAATTATTTGTACACATGCATACACACACAAACTCGATGTTATATTGCAAAAAATCAATCAAGAAATACAACGAAACATCGATTCAATTAGAATCATCATTGAGAAGATCACATAGAACATTACATAGTTATTGGTCACCAGTGAGAATCGCGTGACAGACGATCGAATACAAACATCTACAAGAGAAAAGAAAGTTATTATGTTAAGATTGTGTAAAATATTATGTATTTTATTGAAAGTGTTAATGTTAACAAGAACAGCCATCACTTCCTCTTCGAAGGATCAGGAGGCTCCTATAGCTCAGGTCAGTCTCCAGAAAAAATATTTTCATGTATCTTAATCTAAATCTCAAGCAACATTTTTAAATTTTACACAGAGATTTATTTTAAAAAAATTATATATACATATATTATATATCACAAATAATAGATTTACTTATTTTAATTAAAACTATATAATTACGTAACTATAGAATTTTCATATATAAATATAAAGTATATAAATTTTACGTTATACATTTAAAAATTGTAATTATATAGTACAAAATTAAACTACAATGTGATGATATATTAAAACATAAACGTAACACAAAATAGAACAGAACAGAAAATTATCTGATTTATTATTGACCTTGAGACTAACTGATTGAGAGCAATTTATTATACCGACATTCACATTGTATTGACTTTCTACTTCGATATTTAATCTTTTTGTTACGTATGCAACTTATTTTACTAAAAAATAGATCTTTTTAATGTTCCGAGCGCTCCTGAAATACCTACGATAATGATACTTGCAAATTTCAAGTATTAATTAAACTGGGAACCTGCACAAGCTCATGATGCACCAGTGATTTTATATCGGCTAGAGGGTTTAATCGTCAAAGATAATCAGACCGACAAAAATGAATATTGGAATTTATATTATAATGGAACAAATAATTACAGGATAATTACAAAGGACATAAATCAGAAATATCGATTTCGCGTGCAGGCTAAAAACGCTTATGGCTTTGGGGAATGGAGTAAATCAAGTGTGGTCATTGATTCAAATTTAATAAAATCTATCGAAATATTAACTGCGCAATATCTATACACTTACGTACCATTAATATTAAGCCTGGTCTTTATCTCCAAGTTATTTAATATTTGTTATTATAAAAATTGTTCCGAATAAATTGAGATGACAATGCCTCTAATTGTTGTTGAACTTAGTATTTGACTGTCAACGTGTTCTAAGAAGAATCTATCAAGAAACATTGAATCAATTAATGTAATCATTGAGAAGAGTTCGAAACATTAGTTGATAGCTGCTGGTTGTCAGTCGAGAATCGGGTGAAAGCCAATCGAGTGCAAACATCTACAAGAGAAAAGCAAGTTATTATGTTAAGAGCTTTAAAAATATTATGTATTTTATTAAAAATGTTAATACTAACAAGAACAGCCAACACTTCCTCTTCGGAGGATCAGGAGGCTCCTATAGCTCAGGTCAGTCTCCAGAAAAAATATTTTTATGTGTCTTAATCTAAATCTCAAGCAACATTTTTAAATTTTACACAGAGATTTATTTTTAAAAAATTATATATACATATATATCACAAATAATAGATTTACTTATTTTAATTAAAACTATATAATTACGTAACTATAGAATTTTCATATATAAATATAAAGTTTATAAATTTTACGTTATACATTTAAAAATTATAATTATATAGTACAAAATTAAACTAAAATGTGATGATATATTAAAACATAAACGTAACACAAAATAGAACACAACAGAAAATTATCTGATTTATTATTGACCTTGAGACTAACTGATTGAGAGCAATTTATTATACCGACATTCACATTGTATTGACTTTCTACTTCGATATTTAATCTTTTGTTACGTATGCAACTTATTTTTACTAAAAAATAGATCTTTTATATAATGGAACAAATAATTACTGGATAATTACAAAAGACATAAATCAGAAATATCGATTTCGCGTGCAGGCTAAAAACGCTTATGGCTTTTAGGAATGGAATAAATCAAGTGTGATCATTGATTCAAATTTAATAAAATCTATCGAAATATCAACTGCGCAATACCTATCATATCTATACACTTACGTACCAATAATATTAAGCCTGGTCTTTACGTTTGTAATCTGTTGTATTTACTATTTTTACTATTGTAAGTATATTTAATATAAATTTCAGATTTTTATTATATATTATTTTAGATTTGATATGTGTGTATATTATATAGTTTCTGGGAAGTTATATATATATGCATATATAGTTATTTTATTAAGATATGTATAAATTTTGCAATGCAGTAGATAAATGTAATATAGTGTTTCTTTTTATTTAACAGCATATCAACAACGCAAAGAGAACAAAATAATTGTGCCTTCAAGATTGCAATACAATCTAGGCGAGTTGGCCATGACTATAATTGAAGAACAGCAAATTATTCTAGGAAATCTTCTAGGTAGCGGTACATTTGGACAGGTAAAAATTAATTTTTTATTATTTACATATATTCTCGAAAACTTTTCTTAATTTTTAATAAGAAAATTTTGATTTTAATTAAACATTTTTTAATACAAATATTTGCAAAAATCAAAACTTTATAAAAAGTAAAACAATGTAAACATTTTAGCACGCATTTTATCAATTTGCGTTGACTATGAAATATTTTACAGGTATTTCGAGGAACTCTCAAGAATTTTGAAAGATCAGACACACCTGTCGCCATAAAAATGCTAAGAAAAAATGCTTCCTTGAAAGAGAAAAAGAAATTCTTACGAGAGGCCAAACTTATGAACTATTTTCGTCACAAACATGTACTGAGATTATTAGGCATCTGTGTGGACACGGATTCACCAATGATTATGGTATTGGAATTAATGGAGGCTGGTGACTTATTAACTTATTTGACAGAGAGTCGGACGTTGCAACCTTTACATCCGCACGCTTTGCGTCTACAAGACTTGCTTGCCATGTGCGAAGATGTTGCACGGGGTTGTCGCTACTTAGAAGAACTGCATTTTGTGCATAGAGATCTCGCGTGTCGAAATTGCTTTATATCGGCAAGAAATCGTGAAAACCGTATTGTAAAAATCGGCGATTTCAGCTTAGCTAGAAATCTTTACAAGGAAGATTGTTACCGCGACGTAAGTGTTCTAATTTGAAAAAGATAACGTTATCATTTTCATTTTTGCATAGTTATAATTATTTATATATTTATAAGCCGCTTAGAATGTAAAAAAATTTTTTTAACTGTATAAATAGAAAAAAAAATAGATGACTTAATTTTATTTACATATAACACTTGCTTCAAAATTAAATGATTTCGTCAAAAAAATTAATTGCATAACCGTTCTAGAAAGGGGAAGACCCTCTCCCTGTTCGCTGGATGGCCCCGGAATTTTTGATGGACGGTATATTTACTTCACAAAGCGATGTTTGGGCATTTGGAGTACTGATGTGGGAAATTATGTCATTGGGTGAACAGCCTTATTTTTCCAAAAATAATTCAGAAGTAGTGCAGTATGTGTGTACGGGCGGTAAGCTGTCGAAACCTCTCAACTGTCCACCAATGTTGTTCCAGTTGATGCTGCATTGTTGGACTGCGGTAAACAATAGACCAAATTTCATACATTGTCTCGAAAATATCATAACATTGAGAGACAACATAGAAGACGCGAAACTGATTTGAGTTCGATAGTTAATTTAAAATATATTAAAAATAATAATAAAATGTATGATTAAAAGAGATATTAATATTTTTAACTAACTTTAACCTAACTTTAGTTTAAAAAAATAATTATAATTTATCCAATCTTGGCAAACGTACAGAGAAACATATACACATATATTAATAAAATTGATATTTATGTTTAATAAACATATAATTTCAAGAAACAAAATGTCGAGCGATTGTTTATGTGTTGTATATTATGCAGAAATATTTCATAATATAATACAGCGCTTAAACTTATATACATATATTCTGTGAAATAAAATAATAAAATTTTATATTAGATATTAAAGACCTGCGTATATAATAGAGAAAATGTTAGGAGAATAAATATTAAAATATTAGAAAAAGGAATTATTTTAAAAAATCAAAAAGACTTTGTAATACGAATATATAAATCTTATCTGCTTATACTTTTTAATTTTAAGAAACCTTTATATCTGAATTTGTATTTGTATATATCAGAGTTTTTCTATTTTCTGTTTTTCTGAATCGTGAATTTGGAAAAAAGACGAAATCGCATTGAATGCTCTGATTATTATTATTATTAAATTATGATATGTGACATTATTTTACTATCAAGAATTATTTTTTTTTTATTATATTTAAGTTACGATTTTAAATTATTGAAAATAATTATCCAGAATAAATGAGCGAGTGAGCGTGTAAAATAATATCACGAGTGTCGAGAAAAATAACTGACCGTAATATTATATATTATATATACTATATAGATATAGTGCGAAAACGTATTAAATAAAGTGTGTCGACATTTTCGAGAAAAATGTCGGGAGTGCCAAAAAAATCTAGCAATCTTTATTTATATATACTCTAGATAATATAGTGGAAATGTTCGATTCATACATTTACAAAATATTTCAATTTTACATATATAAAAGAATTCTAATATATGTAATATATATTTTACACCACTTGGAATTATATAATCTTCGTCAATTAAATTTTCCTTTAAAATTTCAATATAAAAGTGCGTCACGTCAGATTTGTGAGTACGGTTTGCTTTAGTTGCTGAAATATGTATCTTAATCGAAACATCTATTTGACGTCATTTGTAAAATTCGATAGCGCCGCGGTTCTTGTAACTGCGGGCAAAATTGTTGACAAGCTAGTATAAGTATTTTTAAGTACTTGGCAACTCTATTGCGTCGTTTGATTAGACATTGATCGAATACTTACAAATAAACTTACCAATAAGTTAATTAACACATTAACTATATCGAATATTTGTCGCATTTTTTAGTTTAAACATTTGTCAATTTGGAATTGTACGTGCAAAAAGTTAATTAATTATTTGTCTCTTTTTAAAAAATTGTCTATGATAGGAGGCTGTAATTTTAAATATATTTTCTAAATATTCTTTTATTTCTTTTATTTTTTTGTATAAAATTTGTAAATATATTTTTTATTATAGATGCAAGGGAGTGTAATATACTTTATAGACAGAACTATATTATTATATAACGTAAATACAAGTTTTCGATGGCGACCAGTTTGAATAAGATTGATACAATCAATCCTGAGAAATGATAATATCGTACATCAAATTTATGACCATTCTCATTCCCATATAATTTTTATCTTTTATGATAGCAACATATTGAGGAATATAGATTTACCGATTTTGCGAATGTATCGTAAGAAAATAAATAAGTTTACTATTTTCAAAACATAAAATATGTATTATCTAAATTATCAATGATAAATCTAACACAGCTAGAGATAAATAAAATTTGATACTTTATAATTGTAATTTTTATAATTATAAATAATACACACATCACTTGTTTTTTATTATTTGAACGTTTTTCTACTTGAACATTTTGTAAAGCTATAAAAAAAAATGATTATGTTTCATAGAAAAAATATATTAATCATTGATCTACAATTTTATATATAATTTAATCATAAAAATTATTATAACTATATATATCATTTCGTTTAATCTAACCGAATATAATTGTGCACGCAAAACAATGTTATATTATTTTTTGATAATAAAATCTCCAAAATTGCGACGCATACAAATATGATTTTTTCAATCAATGCATAAAAAATATGTTAATTAATTATGCAACACATAAAAATTTAATATTTATATCTTTAACAGAAAATACTTACAAAAAAATAAAATTTTCTACAAGAATCTTTTGTGAACAAATATCTACGCTTTCATTAGACTCACACGAAACTCTATACCCCACATATCTGTCACGCTGCGCGGCTCGCGCGAGACTGATTTTTTGAAGGGTATCGCGAGCGCGAAACCGAAGGTCACATGACCAGTGATCACATGACAAATGGTCACGTGACGACTAGTCATGTGATCATCGGGCCCGCGCTCGCGATACCCCGCAGAGAATTGAGAGAATTAGTCTCGCGCGAGCCGCGCAGCGTAATGAACGTGTGGAGTGTATTAATTATATTTGATTAAACTAAACAAAATAAGAAAAAATATATAAAAAATTTTATATATACAAAATAGTTCTCAAACAATACAATTAGAAATTCGACAAATTAAAATTATGTACAATAATAGAAATTTAATAAATTAAAGTTATATACATAATAGAAATTCGGGAATTAAAATTATGTACATAATAGAAATTCGGCGATTTAAAATTATTTACATAATAGAAATTCGGGAATTAAAATTATGTACATAATAGAAATTCGGCAAAGTAAAATTATGCACATAATAGAAGTTCAGCGAATTAAACTTATGTATATAATAGAAATTCGACGAATTCAAATTATGGTCATAGCATCAAGCAAATGTCATTGCAAATATTGATATTTTTTTATTTTTTAATTGTAGGATTATTATATCTACGTGCATAAGATGATTCGAATAAGAAGAAAACTAATCGTTTTTATTTATATATGTATAAAGGAAAAGAGATGAGTTAACTGCGCATATATACACATAATACCTGTTTCCTAAAATACAAATTCGGTAAAAAAAACTTATTTGTGCTATGATTGTATTTTAGAAAGGAGAAGGCCTGCTTCCTGTTCATTGGATGGCACCGGAATCTTTAATGTTTGAAATGTTTACTTCACAAAGCGATGTTTGGACATTCGGAATATTAATATGGGAAATTACGTCATTGGGTCAACAATCCTATTGTGCCAGAAATAATTTAGAAGTATACCAATATGTGTGTGAGAGAGGCAAACTGCCGAAACCACTTAATTGTCCACCAACTTTGTATCAATTGATGCTACGTTGTTGGATATGGCGAACGATAGACCAAATTTCATAATTTGTTTCCAAAATATCGCTGCTCTAAGAGACAACATGGAAGACGCGATACTGAGTTCGGTAAATATTTTTAGATGTAAAAAGTGATGAAATAATTGTATTTCTTTTCATATGCATATTATTGCATGGAGCAATGAATTTGTACAAATCGATATAATAATGATTAAAAGATATTACAAAGATATTTTTTTACTTTTGCTCATGTTTCTTTTAATTTATAATATATATATTTAATATTATTTTAAATTATTTGTTTTGCTAGTATTACAACGTAAGTTAGACTACAACTATAAAGTTAATATACAATGTATACATTTTTATGTTTATTAACATATATAGATTTGAAAAAGTTTACAGCCCCCAAGCGACAATTTATAAATAATTTGTATTTAATTATAAGTAATTTAGGAGAAAAAACTTTTTTTGACAAGTTACATCAGAGATGATAACATAAGCTTATTTTCAATTATGACTTAATTTTCTATACTAAAAAGAAACATGTTTTTCATGCGGTTACGTAATTTGTTATCGTCAGATTATGTAATCAGCAGTCACAATAAGTCAATAAGTGAGGATTTTCGCTCTGCTCTCGAAATACGTAGCCGCGCGTAAAAAGAATGCCTGCGTCTGCAGTTGCATGACAATCTGCAATCGGTCGAAAATAATAAGCAGGAGACGTTGGAAATGGGTGGACACTTCTGGACGAGTCAAGCGTGCAAGAAGACACAGAGAGACAGTCTGAAGTCTGAGGTCAGGGAAAGAGGATAGAGCGTGCTTATCGTGCATCGTCTCCAGCTACCTCACGGAATCTACTTCTCCTCTTGCTTCTCCTTACCCACCATCACTCTCCTCCCTAATCTTTCCCTCTCTTTTTCTCACCTCCCGGCTTGCTTCGCAGCTTCCCTGTACTGCAAACGACTCAGCTGACGTTTGCGAAAAAAAAGCACGAGGGTCCATGTGTTGCGAGACTCGTATGTATACGCTCGAGCTACGTCCGATCTTGGTCGAGCTCTGCTAATCTAGATAAAATACGCGATCATCAAAAAATGAAGCAGCCAATCTATCTAATTAAGCTCGAGATTGTCCATTGTACGAGTATACTTTTACTAAATATTATAGAGTGCATATTCGTCTCTTTTTTTAATTTTTAATAAAATGCATTTTTTTTAAATGATGTCGAAAGCACAGCTAGCCGTACCTTCAAACTTTTAACCGCCAATGATGCTTCAAATGATGTCATAGAACCTTTGACGTAATCGCTTCCTTGACCGAGCGATTTTTGAGAGCTTCTGTCGACACTTGTAATCGATTTTACCGTTGTTTGTTGAGCTATATACATACATATATATATATATATATATATATATATATATATATATATATAACTACGTAGCAAAATACAATAATATAATAATTTTTTTAATGATTCTTTTTTTACTACTTTATAATACTGTTACACTACCTTATACTACTTTATACTATTTTTTATAGGTAAGATTTGTCAGAGTAAAGTTGAAACTTTAGAGCACTTAGCAGTAAATTGTATTGTGTAGAAATAAGAAACAATGCTATAAATCAATTATTGGGAAGAAAGAATTTTGTTTAGTTGCATGAAAAAATTGTAAAGGTAAGGAAAAAGAATAAAACTACAGAAAATCAAGGAAAAATAGATTTAGAAAAAAAATAAAACAAGTTAAACAAAATAATGAAAATCTGAATGGTTCAATTAAAAAATACACTTAAAATTGTATATTTTTCTATTTTATAATAAAATTACTTTACATATATTCTAGGACATGGACGCAGATATAATAACGTATGTAACAACTATTCTCATATACAAATCGATATCTTAAGAAAATCTTGCATTTTTCATTCAATTTTGTCTTTTAGTTAAGTACGCAAAAAATATGATACAGGCAAGTATTTACGTGTCTTAAAACGACGTGCACAAGCTGTAGCAATGTCGATAGAATGCAGTCTTTACGCGAAGGTAACAGAATGCGCCAGGAAACGAATTGCACGAGGAGCACGTCGAGTGGTGCGGCACAATCTAGTATTCCCAGTGCTATTGCAGGCCCAATGACCTGATTGTGGCTGTTCGAAAAATTTATTTCCCTCCGTCACTATTACTCATCAAGGACTCAACTATACTACTCAACTACAGTGGTCACATTTTATTAATAATTGGAACTTTGAACGTAAAGATGAAAAAAAGATATCAAAGATAAAATTGAATTTGAGATAATGGGAAAAATTCTTCTCATACGAATCTTGAGATATCTCTGAATACCTGAAGTATAATTATGTATGACAAGTTTAAAGTGAGTATATGTGTGTGCGAATTGAAAATAACTCCGCCCTCGAGAGAACTTAATTAGAAGCGAAATAAAAGTATAAAGATTGCAGATACAATTTTTTAATCATGTCAAGATATCGATGGAAGCTGCACTCTCAATATAATTAATTGCGACTTCGCTAATGAGACTGCTTGTTATAAATAGGTATTTTTTAATTTTTAAATTCTTATTTTCTACATTATTTAAATTTTAATCTAATTTCAAAAAATCTGCATTCTGACTCGCTAATCTGTCTCCTCTTTTTGCCTTTTATATGTCTTCTCCAACTATTTTGCACACATCGAAACGTATGTATACTCTCTCGATAAGTGGCCACTCGACACTGTACGAGCGAGATGAACACGTACCTTTCTATTCGTGGCACAATTTTCGGGGATCGATATATCGATCGGCGTACTAGTGTCTTCAAATAGCGGAGTAGTTAGCGCCTCTCTGTCAAAGATTTTCAGGAGAACAGTGAGAATGAGAAATGAAGAAAAACATGATGCGCATATCTCTCTTCGTATGCAACTACGATTGCAAATCTTTTGGATTTAACATATTCGATAATAAACGTCTTTTATTTATTATTACGTTGTAACTTTGTAGGAAAATACAATTTTTCAATTTTTAATATTATATACACAATATATCTTATTTAGCAAGAAACATCTAATTACAGTTTTAATTTAATTTCAAAAATGTCATGAAAATTAGAAAAATTATATTTTCCGAATAAATAAGATTTTTTGAACGTGTTTCTAGAAAAAGTCGTAAAATATTAAAGAGACAAAATGCGAGAAGATAAAGACAAAATTAATTAATAAATTTAAAAGAACTTCTAAAATTTAACCTCGAACAGAGACACAATGAAACTTGTAAATGGGGCTAATGACACAAACAATAAGATAGAAGATTTTAAGAATACAGATGTGTGATGACGACGACGCTGATATGCCGCATTGGAGTAAATTTGAGGGATTGTAAACCATGACACGGGCACATCTTTACCCCGGAGGGATTACCACCACCTCTCGGCCGATCCAGCTCGCGATACTCCAGATTCTCCAGATTCACAGCCTGTCGTCATGTACGAGAGTTACCCCTTCTTTGCGCCGGTACTTGTTCCCTCTGTGCCTCTGTCAAGTGGAGGAGAAGCAGTCGCGGTTGGAAGGTATTGCCGTTCCTGGTCCACCACCTTCGCAGCCACCACCACCTCCATCGTCGTGGGGTTGGTGCCTATACGCAACGATGAGGATTCTGCAGATTTGACAAAGTCGTTTCAAGAACTCAGTCGTTGCTTGCCTGTCCTCGTAAATTCGGGATTACTTATTAAGGAGCTCATTCGCGCTTCCGAATTATCTCGAAAATCTTCATTTCCTTCTTCTTTCTCTCTTTCTTCTCTTGAGAAGTGTGTGACTTGTATTCGTTTCCTTCCTACATATTTTTCTGTTTTTCTCTTTTGCTTTCTTTCTCGCTTCTCGTGTCGTTTCGATCGTCGACTCAAAAATGCGTTAAAGCACGACGGATACACATCCATGGAGGAGATACACGGAAGCGGCATGTCTTCCGCGACGCTCTCATCCGTTTTGCTTCTTCTACTCTTTGGTCGCGCCACGAATGCCCAGTAAGTAAATTTTCATTTGTATCTCGTCGTGTTTCAACATTTATATTTTACCACCGATATGTCAAAATCTTATATTTTACCACCGATATGTCAAAATCTTATATCTTACCACCGATATGTCAAAATCAAAATTTTACAGCCAATTTTCTTTAGTGAACATTACACCGCAAATTGATTTTAAATTGGATTATAATCAATTTTTAAAAATAATTGAGAGCTTAACTGGAAATTTTGATTTGTATCTCGTCATGTTGTAAAATTTATATTTCACCATTGATAATTAAGAGATTAACTGTAAACGGAATTTATATAACGAGATTGAAACTTTTGTTAATATTAAGATTAATCGATGAAAGCTAGACATGAGATATTCATGTATAAATCGCATTTTTTTTTGTTTCGCAGAAAAAGTTTAGAATTTTTCGATCTCCTGCCGGAAGATCCTAAGTTGTACGATAAAATGAGACCTCCCAAGAAAGATGGTCAACCAACTGTTGTATATTTTCACGTTACTGTGATGGGACTCGATTCCATCGACGAAAATTCAATGGTAATTAATTACAATAAATTATTAATTTATAGAAACAAGATACAATATATACAATATTATAAAACTTTAATGCTCATTCGATTCTTTTTAATCACGATTATCGGGATCGTAAAACGGATAATTTTTACAGACGTACGCCGCCGACATTTTCTTTGCCCAAACATGGAAAGACAATAGACTCCGACTTCCGGAAAATATGACATCCGAGTATAGGTACATAAATCATTATTGTATATAATTTTAAAAATTTTTATCATTTATGTATTTTGTATTTACACACATTTTATTTAAATTTTTCTACAAATTTTTGATGAACTCTATTTTCAACATTCGTACTTTTACTTCCTTTATCATATTTTCTGTCATGAAATTTAAGATTATTAGAGGTTGATTGGTTGAAAAACATGTGGCGGCCGGATTCCTTCTTCAAGAACGCAAAATCGGTGACTTTTCAAACAATGACGATACCAAATCATTATCTGTGGCTGTATAAGGACAAAACTATACTTTACATGGTGAAGTGAGTTTATGATAAATTATATACGTTTTTATCGTGGGTTTCTCGAAATAAAAAACTTGAAATATAAATATCGACGATTTTAGGTTGACTTTAAAACTTTCTTGCGCCATGAACTTTCTGATCTACCCTCACGATACGCAAGAATGTAAACTGCAAATGGAAAGTTGTAAGTTATATATTATATATTTGAGAAGAGATTCTTATTTTTCATCAATTACTATATGTAATACATATATAGTTACATTTTTATTATGCGTACTGTGTGTCCACCTGCGAGTTAAATCTCTCAAAAGTAATTTTCGCAAATGGACATGTTAAGAATAAAGCAATAATAAAAGAACAGTATTATTGTTTTATTTATCGGCTCTGTTGGCGTTTTTAAAAAAACATCATATTTATATTCTTAATATTGAGAGCCAATAAAAATATTTCTTTCTGTTTTATTTATATTATTACTTATACATTTCATAATTTTAATTTTAATTAATTACAATTTAATTAGCATTCTATTCAAACAAGTATTAATATAATATTATTTATATATATATATATATATATATATCATATTATAATTATATTATATGTCAAAAATGAGTATTTTTAATGAATATAACGTGCGAATAAACTTGAAACACGACGCTAAAACGAAAACAACTCGGTCAACAGTATCACATACGACAGATGAAATGATCTTTCAATGGGATCCTGATGTTCCTCTCGTTGTGGATGAGAATATTGAACTGCCTCAGTTACAACTCGTTAAAAATTACACAGCTGATTGCACGCAAGTCTATTCCACTGGTAAGTGAATCGCGTAAATGACTGTTTTCACCTCGAAACCATGTCATATTCGACATCATCATCGTACAATCATACACGCTTTACATATCAAAGTATGCAATATAGCTCAATTTTTGCAATCAATCCTTTTCATTCGAATAATAGTTTTTGAAACTATATGGTTGTATTTCATACATATATTATTGTATTCCAAAGCAGAAGAAGTTTTCGCTCGAATTCCCAAGCGTTAATATCACTTGAGCATCCGCAGAGAGGGACATTTACCTTCCTCTTGGAATCAGTAAAAAAATTAAGCATTTGCTCTCCTTTTGAATAAACACTAAAATTTATTTGCGTATTTAATATAAAAAAAAAAAAAATGAATTATATACGCCCCTTTCTGGAAAAGAGATCCTGCAGACATTCCATGCACTTGAGCGTTATACTGGTTCGACTTAAATCTTATTGTTAGATACATTAATTACATTAATATGTGATACTTAATTAAAGATTGTGATTTCACAGGTAATTTTACTTGTCTCGAGGTCGTGTTCGTTCTGAAACGACGTCTGGGCTATTACTTATTCCATACCTACGTGCCAACGTGCTTGATCGTCATCATGTCGGTGAGCAAAAACGCGACACTCTCTCGTATAACTTTCTCTGTCACTTTCCATACAGCGCAACAAGATTGCAGCAGTATTGTGGCAACATTTCATTGCAATATTACAACATTGCATAAACATTGTGAAATGTTGCAGCAACGGTAAAATATCCGCTTTCAGTAATATTGTTCTATAACATTGCAGCAATAATGCAATAAAATAAATATATAATATTACTATTGGATTGTTGGAAATATGTTAAATACATAATCGTACTAAATGTTCTGTACCTAATATTTTTTGCGTAAATTTTATTTTTATAATATTTCTGAAATGTTGCAAATTCATGCCTATATAATATTTCTGCAATATTGCTATGCAATATTGCAATGTTGTTGCAATATTGCTGCAAACTTGTGCGCTGTATGGGTTTGACCGTGACATGTATTTTTCATTGAAAACACTTGCCGGCTTATCCGTCATAGTGGGTGTCATTCTGGATAAAACCCGAGGCCGCGCCCGCCAGGGTCACCCTGGGAGTCACCTCGTTGCTCACCCTGTCCACGCAGCATGCGAAAAGTCAAGCCTCGTTACCGCCCGTCTCGTACTTGAAGGCCGTCGACGCCTTCATGTCGGTTTGCACGGTGTTCGTCTTCATGGCGCTGATGGAGTATTGTCTGGTGAACATTGTCCTCGGCGACTCGGATACACCGTCGGCGAAACCCACGCCGCCACCACCGCCACCATCCTCGAGCACCGCAGATTCGTCTAAGCTCGACAAGATCTTCGACATCGCTGCCAAGGTAACACCTGGATGATGTTTATGCTGAGAGAGCCCCGAGGTCGATTCTTACAAGTATAACATCGTTGCAATATTCGTAATAATTAAACAAGGTGTCTGGCATAAGGTGTCTCATCGAAAATATACAAGTAGATCCTGTTATTTGGACACAATTTTTTCTCAGCAAAAATATTGAGGCTTCAATCATTTTTAAATTATAAGCGATTAGAAATAAAGGTTTTTCGCAAACTAAGCCTTGTGGAAATAAAATATTAACAAAACCACATTCTCCAATTTTCCTATAATAGCACAACATATCCGAAAGATATTCAGAGGATATCCAGAGGACATTCGAACATCCTCAGGATGTTCTCTGAACGTCTTTGGGGTATGTGTGCTGTTAGATTATTTCAAGTAAAGTTTACTTTAATAAAATTTTAATTTAAGGTTTAGTTATGAAGATACATGATGACAAAAATTGGGAACATGCAAAAAATGATGACCTACCTCGATATTTTTGTTAAGGAAAAATCGTCTCCAAATAACGAGCTCTACTTGTATATTTTCGGTGTGACACTTTATGTCAGACACCCTGTATATGTTATTATGATAAACTCAATCGGCTGATTTAAATAGAAATGTTCTAGAAACATTGCGGCAGAACCTTTATTACAATGTAAATTTTTTTATATGAAATATATCAGATTTTTATTTTGCAAAATTTTTAATAAAAGTTTTTGCATTTTTTTCGCTATAATTGTTACAATTGACTTCCCGGCTCTCCTGCTTCAGACTTCTGTGCCTCGAACAGAGGAAACGCGACGAAATACATTAAATAAAATTGATCTAAAACGCAAAATGTATATTAACAGCTAATATAAAAATTGCTGAATTATTTTTTAATATATTTACAAAATTCTAATTATAGCATCTCACACAAATGCACACACATTGGACTATCAAAAATATAAATATATCTTACTAAATTCCTTATAATTAATGAATTACTTGTATAAATATGCAAATTTAAGAAATAATACTAAATTTGTATTTGTATAATTTTTAGAAATTTTTCAGCGATATAATAATTATTTGAAAATATATTAAATTGTAAATATATTAAATAATTTTATTATATAAATTGAATAACTATACCATGTGCAATTATTATCGTTACTTCGTGACTTTAAAATAAAGTCACGTTCCGCTCTTCGAGGCATGAGAGACAGTCTGCATGGTGACGGTTCAAGTTGTGATCGTTGTCACGTAGGAAAACGCAATGTTGTTATCCTGCCGATCGCAGAAATCACCAGCTGGCCCACCACCGGGACCAACTCCGGCCCAAAGGGCGCGAATACGAGCACTGAACATTGATCGTTTCTCACGCTTTTTCTTCCCCTTTCTGTTCGCCGTGCTGAACGTCACCTATTGGATAATGTTTGCCGAGTATATTTAGACCATGGCGTTGCAAATGCACGTGAAAGCATGCATTAATACTTCGAAAAGCAAACAGCGCAAGAGGTAAGAAACAAATATTCCGACGAAACTGGAAGAATTCGAAAAAAAGGCAAAGAATAATGAGATTTTTCTGAAAAATTTGTGCCATTGTGTAATAGGATAAATACTTTGATCCACAAACGCTGATGATGAAGAACTTTATATATAAAAACATGTAATGAAACTGTCAAACTTTTAACGAAAATCGAAAGATCGAAGATAATCTGAATAATAAGGATACATGACTGCTAATTGATGATAAATCTAGAACGCAGAAACGCCTAACTTTTCAAATTTCGCTCTTTCAAAATTTATTCTTCATTTGTTTCCTAAGATAGATAATTTTATCATGATACGGTATTATTATCATACATCATCATACTTGTAAGCCGTTTCCTCAAATTATTCATTTTTTTATCTGAATAATTATTTAACAACAGAAGTAACAATTATGCATTAATATTAAAATAATCGCGATTGATGAACAAAACGTATTTTAACTGCTATGTCTTTAAAGATTAACTTACTCATTTTTTGCCTATCTCAATTCTTGGAAAAAATAAATATTTTGATTATAACAATATAAATCTTTATGAATCTTTCTCTCTAAAAAAATGTTAATAACTCGTTTGTAAATGTACTTATAAATCTTTCCTAAGAAATTCGCTTAAGTAAAATAGAATCATTAATGTACAGTAAGATTACATATTAATTGTAATAAAAAATTTAGAGAGTTATACGAATCAGTTATACGAATCAACTGTTTTCTCAGCTTCACATATCGCTCTATTTATTATTCACATAAAACTCGTGTCAAAATACAAAGACCTAATAGAAACTTCATAGGCGTTATCAATCGTTCTTTGAAATGCCGCGATTTATATCTAACGATATATCTATTGTACAATATAAATATCGATTTCTTTAATTATAAGTATTATCAGATGTATCGCAACTATAACTGAAATTTATGTCATCGAAACTTATCGTAACAATGAATGTTTTATTTACATCTCTATTGTACATCTGTATTGTATTATTAAAAATATGTATAATAAAAACAACTATATATCTCGTTAATGCCAATCAATCAAATTCTCTCAAATTATATGGTAAAAATATTCATTTATATATCGTTTAAACTCAAGAGTTCAAATAGACAGTCAATGACCTGATTCTATTTCATAATTACTAGAACAACACAAGCGTACGCCATTCTTCGATTTCATATTAAAAGAAATGATATTAAAAAATAATATAAAGCTTGTTTAAACTCGATTAATAATTTTTGACAGAAATCAGCTGATAACTGTCAAAAATATTAATCGAGTTTTAAAGAATTACAACATATTTTATTTAAAACATATTATTACATTAATACACAACGCGAATCGAGACAGTCATTTAGCATTATAGAAAAGAGGCAACAATATTTGCGAGAATCGCTTAATGCCTTTTTTAGACAGAGATAAAAATTAATAAATAAAATCTTTTAAAATATAATCTTTTATTTAATAAATTTAATATTAAATATTTTTTAATTTAAAATTAACTTTTTTTAATAAAATATTAATAAAATTAATATTTTATTAAAATTATATGTTGTGATAAAATTAAAACTCTGTTAAAAATAATGTAAAATATTGAAAGTTAAATTTGTTTTGAATTATTTTACTGTCACTCTTATTTTTAATTAATTATTAGCGTCTATTCTGCATCATCCGAGATAAAATTAAATACAAGAATTTTCCTATATATCTATTGCCATCTATTGGTGTTAAATAAGACTAAGAGACAGTCATTGTCACTAAAAGAGGAATCTGTCAGTTTGTTCGTCTGTGTTCTCCGCCTACTTTCAACCCCACCGACGCGAAACCACAGGATCGTAGTACCCACACACTGGGGAAACAGACTGTCTAGCACCCTAATAACGGAAGACGTCATAAAATAACTTTTTTTCTCTCTTTATCTTTTTATTTATTTAATATATTAATACATATATGTAATCGCAAAAAAAAATCGGTAAATTGAATTTAAACAAATAATTCGAGATAATACATTGCATTTCCTGGTATTTAAAAATTAAGCATCTAAAGCTGTTATAAAATACATATATATCAGTAAAATAAATATATAATATAAAATAAATATAATTATATCGTGAATTTTTTAGAAATATTCTTATCTAAATTTGTTCTGATTTTGTGTAATAATGTTGCAATTAATTGCATAAAATCATATTTTCAGAAAATATAAAAAGAGTGCAAAATTTGCACATAATTTCTCTTAGTAAAGTACAATTTTGAAACGTTTTACATCCTCATTATAATTTGCATTACAAAGGAATATTTTAATTTCTATTTCATAAAAAACGAAAAAGACACTTCTAAAATTACGGTTTTCGATATCGAGTGATTTATATATATGTGTCAAGATTAAATACACTTGTATATTGTACATTCTTCTTTGCGCTATAATTACATGAAATTAATTCGAGGAGAGACGGAAAAAAAACAAAGTATTCGCGCGAAATTGTCGCGAATGGACCGATATAATAAATGAGTATATTGTACGGTCGCACGAAGAAACGGAAAGTGGGATCATCGCGGAGGAAGGAAGCGTAGCGTGGGCTGCCTTATCTGTACAACGTATCCCGGCTATGATAGCAGGATGCCATTGCCTTCTTTTCCTCGTCTCGCCTTTCCAGGACAGCTCGCTTCTCATCCTCTTCCGTCGTGTGCAAAGATACGCGTCATCAAAGATTAATGAGAATCGAGGGCACTGCGTGCAGAGCAGCGAGTCTGAAATATATCGATGCTGCGGATGCTTCGATGAAGTAATTATTTGGCTATCTGTTTTTTAAACGATAACGAAATATGTATATATAGCGTATGGACATGCAGTATTTTCTTAAATGTTTTCAAATTTAAAAGCATTTTTTTCAAACATTAAATATAATTTTTATTACAGAAAAATTGATATAATATATGGTAAAAAAATGCGTTACCAGACATTTATTTCGTCATTATAAAAATTATTCACGATATCTCTTTATTAGATTATATGTAATGAATGAAGCTGATTCTTCTGTTTATATAACACATAATTGCCTCGTCAGAAATTAAGATTAAATTTAATCAAAAAAATTTGTGCTAATTAATATTAATAGATATCAAAATACTTTACTCGCGAATGTGAATGGAAAAAATTTGGCACGTGAAATATTATTTATATGTGAGGAGAAATCCCTCGTTTACTTTTCGAACAACAGATTGTATAAAAGACCATAGAAACACCAACTGTGCTGCACATGTGCAGTACTATAAGCATCATCTATATAACGGGCGTGCAAAAGTATCGTGTGACTCTCAAGTATTCAGATTGGAGCAACTAACAATTTGGAGTTCTCAATCTGTACAGACGTTGAATATAACGCGTACAAAAAGTACGATATCAAGCGAATAGAACGTTGACCTGTGATAAAAGAACCTCTACGATTTACAGTGTACCCATTTATTTAAGAAAGAGAATATTTTTTTATTATTCTGTCCTATAATTGATATTAATCAGAGATATAATCCAATAAAATTATTTATAAATGAAGACACATTTCACGAAATATTCCTTAAAATTAAAAATTATTTAAATAATATATTTCTATTACATTGACGATATATTTAAAAACATTCTCAATAATGTAGTACTTAATTTTTTTATATCTTATATAAAAGAAAGTCGCTGAAACTCAACAGTAAGTCAATTAATATTTTTAAAAAATTGTACACAAAACTTAGCCAAAAACACAGAGCAAAAATATGTTTGAAAAAAGTCTTGAAAAAAATATCTCGAAATCGTGAAATTCCAACTTATCCAACGGCCTGTCGATCTATTCAGTCCCACTCGAGTCGCTTTTCAAGTCCATTCGTTCCCTCTCTCCACGACCCTATGTACGGCACTGATGGGCACCTCTCAGAGCAGAGTCACAACTCGGCAAGCCGAGGTTCACTGAGCGAGAAACGCGTCACGAGGCGCGTCCGCACCGCGTTTTTCGTTTTCCGCCTCCGAATTTTCCGTATAGGTGCACCCGCACCTGTCAGAAAACTCCGTCGAGCCACGCGAGGCTGCGTGTGGCGCGTGAAAAAGGAATCGGATTCAGTGACACGACCTGAAGGAGAGTTTTCGGTTGAATTCAGAAGGAGAATTTCGACTTGCGTTGCTGTGAGATCTCGGAGTGCAAGAGACTTCGAAGCGGCGCCTGTCTCGAGGAAAGAAGAAACATCTCGTCGGCTTAAAGTAGCGCGTAAATTTAACGTAGGTGAGTGCCATTAGAGAGAAAGAGGTGGTTTTTGCAATATTAATTGCAATGGAAAATAGTTTTTCGCTCTATAGTTGTGCGGAAGTGTGTTTGACATTGATTGTTGTGTATTACCTGATGAAAAAGCAAGAGAGAGACAGACTCTCTGCTTCGAAATTTAAATTTTTTATAACTTATAGGATCTCTTCGGTGTAAAATTATTCTGAGATAATTATCAGCTGATCTCATCATTTGCGTACGCGTTTTTTTTATATTTCTGCTCTGGATTGACTATTAAATAATTATCAAAATTAAGAGGGAGGATTATTTGTTATCCCCTGCTTATTTTAAAGTGTATTTAAACATAGCGTAATAATTATTCTTAAAAATTTCTTGCACATATGTAGATAAAATATCTGCTTGTTTAAACTAAATAAAATTATGACAAGTTAAGTACAGATTAAATAAATATCACTCTGAATTTTTATATTTTGAACGATTCTATATTATATTATTTTAGGAATTATATTTTATTTTCGTAGAAAAACTTCTGAATCTCATCGTCCATGGCTTAACGAAAAATCCACAAAGACGGAGGTAGAAAAAAATCAGAAAAATGCTTCTTATTCATTATAAATACTTGGCCATCGCTGCATTAATTACCCTTACTATTTTAACAGGTATGTAATAATCAATATATATATATGCGTTTATAGATATAATAATGTACATAATCTTTTCTTAAAATAATTCAATGTTAGGTTTCTTGAAGTTAATTAGTTAATACATTGCACACATGCCGAATTTTTTCAAAAATTGATCTACTCAAAATATATATTTTGACGAATTACAATTTTTCGATTTTGTTTCAAGGCTGCTTGCACTTAACGCGCCATATTTTATAATCGCCCTAATTTTATGTATTATTATATATTACATGTGTATAGATAAAATAACATCATAAAAATTCTATTATTCTTTAGATGGACGAAATATCGTTCCATCCCATTTCATTTCCTCTGTAATGAGAAGATATTTTATCCATATATGATTAGATAGTAATACGACCTCACGACCTGCTTTCCTTTTGAAATCGGCGAGCTTATTTCGGCTTGTAAAATTTAACTGTTCAGTAAATATATGTATATATCCTCGTATATATTTTTCGATTCTAAGATTCTTCGAGATAAATAACGACGAGCAATTGTATGTTGAAACGAATTGCATACTTATGCAAGGCGAGAATTCTCTCTTAGAATTTACCCTGAAAATCATATCTAATCGTGAGACAATATGGTATTGGAAGAATTTTATAAGAGTTTCTTTGATTAATATTTAGCACAATAACAAATATCAATATATATATATATATATATATATATATATATATATAAATTTTACTATGTACATAATAAAATTAATCAAACATATTTTGTATCTTATTGTGGTAAATATTAATATTTTTACTGTGATAAATATAATCGGAGAAACTCTTATAAAATTCTTTCAATGTCATATTGTCCCACGATTACTATAATTTCAAGGTAAATTCTAACAGAAATCATCACTATATCAAAGATGTAAAAAACATCATTTCGGACCTAACATCGTTTACAATTTTTTTATTTATAATATTAGTTTAAAATTAAGTATTGAGATATTCATGATTTGAAAAAAAGATTAGATATTGAAAGCTTTTCTCATTACGAGAAAATAATCTATCTCGAGATATTTGTTGAGAAAAATGACGAATCATCATAGAATTTAAGAGTAAATATAGCTCGCGCTCCACTCCTCTCTTCCTACATTTCATTGAGAGCTTGAAGATATTTTCCAGAGTTGTCTTCTCTCGTAAACATCCGGCAGTCTCTCGCGATAGCCTCTACCGGCAGTAGAACATCTCTTGATAATAACTGACTCGTTCTAGCAGCGTTTGAAACAATCATACTTTCTAAAAAAAACATTTAAATAAAATCATTATTTCTCCGGAACTTAAAGATAATAGGAGTAGACAATTCATGCGTCTCGTGTAATTTATTTTTTATTTTATTTTATTTTTTATTTTATTCTGCTCTGTTCTCTATTTGCATCACATATTGATTTAAAAATTATATACCTTATATTTAATATCAACCCAACTTAATAATATAGACATTGCGTATCTGTCCTTCAAGATATGAAGGTGTATATAAGTTGTGTTAAAAATGTGTGAAACTCTAAAAACCTATATGTCGTATTTATTAAAGTAAAGATACTTTCAAATGACACCTGTCTATACTTTGACACTGTAAAGAAGAAGTGATGTTGTAACAACTTTTTGTAAATTTAATATATTGTGGCTGAAGAGACGCAAGTTAGCGTCGAAATGTCCCACATCTCAGGATTATAGATATATAATTTAAAATAAATTCCATCCAATACTTAGCTCGTAAATAGCTTTTGTTAATTTGTTCATTATTAATTATTATTTTTAATATTTGTTATCATATTATCAGTGTATTAAATTGTCATTTAACTAATGTGTGTATTTATTTGCGAAGGGTCTGTAAACTCTCAACATGGACCGAAAGATCATTACATTTCAACAGAGGCCAAAAGATTACTACCATCCAGAGGTAAGACTCTAAACTTTTCAGATTTATTTTTTATTCACATAATATAATTTTATTGCGTGTCTCTTATGAAAGAATCATAAGAGAAGATTGACTATTATCTTTCGCGGCATCATTATAATATTTCTTCTTATTAAAGATTATCAAACGACAAAGAGATACAATTAAACTTTTACGACAATTAAGACGTTTCGCGCTTAAATATAATTATGCACAAAAATATACGAAAATAAAAACGGAGGTGTTATAGGATCGGTGCAGAGAGGCGATATGTCACCTATGGAGGTGATGACAGAGCGTCATAATCGGCTAGGGCCGACCATTCCCAAGTCAAGAGGTAGTTGCGTAGACAAAAGCGTAAATACACGTGACACATTACTTCGAAAAATATTGGGCAAATACACGTACCCTGTAGTTACTTTGGTATACATGTAAAAGATCCCTAATGAAGATCCCCTGTTATGATTGACCATAAAGCATCGTCCCCCTGATATAAACGTAGTATTAATTGTTTATTTTCTTAATTGATATGGACGTCGGTATGTAAATATGTTCACCAGATATTGGTAATATTGTAATGTCTTCCCATGTAATGTGGTAAGGGTGTCGCTAATCGACGCAAACTAACTGGTAACTGGGAAACCGTGTCCTCCTTCGTAATACCTAACGCATATCGGCATGATGTATCGATATGCAATCGGTGTCTAACAAAATCAACGAGTATGGAGCTGTGAAAAAATAACTAGAACCCTTTTTGATGCAGGATCTCACGTGAAGAGACCACATCCTTGCGAGCAAAGCTCGTGTTATCCCGCAACCGGAAACTTGCTGATCGGTCGTAAGGATAAATTGAGCGCCTCGTCGACGTGCGGCCTCTCCGGTCCCGAAAGATTCTGCATAGTTTCCCATCTTAAGGAGAGAAAGAAATGCTTCTTCTGCGACGCGTCGTTGTACAAGCAGCAGCACAATATCGAGAACATTGTCAGCACGTAAGATTACTTTCTGTCATCGCTTCTTTATCGTACAATATAAAAGTGTAAGAAATGATTGTGATCATTCCTAGTTATTTTTTCAGTAATAATAAATAATATAATCTTTCTTGTAATCAAAATCAATGATAAAAGTATAATGTATATTAAATCACAGATACATATGTATATTTTAAAATGATTAAAAAAATTGCAGACCATTGAGATGGTGGCAAGCCGAGAACGGAGTAGAGAATGTCTCGATACGCTTCGACCTGGAGGCGGAGTTTCACTTCACGCACATCATCATTCGATTCCAAACTTTCCGACCTGCTGCCATGCTGATCGAACGATCGTACGATTTCGGGCAGACCTGGCAAGTCTATCGGTACTTCGCTCACAATTGCGAGCACTATTTCCCAAATAGTTCTACTCATCAACCCCAAAAATTAACGGACGTCATTTGCGAGACGAGATATTCTGCTGTGGCACCGTCCACTGGCGGCGATGTAATTTTCAGGTAAGAGATACATTAAAGAATTCCTCCTTAATTATTCTATTATTTATCAATTATATCTCATCATTCGTTCAGTGGAGATTTTAAGTTCTTTCGTTTCTATGTATTTGATTTAAACCACGCTTTTACTTAAACTCTCGTTTGCTTGCAATTCATTATTATAATTATGAATTATTATTCAGGGTGTTGCCACGAAACTTGGACATTGACAATCCGTACTCGAAGGAAGTGCAGAATCTCCTAAAGATTACAAATCTCAGAATCAACATGACGAGGCTGCATACCCTAGGTGACGATTTGCTCGACGATCGACCGGAAATTCGCGAGAAATATTACTACGCCATCCAAGATATGGTGATTCGTGGATCCTGCTCCTGCTACGGACACGCTTCCCGATGTTTGCCATTACCCGGGGTCGTCGACGAAGATAACATGGTCCACGGCAGATGTGAGTGCACTCACAACACCAAGGGACTCAATTGCGAGACATGCGAAGACTTTTACAACGATCTGCCGTGGAAACCCGCGGTGGGCAAACAGACGAACGCCTGTCGACCGTGCAACTGTAACAATCACACCACTTCGTGTCACTTTGACGAAGCAGTTTACGAAAGATCGGGAAGAGTGTCCGGAGGAGTCTGCGACGACTGTCAGCACAATACGCGGGGCCAGAATTGCGAACAGTGCAAACCGTTCTACTATCACGACATGACGAGAGACATCTCCGATATAGATGCTTGTCAACGTGAGTTTTCGATTCATTACTTTATACATCGGCCATTATATAATGTGTTTTATCTTCTTTATATAATGTAGTTTCTTTTATATAAGATCATTATTTCTTACCTGCTTCAATATTACAAACAGAGATAAATGCAAATAATGTATTGGAGATTGGAAAATAAATTTCTAAATGTTTCTCTTCCGCAGCCTGCGACTGCGACCTAGGTGGATCCTTGGACGACGGCATATGTGACTCAAGAACGGATCCTCTCAGTGGAGACGAGTCCGGACGCTGTCACTGCAAGGAAAACGTTGAAGGACGTCGTTGCGACCGTTGCAAAAACGGTTTCTGGAACTTTGATCCCGACAGTTTCGAGGGCTGTCAAGGTAAAGAAATGATGATTATAATTGTCCAAACTATTACAAAAATAATGCATCTATTTTTCATTTGTTTTAATTATATATGTAAGATGAGAAGCCTTCATTATTCTTCTACACACACAAGTTGACTATTTCTTTAATGATTAAACTCATTAGTATACTTTTCTTTAACGCGATTTGTGGATCCAATAAAATTATCTTGACATCTTCTATAGAGATTCGATAGGGAGTTCTCAAAAATCATGCCGCAAAAATTGATTATTCTTTATCTAAATTATAGCTTGTACCTGCAACATTTTGGGCACCGTCGACAATCAGGGCTGCAACGTGATAACTGGCGAATGCACGTGCAAGCGTTATGTCACCGCACGCGACTGCAATCAATGTTTGCCGGAGTTTTGGGGACTCTCCGAGGATCGGGACGGATGCAAACCCTGCGATTGCGACCCGGGTGGCTCCTACGAGAATTCCTGCGATGTTATCACCGGCCAATGTAGATGTAGACCGCACGTCAGCGGAAGAACCTGCAATCAGCCGGAACAAAGTTATTATACCGGCTCGCTAGATTTTCTTATTTACGAGGGAGAGTTATCCAGAGCTACTGACGTGAGTTTTTATTCAAAGAGAATTTTGAGTTGACTTTAATATTTTTTTATTAATAATAGCGACTGCTTTCTTTAATTATGTTACTTCAAGTTATGTAAAAAAGATACAAATATTAATGAAATTATATAAATCAATATGAAAGAATTGAAATTAAATTCAATTGAATGTGTAGATAAATATTCAGTAAAAAAAAATATAAATATTTTTGTCTAGATTCTAAAATTTAAAAACTATTAATTATTCATTTTGAATCTCGAAATTGTTTCAAGATCGAAATGTGCAAATTCTTTTTTCACAGAACTGTCAAGTGGTAATCAGGGAACCTTATCGTGACGGCAGGAATAGCACGTGGACCGGGACGGGTTTCATGAAAGCCCTCGAAGGCTCGGTATTGAACTTCACTATCGACGATATTCGCAGATCTATGTGGTACGATGTCATCTTGCGATACGAACCGGTGCATCCGGGAGTCTGGGAGGATGTGCAAATCATTCTCGAGAGGGATGGTCCGCCGGATCCTGATGGACCCTGTGCCGATTGGAGACCTGACCAGGATCGTTTGTGGACACAATTGCCCTTACGTTCGAGAAGCGCTGTGGCACAACCATCAGTATGTCTGGAAGCGGGAAAACGATATAATCTGCTGTTGCAACTCCGCAAATTCACTAGCCACGTGGACACGCCTTCGGCCTCCATCTTGGTCGATTCGGTAATACACATATGATTTTGTCTATGTAAATTATTACAAAATATATATATTGTCTAATTACACACATATCTAGTCGCGAATAATACGTCCAAATTGTATATTATATTAGTACGAAATGTATATCAATATAATGTAAGATAGATAAATAATTATTTAAACTTCAAAATTAAATGATTAAAAGACTTTCTATGATATCTTTCTAGATATTTAAATAATAAAATATTAATATATTATTTGTGCTTTTTATAGATTGTTTTAAAACCGAAAATAGATGTGATACCTTTCTTCAAAGTACCGGGTTTGGGCGAATTACGTCGTCAGGAATACGAACGGTATCATTGTAACGAGTTCTTTAACGACGTCAACAAAGTGTGGAGTAACTTACCCGACATCTGCAAAAAGTATCAGAATAGCATCGGCTATTACGTTTTCGATGGTGCTCATTGTAAGTTCAATCGTCATACACTACGACATTTCTTTTATCATTATATTAAACATAAAAAAATTTAATTTTTCTCACAATATAGGAATATTAAATTTTAACTTGCGAGTGCAACCCCATCATTTTTTTCTCACAATATGGGAATAATAAATTTTAGCCTACTAGTGCAACCCGATCATTTTTTTTCACAATATGGGAATAATAAATTTTAATCTGCGAATGCAACCCGATCATTTTTCTCACAATATGGGAATAATAAATTTTAGCTTGCGAGTGCAACCCGACGGGCTCCCGCAGTCTTCTGTGCGAGAACTACGGCGGATTGTGTCCGTGCAAGCCGAACGTGGTCGGCAGACGTTGCGACCGCTGCGCGCCAGGAACATATGGATTCGGGCCCGAGGGATGCATCCCTTGTGACTGCGACGGCGTCGGCGCCCTCGACAATTTCTGCGACGTCGAGACTGGCCGGTGCAAGTGCCGGCCCAACACCTACGGCAGAACTTGCGGCCAGTGCGAGCCCGGTTTCTGGAACTTCCCGCACTGCCAACGCTGCGAGTGCAACGGACACGCGGACAGCTGCGACTCTAAGACCGGAGCTTGCATCAATTGTCGAGATTACACCACCGGACACAATTGCGACCGCTGCGTCGACGATTTTTACGGCGACCCGCGAATCGGCGTGGATATACCTTGCAGAGCGTGTCCCTGTCCAGGTGAGCACAACTCAAAGATTTATATTGATTAGTCATTTTTTCACGTGTCTTAATTTTCTCTCTTTTGTCGAAGTAAAACGTGTAAGATTTGTTGGCTGCATATGTAACTTATATATTTTTTCTCCTTTTGGTGATAAAAAGATTTAATATGTTTTTTAATTTAATAACAATAATGTAGAGCTGTTATAGTTTATAACACTTAGCCACTTATTTATATTTTGCACAAGACTCTAATAGTTATTCGAATGTCGAAAATTTTAAACATCCTGTCTCTGTTATTATCTGCATATTATTATATATATATTTTATTCTATAAATAATAATAAAAAAGATTAATATAATTATTTTTGCTACGCTACAGGTACTCGCGAATCCGGTCATTCCTACGCCAACAGTTGTTCGTTGGACTCTATAACGCAGGATGTGGTGTGCGAATGCTTCGACGGATACTCCGGCCCCCGATGCGAACATTGCGCTGAAAATTTCTACGGTGATCCGGAAATACCCGGCGGTAGCTGCGAGTTGTGCAACTGCAACAATAACACCGATTTACGTCGACCCGGTAACTGCGACCCGCACACCGGTCATTGTCTCCAGTGTCTGTTCTACACCGATGGTCACGACTGCGAGATCTGCAAAGCCGGATTCTACGGAGACGCCCTTCAACAAGACTGTCAAGACTGCAGATGCAACGTCCTGGGCACCGACAAAACCGCGGGACCGTGCGATCATCGTACCGGACAGTGTCCGTGTTTGCCACATGTCATAGGACAGCTTTGCGATTCCTGCGAGGAGAATCACTGGAAGATAGCCAGCGGACAAGGCTGCGATCCTTGCGAGTGCGATGCAGTCGGAAGCGTTTCAGACAGGTCTGTTAAAAGTGCACGGTTTTTATTATTTATGAGTGTGAAAGGAGATATTTATTTGTGTGTATCATTAAGTGCGACAAAATTCATTTAACTTATATTAATTTTTGCTACAAATACTTTTTCTGAGTATTTTATCTGTGACAGATCTAACATTAATTTCTTCAAGTGAAGAATTTAATATCGAAGCAATTTAATCACTACCTTTTTTTCAAGAAACTATTTCTCTTTAAATTAAAATTTTTATTTTGATAATGTTATATTTAAGATTAATTTCCTGATTTGAAAAAAGTCAGCCTGTTTCTTTGAATAATTTAATTTGAGGCAAGAAGCAGAGCCGATAAGAATAAATTTGATGTGCAGATGCAACCCCTTCGACGGAACTTGCGAGTGCAGGCCAGGATTCGGCGGCAGACGATGTAATGAATGTCAGGCAAATTTCTGGGGCAACCCGAACGTGGAGTGTTATCCGTGCGAATGCGACGTGATCGGCTCCGCCAGCCAGCAGTGCGACAGAGAGAACGGATTGTGCGTTTGTCACAAGGGGATCGGTGGCGAAAAGTGCGACCAGTGCGATCGCGGTTATCACGGCGAGGCACCGCAGTGCAGTCCATGCGGCGAGTGCTTCGATAATTGGGATCTGATTCTGGACGGTCTCCGAAACAAGACCAACGCCGTCATCCAGGAGGCTTCGAGGATACAGAAAGTCGGCACGACCGGGGTCTACAGTCAGGAGTTCGACGACATGGAGGAGTCGTTGAACGAGGTCCGGAATTTGATCGGCAACACCACCATCAGGACCCAAGACTTGGACGCATTGGGCGACCTCGCCGATGAGTTAGTGGATGATATCTCCAATTCGTCGATACAATTGAACGAAGCGAACAATCTCTTGGAGTCTCTCAATCAGCGTGTCAATCTCGCAGACGTCGCGCTGAAGAATATGCGAAACAGGACCAACAGTCTGCACGAAACCGCCGCGGATCTACGGGAGAACGCCACCAGATTGCAGGAGGAGAACGTGCAGGGTGCCCTGAACGTGACCCAACAGATGGCCGAGCAGTCCAGGCAGGCCGAGAAAATGGCGAACGACACCAGCAACGTACTGGCAGACGCGGAGCGTTTCCGCAAGCACACCGAGAACCTTTTGGCGAAGAATCGCGCCTCTGTAGACGAAGCGCAAGAGAGGAACAAGGAGTCGTTGACGAAGCTGGACGAGAAGCTGAAGACGTTCAGTACGAATATACCTGAACTAAATCTGCAGATGTGCGGCAGCAATGAGACGGATTGTAGTGTCGTTTGCGGTGGTGCGGGTTGCGGCTTCTGCGGAGGTTTGTCTTGCGACGTCGGCGCGGTTAGCAAAGCCAATCAGGCTCTGGATGTCGCCAAACAGCAGGCTGCTAAGATCAAGAGCCACAAAGACGAGGCCGAGCAGCTGTTGCGTAATGTAAGTGTCGCTAAACAAATTAACTAAACACTTTAATCATCTCTTTTCAGATAAGTTATAAAAAAATATTAAGGTTGGAACAACCGGCCCTAAATGATTATATATAGAGATTTTACGAGAACTTTAACATTTCTTCGCAACTTATATTTGATTAATGAATTTTTCCAGATGAGTCAGATCAAGCAAGACGCGACAGCGGCGAGATCCAACGCTCAAGATGCCTTCAACTTCGCGTGGGACGCGCGCAATCGGTCGGACAAGATCACCAAGGATCTGTCCGATATAACAAAGCGTATTTGGAGCACTCTGGACGAGGATCAGCCCACCCCGGCTATGGTGAGAGATCTCGCGTACGAAGTGCTAGGGAAGAACATTCAGCTGGAGCCGGACGAAATCACGCGATTGGCCGATCGCATCAAAAGTATCGTCGGTTCGCTCACCGACTCCGAGAAGATACTCGCCGATACCGAAGACGATCTTCGTCTGGCTCACAATCTCAAGGAACGCGCTAATAGCGCGAAGGAGACTGCCCTGGAGAAACAGGTTTTAGCAAACAAGGTGACTCTGCTGTTGAACGACGCGCAGACGGCTCAACATCTGGCGCAGAACGCAATCGACAAGGCGGAAGCCGACGTGTCCAAGTCTCAGAAAGACCTGGCGGACATCGCCGAGCTGACAAAGGCCGCGCAGATCCAAGCCAACAGCACCACCCACTCGGTTGACGCCCTGGACGGTCGTCTGAAGCAGCTGCAGACGCAATCGGCGAAAAACGGCTTTGTGCTGACGGAGATCGGCGTGGAAGCGAAGAAGGTCGCCAACGAGGCGCAGCTGATCGACGGTAAGACGAAGAAACTCGCGGAGGAGTACAAGAGAGCGGACGAGTCGCTCAATCAGAGGGTGAACAAGAGCAAGGGCGACATTTCGCGCGCAAAGAGGCTCTTACAGAGAGCCTCCGAGCTGACGGCGGACACGTCGACCAAATCCAAAGACTTGGACGGCATGGAGGGCGTTTACAAGGATAACGAGCGACTACTGACAGATCTGATGAACGAGGTCGACGCGCTCACGATGGAAATGGAGAGACACCTGGCGGAGATCGAGCGAAAATCGCACAGACAGTGTTACGCTTGAAACGATTTGTCGCAATTAGTAACGGGAGTATTTTAGTCTATTACGTATCTCTCGAATGAATTTCGTCTGTAAAGCATCCGGATACGTGCGATAACGACGTGGCTATATTGTTTTCTCTCAGTCATTATTATATATTTAACACACCGACGTCCCTCGGCGATATAAAATCGCTCGCTTTACAGGCGAGATCCTTTCCAGTCCACTTCTTATTATTGCGAGAAATTTTTAAATCTTTATAAGAGATCGGTGCTTTATACTTGTGCAATAACTATGGTTTTTACTCCAATTTTTATATAAACAGATGCGCATATTGCATATACATATTATATACTGTATATTACATATACATATATATTGTATTGCAATTGCAAGTTATATTCTGCGAGAGGTAAAGAGAGATTATTAGTGCCATAAATGTAAATGGAGGGGCCATTAGTAGTTGTAAAAAAATTGATTCGTACATGTATCAGTTGCAAAATATGTCGCTTTGAAGCGATAATCGCAAGACGCTACTTCCTCTATTTTCATTAGCTTCGTTAAATTTTCAAATCCCTCTTTAGCAAACTTTCTATATCTTCACATCATAATAACAACATTTTTTTACCTTTATATACATTCTATGTCCATTGATCTATGTATACGTTATTTTATATTATACTTGGTACTTAAACGAGAAATAAACTGCAGCGAAGTATTCCATAGATGGTACAGTTAAGATAGGAGTGTCCCACGTAATGTAAATAACTAAAATAAATATAACGCAGAATTCAGAGATATATCCATATAAATATTCTGCGATACAATTTTATACCATATCGAAAACGTCTGCAGAATATTTTCAATATGTTGCACTTATACACATCTCACTATATGTATATTTCAACGAACGAAATTTAAGGTGGCCTTATTATAGTGCCGATAAATAATTACAGATCACGCCAAAATGTAAATATCTAAAGTTACATTCGTATAAATTTATAAGAAATATTCTTTTTTTTTATAAATTTAGCATTTGTTGCTTATGATTTTAATCACAAATTTTTCTAGAAAAATAACAAAAAGTCAATTAAGAAATAATATATACAAAGAGGAAGAGATTGACGAAAAAAATCATGTAATTATCAAATAATTATAAATTGTTGAAATCGGCTATATTAGATAATGTTAGTTATAAATGGCAAATTTATACATAGGTAAGTAAAATTACTATAAAATAATTTGTTTCTTTAATAACTACTCGATTTTCTAATTTATAATTTACAGTTGGAAACATGTAGAGATGCACTACTGTGTAATGTATAAAATACTGTAAACTATTTTTAAAAAAATCTATTCTTATTGTATTTCTGATCAAAATATCATCTTGTATATCAAACATATTTTTTACGACAAAGAGAAAGTTACAAAAAAGTAAGTTTATAAAGACTAATAAAAATTTATATATAACTGTCTTTTGTAATAAATAAATCATAAAAAACCTAGCTCTCTTCGATTATTGAAGCAGTTTCGTTTAATAATTTATTTATTTCGTTTTATACTAGTTTTTTCAGAATAATTAATTAATTCTCTAATTCAGTCTCGTTGTCAAAATGATCCTGGGCAGATTTCAATGATGGATTATATGTAGTCCCAAACATCGATGATCTTGAGAAGGACAGGGCTTTTCCTGTTGATAAATATACGTTATATAATTTATAAGTCTGCTTGAATCATTTAATAAAAAAATACGTATGCGATGAAAACTTATGTCGCATGAATTCAAATAATAAAAGTGCAAAGTTTAAAATAGCAAAATTAATAAAAAATGCGATAGATATTTATTCTTAACGTTTTAAAGCAATATTCAGCTTTGTTAGAAATGGATAAAATTAAACTTGTAAATAATTCAGTTAAAATATATTATCTAATGTTTTGCATATCTTTACTTTAAAAAATAAGAACTTAATTTTTAAAGTCAATAACTCGCTTTATCATATACTATATATACGAGATTATGATTATAATATAATGTTCTATTACTATTATAATTATTATCATATGCAGTAGAAAAGACATAATTATAAAGTTTGCGCAACATTTAATGTTTCGTTTAACACTGAAAAGAATTATTATCCTAATGACAATATAAAAACGAAAACGAAAGAAAAAACAAGATTTGTCATTGCACAATTTCAAATCTTGTACATATATACTATAGCAAATATTTTATTTGAGAATTTCTCTTAAACGAATGAAACTACGATATGATTAAATCAAAAGAATAATATTTAATGACATATTACATATTACGCATGATTATATTTTACAATACTGTAATATTAGAGAAATTAATGAGAACTGCCAGAAGAAAAAAGAAGCAACTACAATCTCGACGAATCCATATAATAATGCTTTAATTATATAGAGATTATTATATTTTATCTTATTCATATATATAGCTTCTCCATTTTGCGCACTATTGTATATTGTACATTAAAGATCTGCAATTTAAAATAATCACTTATCTTTGTCCTTGCGATTTATTGTGGTATCACGCAAGGAAATTGTCGAGAACGTCATATCCATTAATGATAAAATACTTCCTGTTATATATTATTTCCTGTTAAGGCAAGTATATGTACTTTAATAGTGCGACTGCTTAATGACATCTGTCAAACAGTGACAGTTAATGTGACTATATGAAGTCACGACATTATGTTTTTCCAATCTTTCTCAACTTCCCTTCTAATTTATTCAATCCATCAGGTCTAAAAATAAGTTTTATCGTTTATTATTATAGAGTCTGGTTACGTGTCGGAGCCATATGCGCGATCATACTCTCCCTCATCGAATGTCATCGAAATGCTTCCATTCCGATTTCGAAGGAGTTCGGAACCAGTTCGGGCAACAGTCAGCTTTCTCAGCCCTAGTAATGCATGAAGAATGCTCTATTTGTCATTTCGGACCGTTCCTTAAAGTCGCCCCTTTTCCCTTTCAAAGGAGAGCCTACGCACACGTTCGAATATTTCGTGAATAGCGCACTGTTCAATTCAAATGGCGTATGTGTTCAGAACAGTCCGCGCACAATGGGTTCATTCAGTACGCGAATCAGTGGTTCTCCGTAGAGATGAAGGAAATGAAACGCGGAAAGTTATCATTTCAAAGTTATAATTGCAGGGATCATGATTTTCCTTTACAAAAAATTTTACTTTCAAATTAATTTCATAATTTTAAATGAAGTTAGAGACATAAAAATGCTCAACGAAAAAATTTTCATTATCTGTTAAATATGTATTCCAATAAAATCTATAAAATCGACAATTAAGAGAAACAATGTTAATCCAAGTAATTAACATGATGTATTATAATGTTTGTTGTGACAATGTTTTTTCAGTAGGTTTCTTAAAGAAAATTGCAAAGGGATTTGAAAAAAACACTGTAACGTGTAATAATTGTTCTTTTATTAAATTCTTCCAGAGCATTTAAACGAGTTTATCGAAAGAAATTATTATCTTCGTTGTTTTGTGGGCAAAAATTTGACAGTGCTTTGCACGATTATCCGATTGACCCGCCACTGAGAACTGAAATTAGAACACGCGATACTATCGCAGTGACTGATGATGCACTAGTGCATATGGCAAATAAATTATGATACATTATCCGAATAGATTTTACATAGGTATAGCAAAATCTCATTATACACCATCACGTAATAGTCATACGTTTCAGCATTTTTAATCACGAATTTCTAACAGCATGTCATAATACATGACATCAATTGTGAAACTTCAAGGTGTGATAACTATAATCTTCAAGATGATAACAAACGTCGATGCAACTATCGATCTATTGCGTGTGTACAGTTTGATATTATATCCTTCGAATATTTATTTTTCAACATCGCAGCAATGCATCGACTGAAGAATATCTTTGTTCCCACAAAACATTTCTATTAATTGAGCGAGCCATCCCAGATAGCACCATTTCCAATATGCACCCATAAGACATCTTTAACATGTTTTTAAGATGCTTTGAGATATCATAAGACTTCTTAAAGACATCTTAAAGATTTCTTAATAATGTCTTATTGGTACATTTTGGACATGATAGCATTTAATGGTAAAAACTGATCCTTAACATGCAAAAATTTCTCAAACCTTTATGGTAAAAAAAAATTCACCCAGCTGGCAAAGAATAAAAGAGAACATTCTTAAAAATAATTCTAATTAGTTTATTATATAAAGAATGTTTAAAAATAATGACACATTTTATACTAACATACCCCTTTCACGAACAATTTAAATAAATTATCTTTTTAAATTCCTGATAGCTCTATATATTCAGTCTTTTGTGTTCCAAGAGAGTTCATTCAATATAAATATCAATTTAATGGAAAAAATTAAGAAAAATCAAGGATATAAAAAAATAGAACATTAGAGGAATAGAAAAATAAATGGAACGATTAAGGATTTAAAATTTTCTTCATACAGAATAGACAAGTTTCACGCAATGAGAGACAAGAAAGAGGAAAATCTCGTTCATATCATTTTATGCGCGCTCCCGGCGCGCGTTATCGAGTTTCCTTGCGACACGACGTATTTCCCTTTCCTTGTCGTCACTGAGTCCCGCGGGGTCCAGGCCTACCTTTAATCAAAAGAAGAAGAGCTCGACAGTCGGTCGATGGTCGATATACGCACCGCAGAGGGGATGAAAGAAGGCGAAGTAGGGTGAGTTTATTTGTTGAGGGCCACTCCCTCCGATTGTGTTCGGCGGCCCTTTTGTGGCATTGACAGCTGCTGCCTACAGACGTAAGTCACATTTCGCGTTCGGGGATCGTTTGAGAATCTGGAGACAGCCTAGGCTTCTAGTCAGCCGGTTGTCTTATATTTACCACCGCAACGATTCTTCCGCGTGTGAACCGAAGGCAACTTAATTGCGATTCGATGTTTGTTCAAAATGAAATAAATAATTAGAATATATATACCTTTGTAGACAGCAGTGTATGTGTATATATATCTTGGACGCATTTGGGATTCCTAACACAATAAAAAAACCGACGAATCTGCTCGCATAAATGAGACACGTGTCGCCTCCGCGGTAATTCACATGCGGATCTTTTGTTCATCACGTGTCCCAAAAAGGTGTAGGTGCGCGAAACACGTGTATCGAATCACGTGAATTGACTTCATCGAAATTTATTTACCAATACGCGCAACATTTTTTTCCTGCAGAAAAACGACCTTATATCAATTTACTTCCATATTGCGTTCTAGGATAATTATTACAGGTAACATAATACATTACAACAATATTTTTTAATTAAAAATAACTGTGAGACGACCCAACTGGCTTAAATTAATTCTTATTATTATTAGTTTGATGCCATATACAAGAAAAGACTTGTCTTTTCTTGTATATGGCATCAAACTAATAATAATAAGAATTAATTTAAGCCAGTTGGGTCGTCTCACAGTTATTTTTAATTTTATTCATCACTGGCGATACAAGATATCTACTATTAATATTTTTTAAATTATATAATTATTATATATATTATTTCTTATACATTAATTATTTAATTATCAAATATATTATATATTTTATATACTTATATATATATATATATATATATATATATATATATCTTATTATATATGGTGTTTACGACTTGATCAATAAAGTGATAAAATCGAAGGTAAACATATAAGAAAAAATATATAAATATACTTCAATAATATTATTACCACTAAACGTATCGAAAAATAAAGTGTTTATATTATCGTGATATATCAAGGACAGATTCTATAAGTAATCTTTTTATTCTTTATACCAATGTCCAAAGTTTTTCTATTTTTATATTCTTAATTAACGCGCGTGATAAAATATGATATGCGATTCAACGATCCATCTTCATCGATTTCCCTTTTTTGACAATGCGACTTTCTGCACGAAAAGAAGCGAGGCGCGGCCCAAATTAGTTGGATAAACTTTCGATCGTGCAAGGACAAACAATGAAATGGATGAAAATAAAATAAAATAAAAATGCAACAAATGGAATGAACCAAAAAATCAAAATGATCGTATATAAAATATATATCATCGAAATGTGTTTATAATTCAAAATACTTTGTAAGTCTAATACATCAGAGAACTAAAAGACAACAATAATTTTCATATTTCAATCTACTAAATATTCAATAGTTTAATATGAAGCATATTTTCATTTCTTTGTAGCAAAAGAAATTATTTAAAAATGATTTAAAAACTTTGTGTCGTCAATTAAAATTATTTGCTTTTATATTAATCAATCATTCAGGAGAATTTATTTTTGATAGATTAAAAAATTAAATTATTTAAATGAAAAAATTACTGATTTATTTTACTGATTTGATTGATATGGTACTAATGTTAACATAAATTTATTTCTTGTTTTTGCATCTAATATTAGAATTCATTTAACAGTCCTTAAAGGAATGAAAAATTCTTTTTTAGTATACATCTTTTGTAATATTTCCTGACTAGAATAAATCATACACGGTTTTCAGAAAAAATATCGATAAGATTTTGTCAGAATATGATTATAATGTCGATACACAAAACGACAATCAATGATTAATTGATCAAATTTTACTATAGACACAATATAAGATTACATATATATACATAGCTCGCATAAATTTAGTGTCTAAACATGTAATTTGATATGAATTCAGAAATGTGAATATCATTTTAGACCAACATCGTTGACAGGCAATTCATTATATAAAAGATTTTAAATGTTTCAACAACTTTAATCGAAAAATTCCAAATCGGAGTAATAAATGAGTAAATTAAACGCGCGAAGAGAACCGAAGAAAGCAGAAGAAAGGATAAAAAGACGAAGAAGAGGCAGAAGAAGAAGGGGAGAAGTTAAATCGAGTGAGTTAGATAAGGAGACTTGTGGTGTACTCATGTAAAGGATACACGAGTCAGCAGAGTTCGTCAGTCTGTAGACAAGCGTCTGCCGGAATAAATTCAAGCGTTGACTGACTCACTATACCTACTAGTCGACAAACTGATCAAAACAGTGAAAGGAGATTTAAAAATTCAAGTTAAAAGAAATTTAAAAAAATGAAAACATGACAACATTCGGATTCAGTGACGGCGCGTTTACAAGAAATCGATGGAAGAATCGAATCGCCAACATGGATAGCAAATAAAAAATACGTGTTCAGTTGCGAAAAAAATAAATTAAAGCGATCAACAAGTTGATCACAAGGTAGAGAGAAGATATTTATTGGGAGAAATTGTTCGGAGATAATGTGTGATTTAGAATTAATTACATTATCAAGAAATAGCTTTATAAATAAATGTTGACAATATAAAATGCTTGTGTTAGTAAAATATATAAACTTATTTAAATAATTAAATTTTTGAATATTAATATTAAAATAAAAGGAAATAAATGCTTTAAAAAGTCGAAGCACATACAAGATCTTTTTCTAAGTAATTTCAATAACTTAAAAAGTGAAATAATGTATAATAATAACAATCTTAGAATATGCATATCCTTTTATCTCGCAGAAAAAAATAGAAGCACAAAATAATCTTCGATTAAAGATACACTATTTCGAATTAATCAGAACTGAGAAATATTATTGATTACGTTTTGCGTAATCAATCGAATATAGATCGTAGTAATTTCTGAATGAGAAATACCTCTCGAGTAACATATAACTACGATGTAACGATGTAAAATAATTCAGTGAGCTCTTTTCATCGCGGATCAAAGTTCACGTTGCCAGTTAGACAAGGGGATCAGTATTCCGAGAAGGTTACAAAAATTTATCGGCGTGACTAACGGTGTGTTTTTAATGAAAGAATGGAGTAACGCGAGAAAAGATATGGAAATAAATTGATGCGGCGCGCGTGATAAGAGGCACAACTCTGAATATACGTCTTGAAGGAGGTGTGTGTTTGTGTGCATGTGTATATGTGTATATGTGAGCTCTTTCTTGCCTCTTCTTATTCTTCTCGTGGACCGTTTTTCCAAGAGAAGCGTCAAAGTTGCGAGAAAATTGAGAATTAGCCAGAAAAGTAGACAGAAGCAATTAATGAATAAAAAAAAATATACGTAAATGAACATGAATGAATGTGTGAGAGAGAGAAAGTCATTGGATCAATTATGACATTTTATCCTCAAAAAATAGATGAATTAAAACATAAATCTGTCCTAAATATTACAATTTCTAAAATATGAGCAACTCGTTCTAAAATGAATTTTGTCTATTTAAATTTTCATAAATTAGAAATATTTAAAAATAAAAATCAAGAAAGAAAATCCCTCAAAATTAAAATAACACAAAATAAATTTTTTCGTAAAAATATATTTTTTTTCTTACAGCACGTGAGCATTGACTTTTCGAAGAATGCAAGAAAAGAAGGACCACTTCCTGCACATTCGGTAAAAAATGGATCACTTTGCGACAAATAATACGATCCTTGCTGAAAAATTCCATGTTACTGCAGAATACAAGCCGTTCGAACGATATGTGACTATCTTTGCCGCTACTTGCGCAATAATATTCAGCATTATCGGAGTATTAGGTAACATCCTTAATAAAAGAACGCGTCTAAATACTTTAGAATCCTTTACACTTATCTGCAATAATTCTAGAGATTTAAATCTTTGACAACATCCTCTGAGACGGAGATATTTTGATTCCAGGCAATCTAGTTACGGTAATTGCATTATTAAAGTTCACTAGATTGAGACGACATGCCACCACGGCGTTTGTGATATGCCTCAGCATCTCCGACTTGATCTTCTCGGCGGTTAACTTGCCCTTAACCGCGAGTAGATATTTGAACGAAGCATGGATCCTGGGTGGGACTCTGTGCAAAATATTTCCCTTATTTTTCTACGGAAACGTCGCCGTGTCTTTACTCAGTATGGTAGCCATTACTATTAACAGGTAAGTCCCAGGTTCCAAATTTCTTCAAGAGCTTGCACTCTTCAATATATAAGAAATACAAGGTTGGGTATATAACTAGTTAATTAGTTAAAAATTAATAAAAAAGTTAATAACTTTGAACTTAGTTAATTTAAATTGAATTAATGTTTTACTTAAATCAGTTATTTTTAAACTTAAACTTATTAATTAAATTTTTTATAACAATTAAATTTTAATAAGATCATTATTCTACGATATATGTCGTTCTTACAAGTATTATAAAATAAACTATTAATTTTGTTTAACAAATAAAATATTATATTAAAATTTTTTAAGTTATAAATTATGATATTTTAATTTAATATAAATATTAAAAAAAATTTTGTTAATTAAAAATAAACTTTTGATTTAACTCAAGTTAATTAACTGAGTTACTTTTTGGTGTTCATGCAACTTTTAACACAACTAAATTAATTTTATATGCCATTAACTTTAACTTATTGTTAGTTTTAAAAAATAATTAACTTACCCAACCCCGAAGAAGTATATAGATATAATTCTATAATTTTTAAAATATACCTTAAACATTGACTGAACTCTTGCTTCTTCTCTAGATACATATTGATCTCACAACCAGGCATCTACAGCCAAATATACACCAGCCGCGGCATAACGTTGATGATAATAGCCATATGGACTCTAAGCTTCTTGATGCTACTGCCACCCTTATTAGGGATTTGGGGCACTCTTGGACTGGATCCAGCCTCCTTCTCGTGCACCATACTGAAGAAAAATGGTTCCAGCCCGAAGAAATTTCTGTTCGTTCTGGGCTTCGTGGTACCATGCTTGGTGATCAGTGTCTCCTACTTCTGCATATATTGGCGCGTCCGGAGGAGTCGAAAAAATCTTGAAGCACACGCAGCGGAAAGACGCGTCGGTCGACGAGGCGGTGGATTTCAACGAAGGGAGGATTCCAGGGTGACCAGACTCATGCTCAGCATATTCGTCTTCTTCCTGCTGTGCTTCATGCCGTTGATGATGACGAACGTGATCGACGAGACTATGCAGGCCCCGGTGTTCCACGTAATTGCCTCCGTACTCGCTTGGGCCTCGGCGGTGATAAATCCTTTCATCTATGCCGGCACCAACAAACTCTACAGGGAAGCGTACAAGCAGATCCTGTGTCCAGGCTCAAGTAGAACGCCCACGATCGGTCCTAAACCGGGGCACTCTCACTCGAGCAAAGTCTCGTCGCCCCTCACGACATAAGAATACCTCGTTCGCTTCAAGAGACGATCGATCGAGTCGTGGATAAAGATAGTAACAAGTAAAAAGTCGATGCATAATATTATTTTGATTCTTTTTTATAAAAACGTTTAAACGTAATTTTTTTTATAGAATAACTGTAAAGGGTACTAAGATTAGAAGAAGCTAAAAACTGCTAATGCATTAAGGTTGCGTTTATGATTTCTCGGAGTAAGCATTAGCGAGAAAATAAGATTCTCATTTGACAAGTCAAATATGTTTTTTTTTTCCTTTTTTTCTTGTAATCAAGGGAATAAGAAATTAAAATTAACATGGAGAAAAGTATATATAAAAAAATCTTATTTCTTGCCTTACATACATAAACGCTATGTTACAATATAAAATGACACTTTTTTCTTTGTATAATGCAAAATATACATATAATTTTATTAAAAAAGTTGAAAGTATATAATAAAAAATATAAATGCACATAGTAACAATATTGGCAAATTAAAAAATATATTAAAAAAACTATATTGCGACTTAAAACAAAAGTACGCGATATAAATCTCCTATGCATATAAAAAATTCATGACAAATAGACTTAAAAAAGAATATTTCCATTATAATACTTTTAAAAGATTACGCATACATCTTTATAGATTACGATCAAGTTATCCTTCATGGCAATTTTGGTTTCACTAATTATTTGTTCAACAATATTTACATTAATGCACATTAATTTGATAATAATATATTTGTACTTGAAGAGAATGAGAGTATATTATCGGTTAAATGCGCTTATTATTGTATTGTGCACATCATAAAGAAACCATTAAAAAAATCTTTGATTCTAACAAAATCAATATATATATATAAAAGATGATTCAGATATAAAATTGATATTTACGAATAAAAATGCAATAAAAATATAAAGAAAATGTAAAAATACAAAAGTGCAAAAATATAAAACTATATTTTCTACACTGTATTTAAATAAAACATGATGTGCATATTTTATCTTTATGTCAATCATTATAACTTTACCTTATCTTTGTTACTCATCAACTACATTTAATCTATATTAATCTATATTTTATGCTAAACATGGACGGAAATTGTATTAATACTTCATAAGATTTACCTTACATTACATTTATATGTATAATAACATTTAAATTGATATCAAAGGTAAAATGTAGATATGCTATGTGAAAAGTCTATATACGTGTATATATATGTATATACACGCATAAACCTATGAGATTCTCTTGTCAGTACAATATTTACACAAATTGAAATCTTTAACTGAAGATATACGTAATGAGATACGAACGTAAAAAAAAGTAAAACAAAATTAATTCAACTCCAATTCTGGTAAGTAAGGCTCCGTGATTGCGGTGATGGGGCACATAGTTAAAGTATCCTACACATGGAAAACAGATATTTTAGTTTTAATAAATATTTCATATTTTTATAAATTACTTTTTATGATTATAAATAAAAATTGCTTTTCAATAACCAATGTAATATAAAAAATACGCGTTAAATATATTGTAAATATCCAAAATAATATAAAACTAGATTTTCTCACCAGTCGTGTTAGTTCATCGAACGTTGGCCGCTCTTCAGGATCGTCTCGCCAGCAAGACAACATGACTTCGTAAATCGGATCTGGGACATCCAGCAATTGCGGTAAGCGTACACCTCGCGCAACCGCCTCCTCCACCTCGCTGTCGAGGGTTAAATTCGAGTATGGCGTACCGCCCATGCTGAGTATCTCCCACAAAAGTACGCCGAACGCCCAGATCACACCCGGCTGATGCTTCTTCTGACGATCGAAGCACTCGAGCGCCGTCCATCTGCTATACTTAACATCTTCCAAGGCGTACTTGGCGATCCCGTGACCAATGAGTTTAGGCGTCCAGTCATTTGTCAGTCCCACGCTTCGTGCGCAGAGATGCGTATGAACGATCTTATAATTCGCCAGGTATTGCAAAGCGACCGCTATCGAGCTCGAGATGGACAGTATTCGATCTGTCGGGAACGCGTCCCCGGATCGCGCGCCTAGCAGACGACTCTTCAAGATGTGCGGTGGTGACTCCAGTACGACGTACAGCGTATCGGAGGTCTCGCAGGTTCCCACGAGTCCCGCGAGATACTTCATGGAACCCGTTCGAATGCACACGTCCAATTCTCTCAGCATATGCCTCTTGTCGGATCCTTTCAGAGCGCCGTCGGCTATAGTGTGAATCGTGACCGGACTGGAGGATCCGTCATCCTTCGAGACGGTTCCGGTATGCACAGTACCGAATCGACCTCTGCGCAGGACGAAACTATCGACGGACAGGGCGTTTCGCGGGATACTCCACACTTTCTTTTTCAACTCTTGATAATGATTCACTCTTTCGGGAAGGTCCTCCGGAATGTAACCCATATTATCCACCTCGTAGACCGGACCCTGCAACGTAAGCTCTTGTTGTTCCGGCAGTTTCCGCATATTGAACCTTTCGTGTCGCCGTCGCAAAACAAAGTACAAAAATATCGCACAGGCAAGTAGTAGACTCAAGATCGTGATTGCTATGCATAACACAAGAGCAGTCGAATCCATGTGACTGCCTGTCGGTGTCGTATTGCGCTGGAGCATGTTATTGGCTAGATCGGAATAGGAACGTTGTATCTCCTCGCCTATTCGCGAGATCACCACCAGGCCGACCTGCGCGGATACAAAGTAATTCTTCAATGGAATGTTGTAGTATCCTCCGATCATCTTGCCATCTCCTACGATAAACCTCTTGTATTTATGAAAATCTGATGGGTCGAATTGCGCAGCGACGTAGTAATTTAAGCCTAGCTTCGATGCGGTGTTATAGTTTAGGTACTCAACGTGGGGCCCAAACGGAGGTATAGTCCCACTTTGTACAACGACCACTTGGTACGCGCTGATCGGTCCGTATTCACTGTGACCTTCGGTGAACAGGACAGTTATAGTGCTGTCGCCGTGTTCCAATACTTCTGGAGTAACTGGTTTATCGGGAGGTCCTATCAAGGTCCACGCTACGGCATATGCTGGTTCGCTAGGACCCTGCGTATTGCTGGCAACGATAGATATATTGTACTTAGTGCCTGGTTGAAGACCTTTCAGAACCGTGCTGTTAGATACACCTCCCTGAATCTGACTCTCGACGGGTGGTAAAACATTACTCGCGTGCGTTTTCACAACGACAGCACGGATGGTGTAAAATGTAACGTTTCCATTGGGTATATCAGGTGGCTGCCATGTTATCACAAAACTATCTATATTGTCCTGAGTTACTTCTATTCTCCTCGGTGGACTTGGCCCTAAAAAATATGTATTTAGTTAAATATATTTCTCTTCGATCATATATATGATTGGAAACTTTAGTTTGCTACGTTACAACTCATGTTGATATTGATATCATTATTTATCCATTACATCTATAATGTAGCATATAATAAATGATGTATAATATTCATATTCATATTCAATAATATGAATATTACAAAGTAGACAATTTGAAATATTCGGAAACCATACCTTGCTGACCAGTGGCATAAACGCTCATAGCTGTATAGCTGCCGCAATAATTGGAAGGATCGTTGTTGCACGAATCGCAGCCATTCGACGGACCATTCTGACCGAATCTGCTCATGCAGTAACATTGTTGCCCATTCATCAATCCCGCAAACCTATTAAACAAAGGCAGTTTGAAACAGGTTCTATATACATCCCAGGTAGGAAGCATACGTCACTTAATGTCAATGATGTCATTAGACATCAAAATGATATCATTTTGATGTTTAATGACATCAGTTTACTACTTGAGATTAGCGTTATGTTTAGATGATTTTAAAATTAGTTAGATAAAGATGAGATAAAAAACTGTAAATTCATCTTAGATAACATAAAGATAATTTTGTTTTAAATATATTTAGATAAAAGATAAAATTTTATGGCAATTTATCTAGATAATAATTTTTAAGACTGCTTATGTAAACATAGCTATAAAAAATGTAAATTATAAGAGATATATAAAAATATACTTATGTATTCATATTTTTATTTATAAATTTGTATTGCTTAGTAATTAAGTTCTACTATTTAAGCATTTTTATGTGCTATGATTCTAAACCAAAATTATCTGAAAATTATTCTAGATAATTTAGTAAAGATAATATATTATTATCTTTACTAAATTATCTAGAATAATTATAAAAATATTAAATACTTTTTTCATCTAAGATGCAGATATAGATAATGCATATTTTTATTATCTATATAAAGATAAGATGACGCCAAAGTTTCATCTAGATTCTAGATGATCATTTATATAATTTTATTTAGATAGATAGCAAACACTGCTTGGGATGTATATATATTAACTGTATACATATATTAACATTTTACATGACCACCTACATATAATAATGAGAACGGCATTTCATCGTACACTGGGATACGCCGCTGTATTTTAGTATCGATGACAGCTCGGGATCCGAGGTGTGAATGAGAAAACAGCCTTCGTACTTTTGGGAGCACGCGAAGTAAACACTAAAGATAAATAAAAGGAGGACGATCGCCGTCATCTCGGACATTCGTTTCAATCTCTCTATTTTCCGATCAAGATTCTCAATCACTATTCTCCGTATCGTAGCATATCGAGGTGAGTTATTCGTTCGGAATGCGCGACGATGATTCAACGCGGGAGAGACGCGGTGACAACGCGAGGGTGCGAAGAAGATTAGGTTAGGTTCGTCTCTTGGCTGTCAACGAGGCGCGAACAGTTCCCTCCGAGTTGCCGAACACGCGTACGCTCATCTCATTCTCGCGCGAATCCCGGAAGTATCGAGTGCGGAATACTGCGGAATCGCCACGTTCGTTCGACGAGTTCATTCAGTAAACAACATCGCGATCGCGAATCCACGTACGCTCTGACGTGACGCACGCGCCCATTGGTTCACGTTACGTGAATCACGTGCTGCACTCTGGCGTCTTGATTCAGGATTGTAGCGAATAAGGGGTATATTTTGGAGGAAAAATTTGAAAAAAATTTTACAGCAAATTTTTATTCCAATTGAAAATTAAAATCAATCAATTCAATTCCAATTGTCAACTTCACTGATAGTTTATGTGTATGACTTGCTTTATTAATTTTTTCTGATTATTCGAGCTATTTAATGTATATTTATTAATTAATTTATTATTAATTAATTTTTCTGTAAAAAATTCTAAGACTCCAACTTGGTAAAAGGAAATTAAAAAATATATAATTCTGCGATACTAATTTGTTTCCTTTGTTACGGCACTGTACTATTTTATAGGCGCGGCTGCACTTTTATGTTACGCACGCTGGCTATTGAGATGAAACAATTGAATGAGATTTATGTCGGTAAGTATACACATTTATTGAACTGGAAAATAGGACAATCGTCCTTATATAATAAAGAATAACGAAATAAAAATAAATAACAAAAATATAATAAAAATAAAGAATATCTTTTTAATTATACACTTCTCAAAATAATTAAAGTATAAAAAAATATCCAAAAAATAAGCAAATTTTAAATAGCTGTAATACTTTGTTTTAAAAAATGAGAATTTAAATTTTAAAAAAGAGTTTTAAAACTTGAAATCTCTACTTAGATTAAATTCAGTCATGTTATAATATCATCAATCAAACATCTTCGATTAAATTTATTTAAATTTTATTAATCGTTATACATAGTTAATTAATGGAAATAGAGAAATTATATCGATTTTCTTAAGTCAATCATTAATGGAAGAGATTCGCATTAAATTTGCTATATTTAATCAATTATATACTTTTTAATTGTTTCTGCTCAAATCAATTGTCAATTGAATTGTCAATTGAGCTGTCTTCGAATCTGTTTTTTTCAATCGTCCATTAAAGTACTTCTAATTAAAATTAATTCATATTAATCGTTTAATTGAAAAACTTTCAATTATAAATTAGCTTGTGTTAATCGTTTAATCGATCGCTCTCCGATTAATTTCGTTTATATCAATTGTCAATTAAATAATCTTCAATTGACTTCGATCATATTAATCGTTAATTAAGCGATCTTCGATTAATCTAGCTTATATCAATCGTCATTGTAACGATCTCTAATTAATCTTTCTAAAATTAATCGTCAATTCAAAATATTTTAATTACATTTAATTACATTTGTTTGTAATTAAATGTCATAATTAATTTAAAAAGTAATTAATTAATCAGCATCTCTGATCTCAATTATAAGGGAACTTTTATCATTATATATAAATTATCTAATTATATCATTTGATGAAAAAAAGCTCTTGTAAATATATATTGAGAAGAGACGAGCTACTGTATATTTCATAATTTTAAAGATAAAATAATGATCCAGCGATTAAATCCAAAATTTATATAGATGCACAGGAAATTCTTTTTAAGTATTGTTGCGAAAGAAATAAAAAATATTTTGATTTTTTGTTGAGATTAGAATTGTATTATGTTAGAATGAATCAGTTGTGCAACTTGTCATCATCAGATTATTATGTTTATTGTTCTTCAACAGATTATTATATAATTTAGTGACAATTACATATTCCGTGTGTGATACTATGATTCCAGATAACAAAGCATGTCATGGCAAATATGAATTATATATAATTACAAATAAAATTGTTCTTTATTTGTTATCTTTTTATCAATATTTAATTGTACATAAATTAATGTACAATATGACAAAATAATGACATCTATTTTCTACTCGACATAGTAGCCAATTTTGGACAACACACAGTCTTCTTAATACATATATAAACATTTCAGTAGTTTGTGATAGCAAGATGCGAACATGAGTTGCTTTCATTGCTTCCGTCTTATCATGATATTGCTAAGAAGAAATGAAAAATTAACCTTTTGTTTTTATAAAGTAATTACTTGCAGCGTATTTGTAGCAAAATTGCCATGCTTTTAATAGTAAATCTTGTTTATATCTTGCTCACGTATTGAGGAATTACCTTGTTCCGTTTCCGCTCCAATTTAATTGTTGTCTTGCTAGTAACTTATTAGCAAAATTGCAGAAATTTTGTTACCTGGGATATTGCGCTGTATATATAATAACATATTATTGTTGCCACGAAAGATGCAGATATATTCATGGTTGATTTTACATATATTTTGAATCATTATTCTAAAATATATATATTATTTGCAATGCTATATATGATTTTTATAATAAAAATAAAAACACATGCTAAAGCTTCCTAATGTACCAATTAAAATATAAAAATAACGACAGTATATAATATTATAATCCATCTTAGATACATCATACTTTTCTATAAATATTAAAGTAAGCCAGGTGAACATTTTTAAGTTAATATTTATAACTTTCTCATTACATCAATTTTTATCCAGCTTTTAGAAATCATTCCGAGTAATTTTAATCATGTTATTAAGACACTCTATTAATCGAGTATATAATATACGAGTAATTTTAACGTCTATAGCGATTTTCTATGAGATACATAGATTTTCTATAAGATGAATAGCGTTAATACTTTTGTCTCTGATTATATCTCTCATACATTCTGAAAATTTAAAAAAAGCCGAATTTATATTATCTAACTCTCTTTTTGCGATGATGAAACAAAAAGTATACATATAATGTGCTAGAATAATATTACAATATTTGATGAAGTTATATAGAGGTAATTTTAACAATACTATATAAAATGCGGAAAAACTTTATGCAGCTTTTTCCTGCCTCTCTCTTTTGTCCACGTTGTTTCCCTCCAATATTCTTCACCGTTAAATAAAATTGCGATCGAAGTTGAAAGGCGTCACCTAATCGAAACGACTTTTCGGACTTCGGTCATAGATAATTGCACCTTGCTCAAGGTCGCGTTAGCTGGAATAAGTGTTCATAGATTACATCTTGATAGCGTGATTACCACAACCTTATGAGGCGAAAGACCCTTGCATATATCGATCTTCGAGAAACCTAACGTATGTTTCATCGACGAAATTCCACGTTCGACGCCTTCAATACTTCTACCTTGAAACTGATGTTTGTTGATGGTTCTATATTGTGTGAAGTGTGAATTATTAATTGCAAAATACTGCGGCATAACAATCCTGCGGTAAATGTAATATAATTAAGAAAAGAAGCAAACTATAGACAGAATGTAAACAGTAAATTTTCAAGGTGATCCTAGCTTCTCCTATAATATTTGATTGTATCGCATAATGACGCAGTATTTCATCCATCTTATCGACGAAGTGTCATCCGTGTTTGAATAAAATTCTAATACCGTTAACTGAATTTTAGGTCAATCGTTATATAGATCCAGACGATATTTCCATGCATTCTGTAATAACACAAAGGTGCGAGGTGAGGTGACTTAATACAGTTTAGCGTCAGCAGCTCATTTGCATCGCGATTAATATTTTTATGCAAATTAACATCCGATCCGCGGACCAATTGTACCTCGTATGTCCGCCTAAGTAAATGCTCTTTTATCATTTCTCGATCGATCCCTTGCGATATTTCATGTCAATAAATTATTCATTTTTATCGAGACATTAATATTGTTTTTATTATATATCATTGAAATTAATTATAACTTCATTTTTTTATTTTTTAAGATATTTTAGATGAGATTTTTTGTAAATATTATACATAAATGATATTATATATTACTCATTGTCAGTTCCCTTTTTCTATTACAAGGTCTTATTAATTTAATAAAAATTATTATACAGAGTGTGTTCAAGATATAATTAATTATATATATAAGAAAAGAGAGAGAGAGCATTTCTTGAAAAATGATTTCTCGAAAATTTGAATTAAAATTCTTTCATACATTTCTTATGTATCAATAATCTTTAACAATCTTGTGTCCTTAAACTTATCTCATCAGTTATTAATATATTAGTATATAAACAGAAAAAAATATATTTTTTCTTTAGAGAGAAGCTTTGAGTTAATCGACTTAAAATTAATATTTTTCAAAAAAAAAATGTAGAATAAAATTAAAGTGAAAAATACCGTATAAAATATCAAGATCATCCTTATCTTTCGGTTGTTCCAGTTCTTGGTAAGTTATACCCGACAAGTAGCATATCCTAATCTTCTTTTTAGAATCTTTTAGAACTTTTTAAAAGAAACATATTTTCGTCTCTTTTCAGATAAGTGCTACCTGTCAGATAAAACTTCGGCTCTCAATAAAATATAGCTTACTCACTCTATACGGAAATGCTTATTCAATTTTAATCCAACCCATTACTAAGAAGAAGTATTCTAGCGTTGTAATAAAAAATGATTGCCCATTCTCCTCGCATATGTACACAAGAGCGAGAAAGAATTTTCCGTAGAACAACAAAAGGGACGCAGGATCAGAGAGCGCAGGTCCCTGACGGGGTCGACCGCGAACCGAAGAATATCAACCCTGCCAAGTACGGGTGGTGGGCGGCAGATCGGTGGAAGGCATAAGGTGAAACACAGGGAGTCACGCGAAGCAACCCCCCAGAAAACGGAGGCGGTTCGAGGAGTATTCGTTCCCTTGCAGCGTGGCGGATCGGTCAGTCAGTCTGCAGGATGTGGCGCGCGACGTGGTTGCTTCTCGCGTCGTCGGTTTTGCTTCTCGTCCAGAGGATCCATGTCGTCCGCGCTCAGAGGACCCATGCGCGACAGGGTTTCAACACACGCGAGTCCAGCGCGACGATCACGATACCCGGTCAGGGAGTCCTCCTCGGCAAAGAGGTGCGATTTTTTGCAGTTTTTCTCGTTGATTTTTCAGTTTCTCTACTCTCGAAATTTCTTGGAGTGAAAACTGAACAATCTCATTCCAAAAGAGTGGAATTTTACTCCAAAAGAGTGGAATCTCACTTTTTTATTGGATTGTTCAGTTTTCACTCTAAGAAATTTAGAGAGTAATAATTAATTATTTAAACTTATTAAATGCCACGTTTCGACCAGAATTTTGGTTTTGGTCCTCTTCAGGTATACAGTTAAATATTTAAAAAAGAGAGAAAAGGGAAGAACAACGTTGTGTCGACACTTATTGTTTGTGTTAAATTGATTTAATAAATCTAAATAGCCAGCACTGATAATTATTTATTATCTTAATATTTGGACTAGCGATTAAAGACTCTAATCGTTAATTTCTCTAATAACATTAATTAGTTTGCTAGAACTCGTCCATCTTTGGTGCTATTTAAAGTTGGCAGGAAATTTACGATTAGATCTTTAGACGGGAGTCGGAAGTTCTCTTGTAGTCAGTTTTGTCAACATCTCTGTTGTAATTCGTGCTCTTCTTTGATTTTATTATTTATTCGCCATTTCTTTTGAAATTATAAGAATCCCAGAAAAAGGTAAATGAAAATCCTTATATTACCCAAGTAGTAAACTGATGTCATTAAACGTCAAAATAACATATGCTTGCTACCTGGATAGTTTATTATTTGGAACAAAAATATTAATCTTAAGTCAACTAATAAAGTCGAATTCTTTGTAATTCTGATGGCAGAAAAAGTAAATTTTAAACTACATACAGAGTATCCCATATTCAGCGAATTACTGATATACAATTAGATTCCTGACGTCATTTGGAGACGATTTTTCCTCAGCGAAGATGTTGAGGGAGATCATCATTTTTTGCATATTCCCAATTTTGGCAATCATGTAATTAAAATTCTATTATATTTTATTTCTATAAGATTTAATTTGTGGAAAAATCCTTTATTTTCTCAATTGCTTATAACTGGAAAATTATATTGGTGCCTCGACATTTTCGCTGAGGAAAAATCGTCTTTAAATCATGTTTGGGCTACTGTAAATCAGTGATTCTCTGGGTACAGAACCCCCTGTATGAAATTAAATTTCTTGATGTTTTTATACAAAATTTGTGATCTTTAACATTGACATTTTTTGACAGGTAACTGTCGGCAATTCGGCGAAACTGACGCAGTATCTCGGCATTCCTTACGCAAAACCTCCAATTAATGAGCTTCGCTTCGCGCGGCCAGTAACAGACCCTCTTCCCTCTTGGAACGACGTGAAAAATGCATCACAATACGCACCCTCGTGTCAGCAAGCCACGGGCCTTCTCAAATTGCACGAGAAACTCTACAAACGATTGCTACCCTCGGACATACCCGATCCGGGATTCAACGAGGATTGCCTGTACTTAAACATCTTCGTTCCTGATGGTACGTAATTGTAGTACATGTCCCAAGAAATGATTTTCTAGAAATATGGTTTCAAGAATGCTTATTAAATATTTTCGATTTAAAAATTTGCATTTCGAGAAAATAAAATTCAAACATTATTTCTATTTGTAATATTTGCATAAAATTTGTAAATAGAGAAGCAAGTATTTGAAAATGTATACAAAGTACCATTAATTTTCTTTAATATTTCTTATGAAATAAATAATATTAACTCAGAAGATTATGAAATGTGGAATATGAATTTAATGCGAAATATGAGATTCTATTGTCATAAATTCATCAGCCACGAGAAAGAGTCAGAAAAATAGAGAGTGATTGTGATTTCCCGCGCAAGGGGTGGAAATCTCTTCTTTCGATAAATCTAATAAAAGTAAAAAAACGGCGAGATTGGCTATTGATGACGGTCCGTGATACTGTTCAGTTTTTTTCCACCTAATCTTCGAGTAAAGTAGTACACGCAACGCAACGACGGTCAACGGCGAAGTTCGTTTCCTGACGAAGCGCGAGATAACGTTCACCCGTAAGTTCTCCGAGACCGATTCCTATCGTTCAAGAAAGGGGGTGATTATAAAGGGAGGGAGAGTGCATGGACTTGCGAATAACACCGCGATCAGATAAAAGTATAGTGGACCGAAGTAGAAAATTAATAACCGTTAGTATCGGCCAAGAACTAGAGTCGTGCAGAGAAGATTTATCACATGCCACAACGCACGCATAAAAAGAAGCATGAAGGTGGAGGTCGTAGAGCTACACAATGTTCAATATGATTAACGTGGACAATCTTCTCGTGAATAATTCGCATTCTAATTACATTTCATATTCTAATTACATTACATAATATATGGACTGTATATTATCCTAGATATGTTAATTTTCGTCGTGTAACATTTAATGGAATTAAAAAATATAAAACTATAAGTTTAAATATGAAAAGAGGTGGTAAGAGCTAGGGATAGATACTGTTAACAGGGTTGGATAAGTTAATAATTTTTTTAAACCAAGTTTAATTGAAGTTAGTTGCTTATCAAATTAATTTAGTTAAAAGTTTGCATAAACAAAGAATTAATTTAGTTAAAGTTAAGATTAAATTAACTGAAATGAAATCAAAAGTTAATTTTTAAAAACATTATTTATCTTAAATTAAAATTTTGTTTGTTAATTCTTTTAAAATTGATAATAACAAATAGCAAAGAAATTTTGATTTTTATATAAAAATGTATTTTTTGGTAATTACAATTGATGACAAATAAACATGAAAATTAATAATACTTTAATTTAAAAATAATATGTTTATAAAAAAACAATAATGGTATTTAGAGATAAAAAATTTAGCATTAATTGAAATTAAAAATCAATACATTTTAAATTAATTAAGCTAATTGTAAGTTAAAAGTTATTAACTTTTTTTACTTTTAACTAATTAATTAGTTATTGACCAATCCTGCTAATTATATTACGCATATATGTAGGTCCGATTATATTATTTTAATTATTATTTTTCATTTAGTATATTATTTTAATTATTCGTGTAACCTTTAATGTTATCAAGAAATATAAAAATACAAGTTTAGATATGAAAAGATCTAGTTATAGGGATAGATATTAGCAACAAAATTATTTTTTGAATTCCTCTATATTTATTTTGAACTAGTTCCTTCCTTTGAACCATCCTCAGCATATCAATTAAAAAAATCACGTATATACAATATAAATTCGCATCTCTATCTTACATCTCTGATAAGTTGTCACAAATTCAGACAAGATAGAGAACAAAGAATGAACGTTCTGACTTCCGCAATAAATATAATACTTAAAGATGTTCATCCCTTATTTTAATTTTCGCTTGTGATAAGGACTTATCAAAGATGTAGGATGCGGATTTACACACTTGAATTTTTTTATCAATTGATATGCTGAGAATAGGATTAAAGGAAGGATCGAAACGTTCAAAATAAGTCTAGAGAGGAATTTAAAAATAATTTTATTGAACCTAATATCTCTGTACCTGGCTCTTACTGGCCTGAATTTGTATTTATATATGCGCATCAGAGCCTTTTCGATTTATTACTTTAAATATAAAAATGTCAAAGTGTGCCATGGAAGAAGGGGAGTGGATATTTTTTTCTCAAAGACATTCGCGTTTTAAGTCGACGTTAAAATATTCTGCAATAAATTGAATCGAATATGAAACATTCGTGTTCCTCACGTGCATTGCTTTCGCATTGCGCATCTCATTTGCTGCACTTGCCCCAGAAGTCCCTGATGCAAATTTAATGAGCTACTAAGAATGGTAAGCATATAAGATACTCAAGCTCTTCAAGTATATCACAAAAGGTTAAAGGGATGGAAAAACCGAATGCGGAAACCGGCAACCGCTAAACGGCGTCTCTCTCTCTTTCTTTTCGTTCGAGAAAGGAAAAAAGAAGGAGGACAGATTCGCGCCAGCACGAAAACTACACACGACGACGACGACGATGACGAAGAGTCGGGGGTGGTCGATATATACCAGTAAGAGTAGTAACAGAATAACTGGCTCACGCGGTGGCACGCGATCTTTCAGGGCCCGGTTTTGCAAGAGATGCCGAGATACCAGAAAGCTGGTCACGAAACCTCTACCTCTCGCTCTCTTTCTGACCATCAGAAAGCTAGAGCTAGGGCAAGTACCGAATGGTTCTGGTATGATGAATCATTGATCCGCGAATTTCCCGATGACAGCTACCTCCTGCGATCCTTATCGTTACGCTTGCAAGGATCTCGAACTGCGTCGCAACGTTGGGCATTTTGGGGCGTATTCGAAACCACTGACAGTTAATGCGGAGAAGGTTCGAAGTACTTATGCAAGCATGCCAAGGTCGTTCTGTTAAGAAATGACGTTCGATGCATGGGACGATAATACGGGACGAGACCATGTTCAGGAAACCGCAGAGTGGAACGAGGGAGAATCTCGTAGCGAACCCCGTTATCGTGACAAGTTCGCCTGGAAATAGAGACCCGAATGTGTAAAGGGGTTTGTTCGCGGTGGCTCGTACATGAATTTTCTCTCTGACACGTATAGATACGACTAGAAATTCAATAAAATGAGAAAAACTTCTTAAAATACAAGGACTTAAACTGAAATAATATATAGGGAAGACAGAGAAGTTTATTTAAAATGCAACCTCGAATTCATTATAATTATTAAATTAATTGATACCAAGAAAAATTTGTGTGCTACAACTAACTAGTTTTAATAGACAAAAAAATTAATTTTTTTTTTCTTTAAATTGATGCACTATTATTTGGCCCTTTCTAGCCTATTGAAATTCAAATACCCTCCCAAAGTAAAATATTATGTTTAAAATAATAAATCAAAAAGTATGTATAAATATAAATTCAAGTATGAAGAGCTAGTAAGAGCCAGCGGCACAGATATTAAAATTATTTTAATTCCCTTTATTTTGAAAATAAATATAGAGGAATTTAAAAATAGTCCTTTTTATACCTTAAAAATATTATCTATATTTTTAATACCCTCCAAAATAAAATATTATATTTAAAATAATAAATCGAAAAGGCTTTAATGTATAAATATAAATTCAAGTATGAAGAGCCACAGGCACAGATATTGAAATTATTATATTATAATATTAAATGATTATAATATAAAATTATATTTTATATATAATATATAAAATTATTATAATATTAAATTATTTTTAAATCCCTCTATTTTAAAAATAAAAGTGTAGAAGAATTTAAAAATAGCCCTTTTATACCATAAAAATATTATCTAGATTTTTTCCCTCAACTTGAATAATTATCGATTCAATTCCCTCTCTTCACAGCTTATAAATTTATAAATAATTAACGAATAATCCATATGCATAGGAAGCCGCCAAAATGACCAATGGCCGGTGATGGTTTGGTTCCACGGTGGCGACTTTAATACCGGAACTCCAGCGATCTGGGATCCTTCCATATTCGTTACTAAACAAAAGGTGCGAGTACGATTACGAATTCATATATATATACGAAAAAAAAATATCTTGTTGATAAAGACTTCGACAGTTTCGGCGCAAATCGTGCAATATACGTCGTAGATTCTGAAAATTAACGTGACCCGGTCTGAACGCAATCAATACCAATATAATCATGATGTATCGTGATTAGCATGTATTTTTCACGAGGTACGTAGTAAACCCAACTCATCAATCGGGAGAGCCCTAGACATTTGCGGATGGACAGAAAATCGAAGGGAACCGGGTCAGACCTGTCCTTTATCTCGCGTGCCGTCATTTTCAGAATAGAATCGCACCCTTTGACTTATTACTCGGCCACGATACATCATTAATTGGAAACTTTCGTCTTTACACAACGGAATGTACATAATCGCATTTTTTTCCAACTCGAGAAACCAAATTAACCACCCGGGGAGGAGGCAAATTAATTAATCAACCGCACGAAACGAGAAAGCAAATCTCCAAAACTTTCGACGATAACGATATGATAACGCTCGAGAAAGAGATTTTATCGTCGACACGCAACAAAAAGGAAAAAAAAAAGAAAAATTCGCGCGATTAAACAAGGACGACTTTTGCGGTCGGCAGGTGCTAGTGGTGACGGTGGCGTATCGATTAAACATCCTGGGATTCTTCACGACGACGGACTCGGAGGCGCCCGGCAATTACGGTTTATTCGATCAAATCGCCGCCCTCGACTGGGTGAAGCGTAACATCAAGCACTTCAACGGCGCGCCCAACAACATCGTCATCTACGGCCACAGTTCCGGGGCGATAAGCGTGGGCCTGCACATGCTGAGTCCCCTCAGCAAGGGCAAGTTCAACAAGGCGATCGCCATGAGCGGCGACGCGCTCGGTTCCGTGGGTTCGCCGGAAACGGAGGCCCCGGTCGTTAAAATCATAGCCGACAAGTTCGGCTGCTATCGAGAGCCAACTAGCGCGTTGATGGAGTGCCTGCGCCGGCTCGACGCCGATTTCATCGTCAAACATTCCTCCGACATCGAGACCTGGGGCCCGATCGTCGACGCCGAGACGAATAACGAAACGGAGCCTTTCCTTCCGCAACACCCGAAGGATATCCTGGATAGTGGTAATTATAAGGACGACTCGATAATGTTTTAAAGTCCAAAACAGTTTAACACGTTTCTGTCATCTCAAGGATCTATCTGGATTATTCAAGGCCGAGCATGTTATAATTATTACGTCAGAAGCGGGAAAACACACGCTAAACATTCTTATAGATGCCATTTCGAAGTAAAAAACATTTCGATGAAACAGCACTTCAGATATGGCTTTAAATACCTCGAAAACTAGCTTGTTCCCTTTATAATCAATCAACAGCTGTAAAATTACTGTAATATAAATAATGTAATACAATGTAATGTAATATAAATGATAAAGGGGGAGCTGCTCTTTGCACATGCGCAGTCTTCCGCATGACAGTCTGATGTTACAATCATTTTACAATTGTTGATTGATTGTCAAGGGAAAAGAATTTTCGAGATATTTTAAAAGTGTGCTAAAGCTATCTAAAATGTGTTTCATGGAAATATCTTTTTATTTGAAAATGATATTTAAGAATTTTCAGCGTGTGTCTTCTCGCCTCTGACGTCACAATCTAACATGACTGCGGCGAGAAGCGCAAGCTCCAGGGGAACCTAAAAATATTTTTTAAACATGTAAAGTCTCTTTGACTTCTATACTTGCAGTCTGGATATAATTTTTCTTTAACGTTTATCGTGTTTTATTTCAGGCAATTTCAACGCGGTGCCGCTGATCGTCGGTTACACGAAGAACGAGCAAGCTCTGGCACTTATAGAATCCGGACAGAATTTGGAGAACGGTCTATCCCAGGCTAAGTTCGAATCGATGATCGAAGATGACTTCTCGTCGGTGGTGCCGATAGCGGATGAAAATAGCACTTGCGAGTCAAAGCCCGAGATGGTGACGAACGCGGTGCTGTTCTTCTACAAGCCGTATCCACCCACGAAAAACACGACGGTGTATCGCGACCGATACTTGGAGCTGCAAACAGAAAAGACTTTCGCGTCCGGTCTGACCTTGCTGGCTGGCAAAGTGGCGAAACGCTCGGCGACTTTTGTCTATCGGTTCGATTATCGTGCCAAGACGCAACCGGTTACGAAAGATGTACCGGAATGGGCTGGGGTGCCCCATATGTTCGAGCTACCGTTCGTCTGGGGTTTACCGAATCATATTGGTGGCTCGATACAATGGTTGCCTAATGACAGGAAGACGGCCGACGCGATGATGACGATGATGGCGACGTTCGCCAGGACCGGTGAGCCTTCCGTAACAGGTGGAGCTGGGCCGTCAATCAAGTGGGAGGCCTTCACGCAGGACAATCCAGGGATTCTGATCATCGACAAGAATATCGAGATGGGCGAGCCGGACATGGTGGATCACAAGGCCCTCGCCTTCTGGAACGATTATTATCCGCAGATCGTGGAAGAGGCGACGACCTGTTGCAACATCACCAGCGCGGCACAGAGGCTATTTTCTTACAGTGTGTATCTCGGCGGCGTGACAACTACGATGGCGTTACATCACTTCTGGTTCTAGTTACACACGGCAAATATTTAAATAAACAGAAAGAACATATTGCGCTCGCTGTTATATTTTTTTAATAGACCAAAGAACCCGTCGAGAGAGAAGACGGTGTCGTCGAATTTTTCAATTTTGTAACGAGATCTCTCTTCCTCCCACACCTACTTACTATACTTTTCAGAAAGCAAACGCAGTAACAATCTTGTTATACCCTGTATAGTATAATATATCTCGCGCGAAATTCACATTTCTCTCGTGCGAATAGTCTTTATTCGCGATAACCGCTGAATGTTGTAATATTATACGCATTTAATCGAGTTCTCGCACAATTCTCGTACAAATCTATTGCAATAGTAATCGTGTTACATTTTTTTTTATCTACGTTCGCATTTGACACACATCTCTCAATTACATTATGAATATATCACAAAGTTATTTTTTTCTGTTCTTATTACCTTATTTGATATAGATTATACGAAACAAGAAAAAGAATTATTCTATAGACTAATCAATCACGCGACATGTCAGAAAATGGTTACAAACGAAATAAAGGGCAGGGGAATAGGGGCGAGGGGTGGCTCAGAATAAAATAAGATCCAGGTTATATTATAAGAATAGGAAACTTGGGCCCTTTTCTTTAACATTCACTGATTTTTTTTATTATTTGCTTTAATACGGAGAGATATAGAAAAACATACTTTGTTTGAGAAACGAACAGTTTGATAACTTATGAATATTTTGATGATCCCGATAATAATTAATAATTAATATTAATAATAATAATAGCAATAATCATGTTCATGTGTGTACCATCTATGTATAATTATTATATTATATAAGAGAGAGAGAGGTGTGCGCGCGGCGAGCATGGGGGCTGGTGACCTGCGCACGCGCACATCCACAAACATTTTTTTTTCTCTTCCTTTCTCCTAAATATAATATTAATTAATCATTTCTTTTCTTCATTTATTCATGCAAAACTCCTACAATGATAACCGATGCTGCGGGGGTCTCGTATCCCTACTTTGTGCGCCATTGCTTACGCCGTGCACACGAGCCACCCCGGAACCAACGTATATACAATATCCTCTTTCGCTTATCGCTTGTGTGTTCCTTTCTACGTATTCCTTCGTTCTTCATTCCGCTGCATTAACTTGTGCCCTTATTCTCCTGTCATTTTACAACTGTCTGGATTTCGATATCTTAAACTCCTATTCTTTACTGTCACACTTAATATTCTGTCAGCCCCCTCCTCTTCTTTTGTCATTAGTATTTTTCTTGATTTATAACCATTCCAATCATGTTTTTTTTTTTAACCACTGGTATCTTCGGATTTTCATGTAGGAGAGTATGGGCTCCGCCATATCTACCTTATAAAAGTAGGCACAGCGATTTCTTTTTCTGCTTCATTTTTTTCTCTGGCGATTTCTTATTTATTTGCCGCACCAGGTCGTAGAAAATCTAGAAACAAAAGACGATTTGAAATTATTATCCAAAGTTATCGGCTAGAACTCGATTATTCACAATATTGTACAAAATTCCGTGAGCTAATTCTAGACATTTATAGAAGATATTAAGCAAGTACATTATAAGGTGGTGTACAAAGAAAAATAAATAAATCAATAATCACTACTCACATCGCGAACATTAATTTTAGCTTTGGCAGAGGTCTCCATAAACACGCAATTGAATTGTCGGGCAAGGTTGACACCCTGATCCTTTCCTACTACCCTTTCGTCTTCCAGGTCGCACTTGTTGCCTACTAGCACCATCGGTACGTCATCTGTGTCCTTTACTCGTAGGATCTGTTCTCTGAGATCTTGCAGGTCGTTGAAGGTCGATTGTGCTGTTATCGAATATACTAATACGAAGCCCTGCCCATTTTTCATATAAAGGTCCCTCATGGCTGTGAATTGTTCCTGCAAACAAATTAAGATGAGTCACTTAAAATGTAATTTATATATTATTTATAAAATAAAAAAGAAATTACGATATTTAAAAAAAAAAAAGATAAAGAATGGCGTTTATAAGTAAAACAAAGGATAAAGATGTAAAAAATTAAGATACTAGTTGCACAAGTGAAAGAAAAATCTAGACTTGATTTTTAGGCATTCTAAATAAAAAATGTAAGGGAGATGGATGTCATCGAGTACTTACTGTGCCGGCTGTGTCTAAGATTTCTAACATACATTGTTGACCGTCGACCTCGACTTGTTTACGATAACTGTCTTCGATCGTCGGGTCGTACTTTTCTACGAAGATCTCTTGCACGAATTGGACAGTGAGGGCGGACTTGCCTACACCTCCACTGCCCAGCACCACTATTTTATATTCACGCATCTCCTTGCCCTATCTACTACCTATGGGCCTGGTCGCAGTCGAAGGGTCACCGAATCCGCCACGTTTTGCTTCGATTTGCCTTCAGTGAGACGGATCTGAAACAGTAACATGCAACGTCTATTTAGAGAGACCATCAACATCATGCGACGAGTTAATTCTAATGACACATCTCTTTCAGAAAGAGTCAGCTTTTATGACTCAATGCTTTTTATGCGTATGTACGATGACTTCACGCGAGGTAAATCGAGAACCATAATTAATAATTTCCAAGTATAAGGTAAATCATACTGGGCGAAATATATTTTCCAGAGATGATTCTTTTTATTAATTTCAAATCAATTTTTTTCAGGGTTGGGTAAGTCAATGATTTTTTTAAATTAAGTTAAGTTAAAGTTAGTTGCTTATAAAATTAATTTAGTCGTTAAAAGTTGCATGAACAAAAAATTAACTCAGTTAAAATTAAGATTGAATTAACTGAAGTTAAATCAAAAGTTAATTTTTAAAAACATTATATTAAATTAGACTTTTGTTTGTTAATTCTTTTAAAATTGATATAACAAATAACAAATTTAGATTTTTATATAGAAATGTATTTTTTGGTATAATAGTACAATTGATGACAAATGAACATAAAAATTAATAATACTTTAATTTAAAAATAATACGTTTATAACTTATAAAAAAACCAATAATGGTATTCCGAGATAAAAAAATTAACTTGGGAAAAAAGTTAATAATAAGTTAATTGTAAAAATAACTAGTTGAAGTTAAAAGTTATTACATTTGAAATTAACTAAGTCAAGTTAAAAGTTATTAACCTTTTAACTTTTAACTAATTAACTAGTTATTACCCAACCCTGATTTTTCTTGAGAAGAACCGTCAATTTTCATAATTGGAGAAATTTCTTCCGATACAGCCTCGCCAGGTATATCTTTGATATATCTAGAAAATTTCTATTCTCTATCTGATCTTCACCAAAGCATGAAGATTCACTTGAACTATATATATACCTCTGTGCCTGAGATACAATCGCGCTATTCCCGATTCTCGCCGTGTTGTTCGCCGCAGCATTGTGGGCAAAGCAAGACGGAGCAAAAGGGAAAACGCAAATACCATGACGGCATTCCAATTGGCAGGCAATAGCGTCATGGCAACATGCCGCGGCCAATCGGCGACTGCAAAATTCTTTACGCCAATCCGTCATTGATTTTACCTTTATGAATGGATTTGTGTGTAATGAAAGCTGTCATTCTCGGACTTTCGTTTACTCGTTACAGAGCTTTATAAAAAAGTTTCTTTGAAACCGATAGTTTCAACAACTATACACAACACGTGCGAAAAATTCAAACGATAGGTTTTTGTTATCTTGCGTGTACCACGTTTAAATTTTTAACTGGTTTTTTTAAGCAATTTAGAAAAATTCTTGCTATTTTTTGGCTCAATATTTCGATGCGTTGAACGGTCCTGAAAATTGTATTGCTTATTTTAGTTTGCTATCTATAAAAAAAAATAGAATTAAATTATTGTTGTAATATGAATGTGCACAACGTCGTTTCGTAAATATATTTAATAAAATATACAATGCTATAATGATATTTTCAGTAATTTTATTATACGAGGTATAATTTTAATCAACCTGAACTTTGTAAATTAATTTCGTTTAAATGTCATTTGAGAAATTTACTGATCCATTATTTATTTTTACAAACTATATATAACTGCGACATTAAATTTCGAATTTAGTTGCCAAAAATGAACAATTTCTTCGAAATTGTTGCATAAAGGAGAGTCCAAAATTCCTCAATTATTTCTCAATCTTCCTTTTTTCAGAATAAAATACGATTAAATTATGACATTTTAAGGAAAATGTATATGAACTGAGAAAAGTGAAAGAAACTAATTTTGTTCTCTTTTACAGGCGTATATATTTCTTAAGAATTAAGTTTTTATTTTACGATTTCTATCTTCCGCGAAATATTCAGACCGTGTATAATTTTCCTAACTTTTTCACCCTCGTTCCTCGTTCGTTCTCCTACTTATAATACCAACCTACTGGATATTGAGTCAACCCCTGGATTGTCATGTTCCGTGAAATTGTAACACAAGAGAGCCCCACGGGAGAGAAAGACACGCATCACGTCCGTAGCTTTCATTATAATGTGTTTACAGTTCGCAATTTCATTAAAATATATACTATACTGCGCGTGTGTACGATGCAATTATAAGTGCACCGTGAATTAATTAGGTCGTATATGGGCAACAAGTTGACACATTGTTTCGAAAGAAAGGTAAAGGATCAAGTGGAGAACCACTAAGCGGATCGAACTTTTGGCGTTACTCCAAAACATCTCTCTGGGTTCGAAAAAGTGCTATACACAAAGCGCACGTGTCACCTACACATACAAGCACAATTTTCAGACACGAACGAGAGGAGAGAAAGAGAGGAAAAACGAAAGCTCCCCTGACCTAGTTATTAGACTTTGGCGTGGGACAGTGCGGTTCCATAAATTCTCCACGCCTTTTGTCCGAGATTTAGAACTCGCTGATAAAAAAAACCGCGAACCGGATCAGCCCCTCGCAAAGGACACGCGTGTATCTGTATCTTTTTCACGAGGGAAAAAGCGCTCGTTTCTCGCTTTCATACCTTTAGACGGATAAAGATGGTAGTGTGATTTGTCACCTAAATTGTCTCCACGTAATGTATAATGCAAAGGAATTTAGAGAATTTGCCGATATAAATTCCGATGAGATATTTAGAGATTTTCCTCATGATATATAAGTACAGGGTGTTTCTAAAACTATGTCAGAGATTTTAAGGGTGTATTCTAGAAATCAAGATATAAGAAAAGAAGTTCCTATAAACATGGGTCCAAAAATGCTTTCCCTCCGAATTATAATTCCCTTAAGAAAAAGATTTTTTCAACGATCTATAACAAAATCTCCGAAAATTACAATATATTTTTTTATTTTTCTCCCCATCTTTAGAGGGCATAATTCGGAAAGTATAACTCGGAAGGAAAGCATTTTTGGACCCATGTTTCTATAGAAACATTTTCTCTTATTTTGCTCCCTTAAAATCTCTGACAGTTTGAAAAACATTCTGTATACGAGAACAATTTCCAGGTTTCTTTACAATCTTTATTTCATTTTATTTGTAACGGGAGAAAATGGTAGAGGATCAATCGTGATTCTGAATTTTCAACTTTGGCGGAATTTTTGTCGCCGTGTTCTCGCATACAAATGACGAGGAATATGTTAGATGATGTTTTCAACCGTTTGTACCCAGATACATATTTATGGAGCATCTGGTTATCATCAAATTCTCGCGAATGCTTCAGAATCTATGCGAGATTCTTCTCGACATCGATCTCGCGCGAGAGTGAACTTTGGTCAACCTTTGTCTTTGACTTTAATTAAGCGTATTACTGTCGAGATGTCGATTGCCGTGACAATTAAAGCCACTGACCGCGTTGTCCGGACTAGAAAGCGAAGTTCTTGCAAAGTTTCTCGCTCTTTTCTGCTGACAAAAAATACAACTCGCTAGAATAGATGTTACGATCATTCTTATTGTTGTAAAATATTCTTTACGTTTCGCACGTGAGCGTGAATAATCTTGCCATTAATATCAAGATCCTCAAGTCCCTTCTCAGTTTTCCAGTCTTCATCCATTTTTTGTCTGCAAAGTTGAGACCCTAAAATGCGAATTTTAACAAAATTGATATATGGCATTCGATTGCCCACTTTGCAAAAAAAAAAAAAAAAAAAAATAAAAATTTTATCATGAGCACCTCCAGATGTGGTTTTTTTAAAATTTATATATGTATTTCGATTGCTCATCATTTAACAAAAAATAATTGTCTTTTGTCCACCTTACAAAAAAAAATTAAAAATAAATCAGTTTCATTATAAACATCCCCAGTGCAATTATTTAAAAATTATAAATGAAGGTGTTCATGATAAAATTTATTCGAATTTCTTTTTAATTTTTTTGTATGATGGACAAATTGTGGACAATCAAATACCATATCAATTTTGTAAAAATTCGCATTTCGGAATGTCAACTTCATAGACCTCATCTTTTTTAGAGAATGAAATTTCACCCTTGAACTTCATCTGCCGAAGAACTTATTTTCAACTCGTCTCAATTATTATATCTCGACGAAATAGAGATAACGCGTTAATCCGAAGCGACAAGATCGTGAAATAAATCTCCGGCAAGTACAGCGTAATCTCTAGTGTAGAAAAATATTAACTTAAGACCGGTTTGTGTGAAGGTAAAACTTTTGAATTTTATAATAGTCTCTCCGCGGCGTATCAACTTCATCGGCGATTCATTCTCAAGTTCAATCCATTCCATCGAGATGAAACGGAATCTATTCAATCTCGCGCGTATGATTTGCAATTTACGAGATTCCCTATCGGACAACTTCGCGCAAGCAAGCAGTCGGCTAAATGCCTTAGATACCTCTGTGAAGCTGGCCCCTCATTTTCAAAAATTTGAAATTTTTATTAGAGTTCTGATAGCCCCCCTAAGAGTTCTAAAGTTCTCTATCGGTTTTAGAAATAGTTCCGCCATTTAAAATAGAAAAAATATCATTTGAAGATACGGGGGGGCCAACTTCACATTTTTTGCAACTTTAACTTGGCATAACTTTTTTGTTATCAATTTTAGAGCTTTGGTTATTAAGGATAATTGCTAGAACTCTTTGGGGGGCTATTAGAACTCTCAACAGAATTGTCAAATACCGAAAAAAATTTTCACCTTTCTAAAAATCGATAATTCGGGTAAAAATTTTTTCGGAAATCGGCAGTTCTCTCAAGAGTTCTGGTAGCCCCCCGAAGAGTTCTAACGAATCTTCTTAATGATCGAAGCGCTACGACGCGAAATTAAAAAGTTCTGGCTCCTTAAAGTTGCAGATTTGAAAAATTTCAAAGTCCCAGAGGGGTAGAAATTTTTTCGGAAATCGACAGTTCTCTCGAGAGTTCTGGTAGCCCCCCGAAGAGTTCTAACGATTCTTCTTAATGATCGAAGCGCTACGACGCGAAATTAAAAAGTTCTGGCTCCTTAAAGTTGCAGATTTGAAAAATTTCAAA